TTCGAAAGGCGGTCTTATAGTTCTTTAATATTCGGTAATAGGTAACGATTCTTAATAGTAATATCGTTAATCTTTCGGTAATCGACGTATAGTCGTAAGCTACCGTCTTTCTTTAGTATAAACAGAATTAGGTAACCTATAAGGGATTCTAATTTTTAGATGAATCCTTATACTAAGTTCTCGTCTAGGTATTCTCGAAGCGTCTTAAGTTCTTTTTCGGATAACGTATAGATAGGTCTAAATNTAGGTTACTTCCCTAGTTCGAGTCTAATTTCGTAATCCTACGGCTAATACCTAGGTAACGCGTTTACGTTCTCCTCTTCCTAAAATAAGCGTTTCTATTTACTATATTATCTAGGGATATTAGAAGGTACGTAACTTCCTTTAATAACTCTCGCTTTATAGCCCGTCTAACTTCTAAGATCGGTGCCTATAGAGCCGGTATTATACTTCTTTACTAATACCTTAGTCGAGGTAATAGTAATATATACTATTATAGCCTAATTTCGCCCCTTCCTCTTATCTACTACCGAACGCTNCTAGTACGTAGGTCGCGAGTCGACTACGTAGTCGCACTCCTCGAACTTTAACAATTATAATATCTAATCGATTGCTAGGTTATATTACCTTAACTAGGGTATACCTAGGACGATATAGTAATTAGCTATTTCTATAACGTCTAAGATAATGTCCTTATAGTGCCGTTAGGTAATAATCCTTAGAGGTACCGTTTCCTCTAATACGCTAGGTAACGCTAAGCCGTCTATAGCTATTAGGTCGTATCTATATTCTTTCGATCGGGTAGCTATTCTAAATCGAGCGACTATCGATATAAATATAAAGTTTCCGCTTACTCTAGAGTCTATTATTACGTATAGTCGTTTTCCTTATACGGTAATTAGTGTACGAAATACCGTCGTTAATAATATTAATGCTAGAGTATAGATCGTATTACATTCTCGTTAGCTGCCCTTACTACGAGAATCTACTCTTTTCCTAAATCGATATTAATAGGTAGGTTCGTAAAGGTAACTTTGCCGTTACTTTTAGTTCCTATTTTAAGTTCGTAGAGGTGTCGTTTATATAGTACTCGTTACTATTATTAAGCTTGTCCGTATTAAGATTATAGTAAGTTAATACTATCTCGTATACTCCTATTAATACGTTCCCTAGTAGGAATAATATATCCTATAGGTATAAAGGTACTCCTAAGTAGCGGTCTTTCCTAAATAAAAGCCTTAAAGTCGTAGTCGACTACTACTAATCGATATTCCTAAAATGCCTTATAGATCTAATCTAGTATATTATCGAAGTTATAAGGGTATAGGAATCTTTATCTATTAATCTCTAGGAAGGCTTCCTCTCTATATTTTATTATAACGTTAAATATCTTAGTAAAACATAATAGAATATAAGTATAAAGTATTTCGATGCCTTCCTTACTATTATAAAGATGATTATAGTCGTTATCGATAGATTCTTCTTTAGATTCTTCCTTACTATCGGTAGTATCCTCCTTAGGATTACTTTCGATATTATCTTCTTTAATTTCTCCTCCCTTAAGGTTATCTTTTCTAGTAATAATATTATAGTAGCCTTATCCTCTACCCTTTAGCTAAGAGGGAAACTATCTAGATCCTATCTTAGAACTATAGTAGATTAAGTAGCTATCGTCGTAGTATACGGTCTAACTAAGCTTTCTATAGTAATTATATTAAAGATTCTTGAACTTCGATTTTAGCTCCTTAAGTTCCTTACGCTCTAGCCTAATATTAGGGCGGCGCTACATTATATTAAATTGTCTTTAAGGCACTTTATTTTTTAAATAACAATCCCTTACTATATAGCCTTTCTTACTATATTTATAGTAAGTTATCGAACTCTTCCCTTTAAACTGCTTCTTCCTATTTAATCGTCGATCTTCGGTAACGTCTAGTTCTATTAGCTAGGGTCTATAAGGATATAAGTACTAGTTACGTCTACCGAAGTTGTTCTTTCCTTTATAATTACGGTATAGGACGTAACTAGACTTACCTCGGGGGGCTACGTCGTAGCGTCGTTCTATAGCACGTTCGTAAAGATTATTGTTAATTTCGATCGTTATATAGATAAGATTATCTAAATCTTCGATTTTTATGCTAGCTTGTATAAGTTCGTCTTTAACATTTTCCTTTAGACTATGTCGATATATAGTTATAAAGGCGGAGTTATCCTAATCGGTAACTTAGGCGTACTCCTAGAACTTAGTAGTATATTCGGATACTAAAGTGTACTAACGGATATACTAAATAAGGCGTATAGTAACCTTATCTTCGTTAGAAATCCTAAAGATACGGCGTATCTCGGTCTTAAACTTAATAAAGCTTATTATAATCCTATTAGTGTCCTTACGTTTATTAAGGAACTTCTAAAGCATCGGTTTTATCTAGTGCTAGGCTCTTCTATAAAGATAGGTACTAGCAAAGATAGTCTTCTTAGCTTCCTCTATAGGAGTAAAGATATAGTAAAGATCTATCTAGTTAAGCTAATCGTTAAGCCCCTAGCGGTCTCTATAGTAGAGGTCGGGCTTAGCGACTTTACTGTCGTTACGAGTAGTGCTAGTAGAGCGGTTTCTACTAGCCTCGCTAGGTATACCTCTCGGGGTAGTGTTACTTAAGTAACTTATTCTAAGGGCGTTTAAAGTTATTATAGCTAACTATCTAGGATAAGATAATAGGTTACGGGGTTAGACTCGTAAAGAGGAGTGTTAAGCGAAGTAAAGCAGGTTATATAGTAGTATATACTAAAGGGACTATTAGAATAACTAATTAAGTTAAACGTAGGACTACCTAAGGTCGTCCTACCTACCTATATACTTAATAGATAATAAGTATATATATGTTGCTCTATATACTCTATTATACTCTATAGAATAGAGCAGCAGAGTAGAGTAGAGTAGATAGCGTAGTTATATAAAGTGTTCTATTCCGCTAAGGTGCGGGGAATAATAGAGCAGGCTGTACGACCCTGTTATTAGTAGGATCGTAATAGTAACGTTACTACTACCTTATAGTACTTAGTAGTTAGCTAGTTTATAATAATAATTATTAATACCAATACTAATACTATTACCCCGTTTAGTTATTACGTTCTTATTACCTTCCTTATTACTACCTTATTATATTAGTGTCTATATTAAGTCTATACCGTACTCATAAGATTTAGCCGTACGCGTAAAGTAGATATTATATAGAATTAGTAGAATTTCGGCTCTATACTATACTATACTACTACTTCTAGCTAACATTCTATTTTATACTAATTATCTAGTAGAATAATGCTAATGCCGACTCTATCGGCGTTATTACCGTAACCCTATCCCTTAGAAGAAATATTAGTAAGTAAGCTATAGCTTAGTATAGCTTAGCATAATTGTGTCAGCTTTAATATAGGATTTCCTCCTTACTAAGATAGATTACGATGCAACTTAGCAGCAATATTAACCTCCCTTATAAGAAGTAGAATGTTAGAATATTCTACCAGAATTAGCGATTCTATTCTATGCCACTAGAGTGGAATACTCTACTTAAAACCAGTGGCATATGCTAATATTCTACTTATTCCATGCTATGTAACATCTACACTGCGTACGCGAATGAAGCATGCGGCCGTAAGCATGACCCTAGCTCCTGGCCTCGCTCGTATGACGACCCTGAACTAGGAATGGGAGAACCCTGTTTGCCAAGATATGGATTGGATATCCAAAGTATCCAACGGCTTTGGTGGATACCAACCCAGCAACAGCTCTGCGAGAAAACTAGTCGCACGTCAAGCCCACGGTCTCCCCGGGACATCTGGGATTGGCAGTAGGCCTATACTCATGATAGTACTGACATATTGAAAGCCGCTCCCATGGTATTCTATCTTGACACGTGGACGTATGTTCGCGGTCAGAGCCTGGAATACAGGAGTGCGCATATGCTTGCAGCTGAAAGAACTGTGATCTGGGGAGGCTCTAGAAAGGACCTTCGGGCGCGCTGGAACAGCCCGAATCATACGGTGTGGGCGTTTTCAATTGCAAGACGGATACTTTGTGGCTATATGTCTGTTGAACGCAGGACTCTGTCGAAGGAAAGTCCATAATTATCGTGGCAAAGGGCAATATATGGGGAGATCGATGGAGAGATATTGTAGCTCAATTCCAACCTCTCTGGAGCAATGTCGTCACAGTGAAAGTTGCTCAGAGGGTATGAGTGAGACTGAAGAACGATGAGTAAGATGCTATGGAGCAGAGTCTTCTTGAGTGGGTATTTGTGCCTCGTCAGGAGACCTCGACACTTTTCCAGACTCACAATCGAGCCCCCCCCCCCCCCCCCCCCCCCCCCCAATTCTAGCCAGGCCGCCGCAGCATACATCCGAGAGCTCGTTGGCCAGCACCGGTCACACGAGCTTTTATGCCCCCCCCCCCCCCCCGATCTAGTGACTGAGGGCAGGGAGTAAGGGTTAAGGGGTAATGCAAAGGTTTTTCTCTGGCGTGATGAATGCGACGTTCAATGATGTGAGATCATGTGCTTGCCCAATAGCTTCTGCACATCTGGGGTGATGCTGTTGCGTGAAAACGTCTACGCGGAGCTTCGACTAAACCTTCACGACGATGCCTACAAGCTTTGAGGATGGGTCAGCATCTCATGATCACAAGAGACTTCACTACTTATTCCTTGAAGGATGTACTTCATGACACCTCTGATGTTTGGTCATGGTGGTGAAGCAAAAGCGCAGGAGTTGGCTGGAGAGATGGCTTCGGAAAGGCACGCTCGGCTTGGCACCGTCACATGTCAAGTCGTCACCTTAGCACGGCCAGCTTCAGAGCCTCCATCATCCTTTAATCACGAACACAACCATGTGAAATGGCCGACTGGAGCACGCGCTACCTCGCGGCTCTCGATGCCCGCGACAAACGCGAATCTAGACACAAATTATACATCAACGCCTGTGGGTCATCAGCCTGTCCGCCGCCCTTCTCTAGCTCAATCTCTGACAACTGCCAGATTCTCGTCTCGCTGACCGCAAGAGCGTCGCTCCTCCCTCTTCCTCGCCCGGTGCCATCTCCTTCGCGACCGATCAACCCATCACCGACGAACTCACCCGCCTCCGTCAAGACCTGACAACTACTCAAGCCGCCCGCTCATCCCTCGCAACCCAACTCCACACCCTCCAAACCACAACAACAACTCTCACAACCTCCAACACGACATTAACACAACAACTCACCGCCACTCACCGCCAACTTGCATCTCTAGAACGCAAACTCAAAGATAGGGATGAAGAGTTGCGGGAAAAGAAGAAACTTGTCGAAGAAGTGCAGGATGAAATTCTGGCCTTGACGGTAGAGTTGAATGCTGTGGGAAGGGAAAAGGAAAAGCTGAAAGGTGAGAATGGAGAGTTGGTGAGGAGGTGGATGGAGAGAATGGGGAGGGAAGTCGACAAGGCGAATAGGGAGGGTGGATGGGAGTGAGGCGGGTAACCGCCCTCAGACTTTCGTGTTCGGATACGCTTGGAATGGCTGCAATCCTGCACGACTCAGACTTAAGAAGGGAGAGATACAGCACTCCAGGGTCGCACAATCAAGCTCATCTCCTTGCGAGCTTCTCCTGGACAAAGCCCTGGAAATGCGAAATGCAATGGCAAAAGCACCCTCTGAACAAGACGCTAGAGTAAGCAGACGAAACCCCATATCCACACGTTGTACTTCTACACCACAGGCGTTGAGAATAAGAAATTTACGGACATAGACAGAGTCAGAGTTCACAGTGTACGAATTCGCTATGCATTGTCCTCTCCCTCTTGCTTCAAGGAAACCCGCCAAATACGTCTACAAATCCCCCAGCTGCGTTTCATCTCGTGTAAGTTTGATCATGTCGAGTAGTTTTTGTCAGCTTTTGGCGCCTAGTGTTCGTGGTGTTAACTTTGGCTGTGTCTGTTGTTTTTGTCGTCAGCTTTGACATCAAGTCTTCGTGTTGTCGCATTTGTGAAGCCAGCTGTACATGAGTCTGGAGGTATGATGTTCTCGTGTTCCCTGCATGTTTGCATCAAGTCATGATGAGCTAGCACAAACTGAAAAGTCGTCCTCAGGTCTGGAGAAGGTTTGACCCCTCTAGCGAACTCGAGTTCATCAGCTCGTATTGCAACGTGAGTTTGTGTACAGACGCTGCTGCATCCAAAATCAGAGCGTGGTCTTGTCAATAACATTTCGTTAATTCTCCGAAGCAGTCAGCCATATCGTCAACTTGCATTTGTGGTGGTGGTGTTCAGTATACAAAGCCATTGTACCGACTCCAGACCTACTATTGTAGTCACGAGAACGACGGCGCAGCGCAGCAATGTATAGATGTAGCATATACATATATACATCTTCAGCTGAGAGCGGTAAGCGCTGACATCCAAACTCGAATCCAGTAGTCGACCTTTGACCAGAACGAGGTCGGCGTCGCCAGGGACTGCGCGACTTGGTAAACTTACCGTGTCTCACCTTGCTGTGAACATATGGCTGGCTAGACACATAGACCAGCAGACGAAGGAGGGTCGGCAAGTTGTGGATCGGAGGAGCTCCCAGGGCTGGTGATCCTTCGCGCGGATAGGTACCCCGGATATACTTCTTGGCGATGGCCGGCAGGCGGATAGAGTTCCGAGCCGTTTTTGGCACAGTCTGTCCACGATCCTCCTTGCCTTGACTCATGACTTCCTGCCGTCTTTCATCCAAACATCAGTACAGCCTCTAGGGCGATAAGCTGACAAACCCCATCTAGCGATTTGTTCCACCTGGTAGACATGTCGATACTGAGCACGGATTGACTCGCGCACGGTCAAACCCAATCATCGACACGTGCTTTGACAGCGACCAGCGGAGGGTGAGTTTGCGTCTATGCATGTATTCAATAGAGCAATCCGGAGACTTGTCTACTGGACGCCGACCTCCTACCATCGCTCAGCTATCGCTACTTTTGGAACGTCATCCAGCAACAGCACGTATCGAAAGCTTGATGAAGCGGAGAAGTGGATGAGTGGTGCTGAAGACTGCATCTCGACCGACAGGATTGTTTTCACAGCCAAGCTTGAAGAGTTGCGGCAGTGACTTACCGCCAATCCTTGATGGTCAGACCTCACAGATGGCGTGGTAAGATGACCTCAGCTCATGACAAGTCTCCATGGATCGTGAGCGAACCTTCCAACCTTGCTAACGCGAGGAGCACTAATGATTCAGCTCCAGATGACCCAAGTGCAAGTGGGCTGTGATGTTAAGCTCTGGAAGACCACATGGCCCATCGAGGAAGAGATATAAAGCAAGGTCTATGCCTCGTCAAAACAGAACCATCAAGCAACTCTCCAATACTCCATCCAACGACACACAGATCAGACAATCTTCATCAATCAATTCAACATGCGCTACTCTGCTCTCATCGCCGGTTTGGCAACTCTAGTCATCGCCAACCCCACTCCTCAGGACTTCGATTTCCCCGAGGATGTCGACACTGCTCCAGCTATCAGCGTGCCTATCGGATCCGGAACACAGATCATTCCTCTCGACATCACTGCCGCTGTGAAAGAAGTTGTTGCCGATGTTTTGACCGATCCATCTTCTGACATTCCTGCCGAGGCCCCCAATTCCATCTCCAAGAGATCTCCCAAGCGAGCACGCGCTCTGCAAGCTCGTGGCACCTGCAATGCCCAGCCTCTTGGAAGCGGCCCTGCAGTCTACCCCGACACTGCAGATGCTTTTGTCAACTCGTATGCTCTCGCCGAGGTTGCTGAGTCTGCCAGCACCCCTTATGGCTACTATGAGGCCTTCGACAACCTTCAAGGCTCCGTCAGCGCTGCCGGCTACAGAGGCTACAAGACCTATACTAGCTACGATGTCAACAAGGCAGCTGCCGACTGTAAGGCTATCAAAGGCTGCAAAGCCTTCAACATCTTCTTCGAGCGTGACCCTTCCATCGTAAGTCTGACCCTTCCGAGACGTTCCTTCGGACCTGTGAAACTAATCATGATTATTAGGACCCTTGCGCCACAAACAAGGATCCACCATCGACCAACGTGATCAAAGCTTCCTTCTGGAGTGTCCCCATTTGCGCAAAGGACGCTACTAACACCGGCCAATACCGCGAAAAATTCCACGTTGTCATCGCCGGCTCAAATGGCTACAACTTGGTCGACTGCGCTGGCGACGTTGATGGCTGGACTAAGGAGACGTACGACGGCTGCACCATCAACGCCGACCCAACACTGTGCACCTACGGTGGACGCCCCGACTCTTACATCAGCAACTCGAGGATTGACGGTGACTTCATCCCTGAAGCCTGTCAGGCTGCTTGTGATGCTAAGACCAAGTCTAATCCCTTGGAACCCTGCAACTTTGTCACCTCTTGGGCTTACCTTTTGGACGGTCAGTACAAGTACCAGGTCTGTGCTTTCTACCAGCGCTACTGGGATGTTAGTTACTGTGACAACCGCGGACAGGTCACTTCCAGTGGTAAGGTGGCTAGTATCGGCCCCTCTTACTCTTACACTAAGAAGAGTGACAACGGTGTCTCTCACTGTCCCCTCAAGCCCAACTACTAGTCTTGAGATTGCCGACTACGAACTTTGATCTCGTCTATTCGTCGATTCGGACGTTTCGCGTGCGACTTATAGTTTGGTTTGACTTGTATTTTCCGCGATCTTTTCACTGCCTTCAATTATATATCTATGCAATGCCAATGCTCACTGATTACTCAATATTCAAAGTCCCTTCCGCTTCCGCTTCGAATATGTGATATTGCCTAGACTTCCTACATGAATCGATATCCTTACTGCTTCGACTTTGCAGCATCAGCCTGCAGAATCTCTGTCAGAGTATCTCTCTTGACACACTTCTCAAAGCTAAAGCTCTTTGCCAATTCATCCAATTCCTCCTCCGTCTTACCCTCAAACAACTCTGCAAACTCTTTACTCAAGTAATCCGAAAGCAAACATTCCCTGATGATACGTTCGAATTGTCTCTCAAAGTTCCAGTGGTAAGGGTACTTTGAGTCTTGCAAATGTTCAGGTACCATAGCCTTGAGATCTGCAAGGAAAGGATCATAAGTCTTGGACACGCCAGTTTTGTCCACCACACCCCAGAAATCAAGACCGAGGTGTTGTTTTTTGGCCACGAAAGAAGCGATTAATTGCATGTATGCTGAATCTCTGCTGACGTGAACCATGCCTTGATAGCCGATGTCTTTGTACAGCCAAATCGTCCAATGGATCTGCGACTCTGCGTAAATCTTCAATTGTTCCCTGAGTACGCCAAATCTAGACACATTCGTCTTGTCTGCTTCGGGATCTGCGGACGGGTCTGCGTATACAGGGCCGAACTCGCCGTTCCAAAGTGGTACATTGTGTTTACGGGAAAACTCTGCCTTTCTCTCGAATTGACGGCGTAGTTTGGAGTTTTGCTCTTCGGTGCCGGTGTACGGGTCTTGACCGGGGATGGGAAAGCCGAGATTTGCGTAGTCGTGGCATGCGTAGACAGTATTCGGCATGATGCGGTCGAAATGGCTGAAATCCATGGCGTAGGTATTGCCGTCGACCCAGAGGATGTGATCGGGGTCGACTTCTCTGATTGCCTTTTCCATTCTATCGTACCAAGCGACTAACCGGGTGTGCTTAGGGTCGGCGGGCTCATTGAGAGGATTATAGCCGGCGATGACTGGATTGCCAACGTAGTGTTTCGCAATGGCTACCCAGAGATCTATCATCTGATCTTGAAAGACTCTAAAGTCCCAGAAGAGTGCTTTGCCAATACCAGAGTCGCAATGCCAGTCCTGGTTTTGACCTCCGGGGACAGCGTGAAGATCGAGAATGACGTAGAGGTTGTGACGACCGCAAATGTCGACGATATTGTCCAACAACTTGAACCCAGCGTCCTTGATCACACTCGGGTTGTCGTCGTCGATGAAGTGACGGTAATTGAAGGGAACGCGAATACAGTTCAAACCAAGACTTTGAAAGTAGATTGCATCAGCGTCTGTAAAGAAGTAGTGGATGAGGCGATCAAAATAGAATTGAGCCTTCTCTTTACCCAGGACCTCAGCCATGGCGGCCCTATGTTCGTGTTCATGACCAGGATATCCGGTGATGAAGTTTTCGAAATTAAGGTGGCCACCGAGACCCGCGCCTTTCAGGATAATCTTGGAGCCAGAAGCATCAACAATATCCGCATCCTGAACATGGAGCATGGAGCAAGGGGGGTTGGTAGATTGTGTTTCCGACTGTTGCGTCGACTCTGATGTCGCTTCTGCGTGAGGAGCCATGTTGAAGATTATGGGGAGCTGGAAAGGTCAGGAAAGCTAGAGGAGGCGAAGTCCCATCTTGAGGAGGTCACCAGTAATATATGCCGTTCGAAAAACAACATAATTGCCTATATCGAGGCAGCATGACCTCGAGCGATACTCCGCGACGCTTTTAGCCGCGGGATGTTTACCCAGCATGTGATGGTGGGGTCTGCCAAATCTGCCCCGCGCCGTCGCGGAGTGTCGGCCCGGGACCTCTGTTTTCGTGATGGACGAGGATCATGTATTCTGCCAGTGTTTTAAACCGTGTGCCGACTAATTTCAAGTGGATATATTGGAGTAGGCTCCTCTTCCCAAGGACTCAAGCCGTGGGTAGAGGTAATTTCGACAACGTCACCTCTGGGCGAGTGTATCATTTTCAGGTCCGCAGTGTTGTAGGAGAAGTCGGTCAAGCCGTTTGGACCAGCGATCATGGTTGTTGGCCTGTCTGGACGTGAAGATCCCGTCCTCACAGAATCAAGCTGTGACTTGATACTGCTTATGACAGCAATGAAGAAAGGTTTGATGGCTGGCGCGCACCCGGCGAAGATTCCCAGGGCAATCTCGACACAGCAGCAGAGTGTGGCCATTCCAAGACCCCAGACGCGATCTTTCTTCGCGTCAAAATAAGGCGTGAAAGGAAGTCGAACCAAAGTCGCAACTGAGGCGAGTAGACCTAGACTGAGTAGCGCCCAAGCCATGATCTTCTTTTGCCGGTCCATCTGAGTGTTCCAAAAAAGAACGGCCGGTATGATGACGCAGACCAAGTCAGAGATTGACGTTACTGCTGTCAAGATGTACACCAGAGTTCGGATGACGGATCCGCTGAAGCAAGAGCCCTGTCTTGGATACTCCGGAAAGTCGTAGAAATGTCGCCAATTGGTATGATACGGTCGACACATCGCCATCAAGCCTGCAAAGCATGCCACGGCTGCGATAATGTTGAATGCGACCATGAAGTAGATGACTTGACGCATCTTCCTTCCCCTAGCAAATCTCAGTAGGGTCAAACAAAGGCTGCTTTTGAGCGGTCCAAGGGTGATGCAGTAGAAAAGATCGAAGATGCTGAAATACTATTGTCGTTCAGATATCGCTTCCAAGAAGGGCCATTGGCCTACTCACCATCGATGCTGTAATTATCTGGTCCGGAAACAATTGGCTGTCCCGCATTCCAAGCCCTTTCGAGGTCGAAAGTAGAGCGAGGACTGCACATGGGATAAACAGAATCTGCAACGCTGTCAATAACGAGATGCTCGGTCGAGCGCTTCACGACGGACTGACCCCCGTCAAGATCATGACCCAGTCATCCGTCTGTACAGACTGTCTTCTCCATCGGGCTACAATTCTCAGCGGAATTGAGAGCAGCGACGATATCAAGCACAACAAAATCAAGCTTAACAGCCACAAGTTGACTGCTTGACGCATGGTCGAAGGTTGTTGCAAGATGTCGAAAGACTCAAGACGCCCCGGGCGTCGCGGCACTCAGGGAATTGTCCTCTGATACCTACCTGACAGTAAAGGGCTAGTATCAGAGCTTCGCAGAATCGTCCTGTTCGAGCTCGGATTCGTTGTTACCGTTGGAAGGAGCGTTGAGACCTAGAGCGTCTCGGCTCCTCGTTCTGGGACGCCAAATGTGATAGCGACAATGAAGGCTTGACCATTTTCTTTACACAATAGCAGGGATTCTCAAATATTGCCAATCATGTAGAGCAGTTACTCGCACGACGTGTAGTATGGTCCGCTCGAGAGACAAAAGAGATCCGGTACGCTGAATGTAGCTGACAGGCTTTTTCCGACGGAGAAGACTTCCGTCCGCCTTTTTGCCAAGCTTTTCAACTGAGACTCTGGAAGATATTGTTATCTGTTCGCCAACGATACGGCGTTGACCCCTCGGTGTGCGAAACACTGTCGCACTTGTACCTGATTCATGGCGCGACCCTCTCTGCACTTGGAGCGATGTCGACGAGATAAGGCTCTCTCATGACTGACTGCGCGAGATCTGTCAAGATGAGATACGACCGTGTCCGTCCAGCTCTTTGTTGCTCAGGGGACTTGCGTCATCCCAGCGACGCTACAATCATGTGCATGCCCATGATGTGTATCACGGTCGTTGATTACCATATTACACTAACCTGAACTGCAGACTCACGGGAAATAGCTATCTTCACTAGAGGGAGCAAATGAGCACGTTGCTCTAGGCATCCTGCGGCGCATGGTATTTGCTAGGCAGGCAAGTGCTTATTCGAGGAAGAAGTGTTGCTCGACGTGCCGGACTCTGGCAAATTTTGACTATCCTCAGACACAAACATCACGATACCAACAGCTATCATCTCAGAATAATCCATATCTCCACCATGGCCCACCCACGCACGCCTCCAATTCAATACGCTTTGCCACCAAGGCCACCGTGTTCCGGCTATGGACCACGCTTCACCTTACTACGCGACTAGGGATGAGTACGGTGGATATATCCTGATCCGGAGATATACTACGTCGGGCCAGACGAATTTCCGTACAGTAATGGGTGCAGTCAGAGGCTGTGCATCAGTTGCCATGTGAGCCCACTACACGTTGTCGGTACTGCCAACAGGCTGATAGTACATAGACAAATGGAATCAGCCCTTGGGTGAGATGCTAGCCTCCGCCTCAAAGGGCTGGACAGAACGAGGTGGACACCAGACAACCGACTTCTGGAGTTTCCAACATGTTCCACCTCCTAGTCTACGTCTACCCTCAAGCTGCTGCGGACGACAATTCTGAGTCAGTCGACTGGTCAACGTCAAGAGAAGGTCGGCTATAACAGGACAAGGTGGTATTGAGAGGAACGAGAAAGACAAAGGCGAAAGTCTTTGCTGCAGAAGTAGCAGATGAGATTACCGCATCGCTAAGTCGCATCAACCTGAGATACACTATCATCACGAATGCATTGTTGCAGTGAACAAACATCGCGGATCGCAGTAATCGTGTTGAAGCTGAGATCCATGCTCTCCGATGGTCATCTTAGGCTCATCGCGACGAACTTGTAGTCTTTCGTCTGTGACCCGAACAAGTAAGCGGAGCATGGCTGTCCGTCACCAAGTCGGCAAAGATGTGGCTTCCCCACAATTCTTCCGCCCATTTGGTCATTTATCCGCCGATTATGCACGCGGGGTCGGCATATATCACCTGCAGCCGCCGTCATCGCGACAGCAAAGTGTGCAGAGCGGCTCGAGTTCGTCTCGTATGTGCTATACTTTATCGTGACGCATGCCTTTAGAATCATGCTTCTGTAGAAATGCAACCTCACGCCATCATGAAGATCGCCCGCCGCGCACGATGTTGCAAGAAAGCCCTAACTTGAGAGAGTATAAAGAAGCTGCTGCTGTCTTGAGTTTGTGCATTTCTTTATCCAGCAGCATCACCTCCATTGCAAATATGCTATTACCGACCTGGCCTCTGGCTTTGACAGCCGCTGCAGTTGTCCCTCCACTGGTCTCAGCGATCCCTCATGGATCAAGTCCTCCCACCTTGGGTCGGGGCATCGCTGCCGATGACTTTGTGTCGGTTGACGGCTACAAACTCAAAGACCGCCAGGGCACTGTCTATCTCACTGGACTAAACTATTGGTCTTGCATGAACCTGGCTGCCGAAGGTCATGTTGGAGGCAACTACTCGCGCTTTATCACCGAGCTGGACCAAATGGCAGCTCATGGCGTCAATCATCTTCGCATCATGGCATCTTCGGAGGGCGCTCCTACCTGGCAGCCTTTCAGAATGTATCCAGCTCTCCAGGAAGCTCCAGGTGCCTACAATGAAGCTGTTTTTGTCGGCTTGGACCGCTGCTTGGCAGAGATGGGCAAGCGTGGCATGAGAGCCACCATGACGCTTGCAAATGAATGGCAATGGAGTGGTGGGTTTGGCCAGTATGTCTCCTGGGCCACCAACAACAGTCAGATCCCATACCCTTCCTCTTGGAACTTGACTGCGGCGCCTCAACGCTCGGAACCTGGCACTGGCTGGGGCAACTATACTGTCGAAGGCGTGGACGCAGACTCTTATGGCAACTTTACGGCTTACGCCAATCGCTTTTACACAATCCCAAAGGCTCAGGAATGGTACCATGCTCACATTGAGAAGATCCTCAACCGTGTCAATACTGTCAACGGACGTGTGTACAAAGAGGACGCTACGGTCATGACATGGCAATTAGCCAATGAACCTCAGCCTGCCGTCGTACCCACTGAGTCTCTCGGCCCCTACTCTCTTGAACTTCCCGCTGCTCCTGAGGATGCAATCATACCTTGGGTCAAGAACACAAGCACATTCATCAAGTCTCTCGCTCCGTCTCAGCTCGTCAACGTTGGCTTCGAAGGCAAGCAGGGAAGATGGTACTACCAGGCCGTCCACAACTTCAGCAGCGTCGACTACGGCACTACTCATTGTTGGGTACAAAACTGGGGTGTCTACGATATGCTGAACTCTTCTTCTACGAACCTTGAGGCTGCAAAGAGTTTCGCTACCGCTTTCGTCGCAAACAGCAGTGAGTGGAGTAAGGAGATTGGTAAACCGGTTTTCCTGGAAGAGTTTGGCATGGCGAGAAACAACTGGGAGAATGAGGGCAAAGAGTACGCATATCTGAGCTCTGCAGGAACCAGCAATAAGGATGCATATTTCACGGTAAGGCCCGTCTTGTTCGTAGCTTTTAGATCATCACTGACAGTGACCCAGACTATCATCGGCGCTGTCATGGACGACTTCAAATCTGGCAACGGTACCTACATCGGTAGTTGTCCCTGGGCATATGGAGGACTTTATCGACCCGAGACTCAACATGCGAATGCGTTCGGAGAGGTTTGGGCTGGTGACCCGCCGCATGAGGCGCCTGGTTGGTATGATCTCTATGATACTGATGAGGCCATGAATATTGTACATCGTCAACAGCAGGATATCGCTGGATTCTTGTCGACATGATGGCCTGCACTCACAGACCTGCGACTTAGTGTGGTCAGCTGCGAAAATGCCGACATTCCAAGCAGTCAAGAAATACACATCAAGTTCTCACTATCACGATATCCATCCAAAAGATCTTACATATGAAGCTGTTCGCTACTCCGTTGACAATTATCGATCATGACAGATAACAAAGTGATGTCGTCGTCGGAAAGGAGTAGCCAGTCAGGGTTCTGCTGACAGGATCTGATAAGATGCGGAGATCCTCCATGAATTCTCTCTCGCTGCGTCATCAAGATTCGAGCTTCCATAAAATGTGTCCATTTTCCACAGCTCCATGGGAGTCACTTTTATAAAGAAATTTACGTGTCCGAGAATCAGTAGAGCTTACGAAAAGCCTCAGCTACCGTCTGTGTTCGATCGCTATCACGATGATCATAATCACGACGACGATATTCATTCGAGTAGTGAAGACAATACGCACTGTCGACTTCTAGTGGTTACCGGCCACACTAGTTGATATGCTTCTGCGCGTCGGAGCATACGATGAGATTTTCAAACTCGACGTGGCTATCTCTAGCACCATCACTCGCCAGTCTCACGATCCAGATCCCATTGAATATGCCGAACGAACCTCCATTCCAGACTTCTCTGTCGCAGCCGTTTGCCCCAGATGTAGAGGGGTAGAGCGAGAGTGAACCAACCAAACACAATACCTGCCAAGGTGCCAAATACTACTGCCGGTCCATCTTTCGCAAGCCATGAGTTGGTGTAGAATGCGATGAGAAACGCAAACGCCGCTGCAACATGTCAGGGATATCCAATGCTCGTGTCTGTGGAAAATTTCAGATACGTACACTTGAAGGCCATGATTGAGACGACACATTCTCCTGCAATGGGACGATAGGCATCAACGATGTAGGCCATGCCTCCTGTGGTACCGCCAACAATTCCCACAGCGACTGCAGATTGATGTTAGATTTACCTTGACTAGTCAAATGGAGCGACTTACTGATGGCAAGACCCACGACAGGTACAATCCAATGAGTATGGTGTTCTAGACCGAATCCATATATGAGTAAGCCTCCAGTAAGCATCAACGCAGGAAGAATACAGAATGGGAGTCGATGCTCAGGCTCTCTAATGCCACCGGCACGAGCAGTGAAGAAGTCCGCAGTCGTATCTGTGAGTATACCACAGACAGGCATACCGATGGCTGAACCGATAATCACGGATATCCAGCAGAGTCCAGCTTGCCAGGTTTCGAATTGATAGATTGTGTGGAAGTCGTTGGCCAAAGATACAGACAGGACGACCACGATGCCTACAACGAGACCAATGATGACCGTGGACCAGATTACAGGTGGGAGTACGAGTAACAAGATGGGTCGGATGAAGATTTTCAAGAATGACTCCTTGGTCTGAGCAGGCGTGACAAATGCTAGGTTCTCTCGGAAGGTCTTTTTCCCTGGTCTACCACTTGCTTCAGCGATGGGTTCGGGTGAGAGTCTCTCAACCTGCAAATCGGCGGGTGACTTGTCGAAATCTTTGCTGATCCGAGATACTGGCTCGAGTTTGTGAACTTCTGGCGTGCGGATGTATGCAGTCTCTGGCATTGTGAGATATGCCAGTAATGTGAACAGGAAAATGAGACCTGTGCTGAGATAGTACATCGCTCGCCAGTCTGTGCCCAGGGTGAAGAAACCGCCAACTATACTGCCCAGAGGAGCACCAGCTGACAGGGCGGCCGCGAAGATCCTTTTGTAATCAGTCAGCATTGCTCCGAGATATGGGAGCTTCTCTTGACTCGGTCAGACTCACGCCATATAAGTGCCTCTTTCGTGCAGGAAGAACAAATCCGCGACGGTCAGTGGTGCCACACATTCTGCTGTTCCTGCGAACCAACCCATCACCAATCTCGCGGCCAGCAGATTGGCGAACGGCTCTGCTCTTGCGGCCCAGATTGTCGTAGCTCCGAACAGCAGGAACGCGAATACATAGACCTTTCTCCTACCATATTTCAGCGCCACTGGGACCCAGAGGAGGTTAGAGATACCCTGGACCAGTGCAGCACCCGAGAACAAATACGCAGCTTTGGTCAATCCATCCGTGAATCTAGCAATCGACGCCGGCGCAAGAGTTGCAGGAATGAGAGGTGAAGGGGGATACGCATGGAAAATATCAATGGTGAGTTCGACGAGAGCGATTGAGGGCCCAGCGGCGACAAAGTTCGACAAGATCAGTGCTGAGCTTGTTAAACACATCAGGTATATCTTATATGTTTGCGACCTCGGATGATGAGTTAGTGGCAGAGCATTGTAATGATAATGGAAGCCACTTACCAATTCAAGGGATCATTAGGATCGTTGGACGGCGTTGGGTAGAGAATACGCTCGTTTGTTCCTTCCTTTGTGAGGCGGACTGAACCGAGGGTACGCACCCGGCCCATATTCGACTCCCTTATCTGAGCAATCTCAATATCGAGATCTCGAGTAGACATATCTGCAGCAGTTGCGGGATGTTTGTGGTCCTGGTACACTGGCAAGAGTGAAAGTGCAGAAATTGTACCGGGTCTGTTCATATAGGCAAACTTGCCAGGGAGAGGAGCATGAGTGCTATGGCGGTAACGGCCCTCCGCACAAATTCACGGGGTTGTGGAGACCTGGGGCCCCGGATCGTACTACCAGTGGGATTCAGCTAAGTCTAAAGGTAATCGCCTGGTCAGTCGAGCGTATACTTTCCTCCACACATGCCGACCTGTTAACAGCACCCAGAAGATTTGCCAGTACTGAATCAACACACATGTACGACTCCCGATTGGCCATTCTTGACACCGTTGTCGGTCGGAGGTACTGGACCGCATCCAGTCGAACAATCATGGTTCCATTCCCACGGGATGAGGTACAATGCAAAGGTGGTCCGTGTATCCTGGTACTTCTCTAACCCTAGATGCATTGTTGGACTCTAATGTGGAGCTTCGACAACATCTTGCGGCCGCGGAAAAATAGTTGCTCATGAACAGGACATGGCTACAAATTTGTCTTGATCATCGGTTCGGTGGAGATACAACTTGATACAACTTGATACAGATTTGTCTATCGCAAATACCCTGCAGGGCTTCGTCAATCAATGTGAAGACAAATTAAGTATGCCCTGACGAGACCAGTCTATGCTGACGACGTGCTCCTACCACCGAATGCGCAGATTATACAAACACCTACGCTGGAATTATTGGGAGCACGACGTAGTTGCTGTACTTGGGGCCGAAGTGAAGATGGTTGATGCCCCCGAAGCGCTCCGGTGATCTGAATAAGTGTTAGTCAGAGAGACTTTGAATTTCTTGGGCTCAGTGTGTGCTTACCTCTCGGACGATTCGTGGCTGAAGATTCCAACGCCCTGCGTGTCTCCGCCACTGATCTCGAAAGACAGCCTTTCGCCCTTCTGTAAGACGATTTGGGTAGGCCAGACCTCGACGTCTAGGCCGTAAATCTCGCCTGGAATCACAGGTTGCACGTCCGTGGAGAAGTAGTCGCGCCAAGGCCTGTACTCTCGATGGTTCGGGTGCTCTGTGTTGACCTTACGCAGACTCACGCGTTGCCAGCCTTTACTCACAGGCACAGGGTCGCCGATCGAGCCTGTGTAGAAGACCTCAGATCCATCTGCTGCCCAGTGGCGGATGGTGACAAAGATGTCAATGTCCTTAGGCGTTCCTCCGGTCAGCTCGGGCGTTACAGACACATTGACGTGTGCAACAATATGACCAGTGATTTCGATATCTTGCTCATAAGCGTTGGTCATGAAACGAACATACGAGTTGTCATCAGGGACGGTCAGAGCTGGATAGGATAGGCGCTTATGGAACGAGCAGCTTGGCTGGTCTGGTGTAAAAGCAAGATCCGGTGTCAGGTAGTATTTGGTGTAGGCAGTCCTCGCCAAAGGCCATTCGTTTTCATGACGGAATTGGAAAGCACGACCGGATGCCGCTTCGATGGTGTCATGCTTGAAAGGTGTTTTGCGTATGGCAAGCTCAACCGCCGGCTTCTTACCTTGGGTCCAGCCTGCGTAGTCATCGTCTTTGCAGAACGCGCTGAGGAAACTCTTTTGGAGCTCAACGTCGGCGTCGTTGTAGAAGGGCAGATCGTGTCTACCAGAGCCGAGACGGAGAAACTTGTACTGCGAGCCTGCTTGCACAAACGCTTCGATGTTTCCGCGAAGATGAACGACAATGTTACCGAGATTTCCGACCGAAAGCAAAGGAACCTCAATGTCTTCCAGGTTGTAGTCGCGGGAGGCATAGTATTCCTCATCGCGGAAGAAACTCTTCGAGTTGTCGAGCAACTGATCACGAACGTTGTTCGCGAGCTCTTCTTCAGACAGATCACCTTCGATGGTGTCTGGGCCACGTTGGTTCTTGGACCGGTTGGGAAGTCCGTACTGGTTCGACTTTACTTGTCTGTTGAACCAGAACCCGAGGAAAGGTGCAGTCAAGATGCCACCATGACGGCAACGATCGCGATAATAATCTGCCATGCCTTCATAGGGGATGATACAAGCAAGACCGCGAGGGCGTCGGGCTGCAACACGCCACTGGCTGCCAGCGAAGTAACTGATACCCAGAAGACCAACCTTGCCGTTGGACCATGGCTGATCTGCGGCCCACTCGATCACTTCGAAGAAAGCATCGGTAGTGGACTTTGACATAGTGTCGGCCACACCTGGTGATTGACCAATACCGACTTCATCTGCGCGAACGACCGCATAGCCTTCGTCGGTCCAAAATTTCGGGTCTGGTGTCTCGAATGCCGAATGCTCTGGAATGGTCTTGTGCTTCGGGTTGACGTCGTGGAACGAATGCGCGAGGAATCTTCTTAGGTCAGAGTCTTGTGTAGGTCACGATAACCGGAAGTACTTACTCTTCGTAGGGTGTGTCTTTTCCGTATGGCCCGTATGTTATGATGACGGGAACCTTCTCAGCACCTTTGGGACGATAAACATTCAAACGCACAAGTCCGGTGTTACTGCGCAGCTTGACGGTGACATTCTGCTCGAAGATGTAAGGATAGGTCTCCTTATCGATAGAGGCAATGTCGCGAATCTGGTTTGGCATGATATATGATTAGAATACAATTGAGTAGGAATCATTGGGCTATAATCATGGACGAGCGACGAACAGATGTATACCTGTCTGCTATATGAGACAGGTTGTTCGGGGCGAGTTTGCGGGGCGCGGCGCGTCTGGAGAATTTGCGGAGGGACAATTGCGGAGCCGAGAGCATTCGGGAAGCTGGGGCATATCGGCACTCCTCGGGCGTCAGACAGCGCGACATCGGTATGGTAGCTATTCGAACCAGGCGATAGCGACCCCTCGATGGCCCTAAGTTGTGTGACCTGTGCTGATAAGTAATGTTCTGGCCTGCGCACGACCCCATTCAAGCCTCTCTCAGATACCAAATTGAAACTGTGAACAATGACTGGTAAGTTAAGGTGCCATCAAACAACAAACCTTCCGGCTGACCACTGTCGCAATACAGCGCCAGTATACTTTCTGTCTCACGGAACAGCGTTCCTTCTCCAGAATGACTCTCGTGTGAGAGATTATTGGAGAAAGATTGGTCAAGAAGCACTTGCGCATGGCTGCAAGGGAGTAATCATGATGGTGTTCTTCGCCGTTTCCGAAAAGATCGGACATACCAGGCTTACATCGAACAGGCGGCACACTGGAACGTCAACGGCGATAACCAAATCAAAGTCGCCATGAAACCCGAGCCAGGAATGATGCCACTCACGAATGCCCATCCTGACATCTGGAAGAATTTCAAGCCAAACACAGATATCAAGACAGGCCAGCGTGTCATCAACCTGCTGAACGATGCAGGATTTGAGGCAGAAGGTGATGAGCAGTTCGATTGGATGATCGATTCGGAGATAGCCCTGGTCGGTATGTTCGGAGACAAGTGTCCACCCACAGTCATCATCTCTCAGAACTCTTACTGGGATCCCTGGTTCCATGCTCGTGTTGGTACTGCTATTCGATCTCTTCGACAGGAGGGCTATTTAATCATTGGGTCGGGAGGCGGCACTCACAATCTGTATCGTACCGAATGGCACTACGCCCTTAAGTACAGGGACGTGTTCGCCATGGAAAGCCCTCCTGATCCGACTAATCTCGAATTTCGTCAAGCGCTGCAAGATGTCATTTGCAAGACTGGAGGAGGCCCAGAGTTGAAGAGAGGTCTGTGCAGACTCATGAAGCATCCATACTTTCGGGATGCTCATGGAACAGATGAACACTATGTCTCTGCATGTTTTGTGGCCGGCGCTATCGGAGAGGTAGAGGACAGAGGTGCCAAAGGCGTGCTAGGGGCCGAAGTTTGGGAACTGGTACGTAATTCCTGGTGGGAGCCTCCCCTACTGCGAGCTAATGGATGATAAACAGCGAAGCCAGTGCGAGTCTCAGTTCTCCATCGGATCTTGGGAAGAGGCTTCAGCTATCAAGGTCTGAAGAGTCGCGGGAAAGTTTGCGAATCGCATTTTGTCAACAGTCAATACTCTGGGCGCGTCGGGCTGCGGTCAGCGTAATCTGATTCAAGCAATCAATACTGGGCCCTAACTATATGCGAAAATTGTCTCCGTAATTTGAGAGATTCCCGGACCATGACGAGACATGTGCAAGACTTGAGTACAACAGCGACGCCGTCGGTTTTATAATGTGGAATGTTGGCGTTGTGTCTGCGGCGCAAGGAAAGGCGTGTCACATCGCGACGCCATGATACAGCATGTCAAAAATACTTGGCTGTGCACGACATTTGGCCATCCCTCGAGACGACCGCGAATACTGACGCGAGCACACTGGCCATGAAGTGTGCATTACACAATATCGCTAGCTATTCTTATCAAACATCGATCATCTCTTTCCCTGCATTCAACCTTGCCACGCATTCTCTCACACCTGGATAGGTGAAATTATACTGGGTGTACTTCCACATCTTGCTAGGGTCTTTGCGCCCGTGCTGGTCGCGCGTGTGGTTCTGGATAGTCGAGGCCCGCTCTCTGCGCACTCTGTCGAAGTCCCTCAAGATGTCCGGCACTGTCGTACGATCTACATCCTGTCCTTTGAACAGGAAAAATCCCTCAGCATCCTCGATGGCCTGGTTGCCACCTTGTCCTTGATGAGGCGTCATGGCGTGCGCGGCGTCACCTATGATTACTGTTCTGCCCTTGATATAGGTTGGGAGAGGATCTTGATCGCGCAATTGCCAAAGGCGAATGTCCTTTGCCTGCCTTCAAAGAACCGACATGTCAATATGTTGACGAAGCACTCTGAAGCTGAGACACTTACTTGAAGAAGCTTAACAGCTTTGGATCGAAACCATCATACACTCTCAGCAAATCCTCCTTTGATCCAGTGGCGGACCAAGACTCAGTAGTCTCGTGACCGATGAGCTTGTCTGAGGCAATGCAACCCACGTTGACTAGATCAAAGTTGCGGCATGGGTAGACGACGACCTGTCTTCCTACTCCTTCGTATATCTGCAGACTGGCTGGTTTCGTAGCATCAATCGCTCTAAAGTCTGGGTCAATGCTAGCGACGACATCGCGCGGCAATGTGAATCTGAAAGCTGAGGATCCAGATGGTCTCGCGGTGCGGAAAGCCTCGTCGCCTACGACTTTGAGGCGCACAAGCGATTTGATCCCGTCCGCCCCTGCAAGATGTGCCGTCAGTGATCTTGTCTTTGGCTGTTCCGGGCTTCAAGTTATCTTACCGACAACGAGATCAGACTCAAATTCACGTCCATCTGCGAGCTTCACGAGCCCGCTCTCGACATTCAGATCGATGACCTCGCATCCCCAAAGTATCGAGGCAGGTTGCCCGCTTATCCCGAGATTTGCTGACGATGCAGTGGCTAAGCGATGGAATTCGTCCCACAGATCTGCTCTGTGCTGGAAATACCACTCCCCTCCAAAGGTCGCCTTGAGATCGCCGAATTGGTTAGTGAAGGTCACATCTCCCTTCTCGTTGTAATGGATGCCCATAGACGCCGATAAAGATCCAGCGTTCTCTGCTATAAAGCCTAGAGCCTTTGCTATTTTCGTGCCATTAGGACCCATGTTGATGGCGGCTCCAAGCTCAGCACCACCGGACCACTTTTCCAGCACTGTGACGTTGTGATCTTCGCGCAAGACTCGAGCTGCGAGTAATCCGGCAAGGCCGGCGCCAATGATAGTTACGTTCAGTGGTTTGGTCATGTTGGAAAATATATAAGCAGAAACCCGGCTGTAATTTGTCTCAAGTTTGAGTGAAAGGATGGGGTATATCAAGCAAGAAGGAGACTTGACAGAGGATTGCTCGTAGCTACTTCTGTTGTTGAGAGCAGCGATTGTATTGCTCAATCCCGCATCCAGACCCGGGCGATCATTCGGCTCGTGGGGGAGCAAGATCATGGGGAAATGCGGGACCGCAGCCAGTTTACGGGGTTGGTTCCACTGCGCCCCCCAGATACGCTCTGCCGTCCGGGGACAGGATCTCAAGAGGCTCCCGGCTCCTTCAATCTCTGGAATACGTGTGTATCCTGTCTGATTGGTCACATTGTCAGGGCACATGGCCGTCGAGACTCCACGGCGTCCCGACTTTCGGGATCCGGACGTTACGTATTTGCAACAAGCATCTGAGCACGTGGTATGCAAAAAGTGTGCTTTCAACAATTGACTGTACTTAGAAAAGTTTGCTCGACGATCATGACTAGACAAGCTACATACAAAACCCACGGCAGGGCGTAACGTTGAATTCATCGAGTCACCCAATGACTCTCCTATACGCCCAAATGGTGGTGTAAGCAGCACCAGCGATGGTTCCCAGTATGACTGGAAGCAAGTATACTGTAGCGCCCAGCAAAACTCCAGTTTCGAAGAATCCCCATGCACCCGCAGCTGCCTGACCTGTGGGCTTCAAGGGCTCCGACGCATGTGCCAATATGGCCGCACTGCGTGGCGTGTTACGCAACTTCCAAACATTGGAAGCCGCGTGAACTTTGACACCCGGCGCAATCTGTGGACTGGGCTTTTCAAACATTCCTTTGATATAGCGTAGTTCAGGACGCACAGGATATCCTACAGGACCAGCTGGACCAACTAAGGTATCATTAGCGACCAGGTCATTGGCTAAAATGTCTACGCTTTGCCTAGGACTTACTAAGCAACTCGGCGGGGATGTGATTGACGAATGTCACAGCGCTCGGTATGAATTGAGACAAATATTTCGCTTCAGGGCCGTCAGCAAACGTGAATAGCGCATTCATCGTCGCATCTTGTGAAAGGACCAAGTCGATCACATCGTCGAGACTAGTAATTTTGTGGACCACGAGAAGGGGGCGTTTGATCTTGTCATGCAACAACTGGCTAGATCTGTGTTTGGATTAGACCGGACCGGACCTGACTTGAGGAGCCACTCACCTCGATTTGATCAAGACCACTCTGGCGTTACCTTGACTGCAGACTATCTCGTCATAATCCGCGAGGAGCTCTAGTTGCGTTGGCTTGTTCTCTCGATCATGCTTGCGAGTGTTTGTGCTGTTTACAGTCTGGTCGAGGGCTTCTGCATGCATGGACATTTGCTTCTGCAGAGCAACAAGGAACTCGTCGGCCACGAATTCGTTCACGAAGACCTGGTCTACCGCATAGTGACTCTGGCCAGAGTATTGCATTCTGGAAGCGAACACCTCTTTGGCTGCAAGGTCCACTTTTGTCGTACGGTCCACGACTGCTATCGCCCTGCCTGAAGACTTTGAGCTTATTGTTCTGTCGTATCTTGAGCTCAAAGGCTCGGCCGTCTGATCGATGACCAAACACTTTTCCAAAAAAGATTCTGGAGCTCTCTTCGGGATCGTCACATAAGCTTCCTTATCAAGTGCGGCCTCCATTATCTGACGAATGATGGTGGTCGATTGATCCGGGAGATTGGGTAGCTACGCTCTCGGTCAATTCGCCGCTAGTCATGAGAGTTATCGTGTTTCGTACCTCGACAACGCAGCAGGTTCCAGATTCTATCGCAGCAGAGACCGCGCTGAAAACATTGAACGCTTTGGTGAAGTCTCCAACGATCATGTACGCAAGGCCGACAGTGACTCGTCTGTCTTCCCAACTCTTACCCCATCTGATGTTGTACTCTTGGGCAAGCTCTTTATCGAAGTTGATGTTATCGTAATGCTGGCGAACTTCGAGCAGCATGGCCGAGACAACAATATTTGCTTCTTCGATGGTTAGGCCGTAGTCCTTCTGCATGGCATATACAAGGGAGCTCTTGTGATCAGTCAGCGACTTGAATAAGGATGAAAGCTGCTTCTGTCGAGTGCGAATGCTTCCCATACGTCCATCTATTGCAGCATTTTGTACGCTAGCAAGAGTTGTGGTGATGTGTTCGTTCTGCGCCATGTTGTAGTTGAATCACTTCGTTCTGCTGATCTTTGACTTCGGTCATCTACCACATAGGGGTGCTACAGTTATTTCTCGATCTTTGTGCTGTGGTTCTTGTGTTCGTCGAAACTCCGGCTCGGCTCCTCCTCAATTCCTACAGCTCCCCCACTCTCCACACTGGGGCGTCCCCGGACTAGTCTCCGCGACTTGATCCAACGGTCACTCTAACAGCCGCTTGATGTTTGAATTGAAGGTTGACCTGCCCTCCTTCGAGCGCTGTCACCTTTACCGCTCTCTCTCTTTCGTCCGCATACACCGGTTGTATCGATCACTATCCTCAAACACCACATCGAGATGTCTACTATGTCGCAGACTTCGGTTCTGACCACGTCCCTCCACCTACAAGCAGTAGAAGATGATTACGAGAATGAGAGCAGAGTAGGGTCACTCAGGGAGGCTGCACTTGCAGCTGAAGCCGCCGGCGACTTTCTCACTTCCAACGGCCAGCCAACCGGACAAGAGCCCAATATCAACCCACAATGGTGGCCTGAGCATGAACATCGTCGCGTTCCATTATATCAACAGGCTGTTGCCCATCCGCATTGGTATGCAATTGGAGGAGATACCCCCGCCATCCGATGGTTCATGTGGACCATGTTCAGTGGATGCCAAATCATCCAAGTAAGCCGAGCACGATGTCCAAATGCATGTGATATGGCTGATATTGTTATAGCATGCGTATTCTATCCCGAGGTTTTTGGGATTCCACAAATACCGCAAGATGCAGTACAAGGTTGCCAACGAGTGGTGAATCTCGAGAAATTTCACAAGAGACGCCGTTGTCATTTGATCGATCGATAGCTTAGCTCTACTGGAAGTACTGAATGATTACTACACACTATATTTATCATTCATCTTCTTCTGCGCTTGCAACGACCAGTCAAGCCCTGATAGCAGAACGTACATCGTTTCCAGCCGAGGGGTATCTACGTCCAGAGCTCGAGCAGTAGAGACGACTTCCCCAATGATCGCTTTCACTTCTAGCTTGTTACTCGCATGCATGTCAGCCATCATGCTTGGCTCCACACCCGGCCATTCTCTTCCCGCACTTCTCAATAGCTGCGCGTCGATTGCATCCTTAGTGATCACAGCTGTGTAACCAGATGCTGCAGCCACAGCCGCTACCTCTTCCATTGCACAGCGCACGAATTCGGTGGCGAGCGACGAAGAATTCAAGAACTCCAAGTCCCGACACCTCGAGAGAGCACAAATAGGATTCCAAGTTGTATTTCCGATAAGCTTTTTCCATCTCTCAACCTGGATGTCCTCGCAGATTGTCACATTCGACCCTCCAGTCTTGAGCAAGTTGGCCAGAGAGTCGAGTTTGTCTTGGTCTTTCAGGTGATCGACTGCGGGATAGCATCCGATGTGAAGTTTTTGCGTTTCAGTGTGCGAGAAAACGCCAGTCGCGATCTGCGATGTTGGAGAATAGGTGACTGCAGAGATGATGGCACCAGGAACGGAGAGCTTTGCGAATTCTTTTTCCACGCCCAGACCGTTTTGAATGATCACCAAAGAGGTCTTATGAGACGCCAAAGCAGGAAGTAAAGCTGCGGCTACGGAAGATTGGGTCGTGGATGTTGCTTTCGTGCACACAAGAACAAAGTCGAATGGTTGATCGTATAGAGACAGAGCCTCCTCCACGGAGCTTACAATCGCAGGCTTGAAAGTGTGTTCTCCGAAAATGGTCGATTTGATGGTGAAGCCATGGAGTCGTGCGACGTTGTAATTAGATCTGCAAACACAGGTGACTTCTGCCCCGGCCTCATGCAGAAAAAAGCTGTAGAGTACCCCGACACTGCCGGATCCAAACACGAGTATGCGAGACATGATGAGATGAAATTGCAAGTAGGAAATTTGGTGCGAGAACGAGAGTATATGGGTTTTGTTCCGAATATGAGGTCCCGAGAGGACATGGCGGACCCGAACCACCGCGGGAAACCCGTCTGTCTGGTTCTAACACGACGGAATATTTCACCCGAACCCTGCGCAAGGAAACTGAACGTAGTGAAGTAAGACTTGTCTACGGTATCTTAATTAGACTACTGATCTACGACAAAGCCATCCTTGTGCAGCCTCATGCTGATTGGCTGGACAAATGGAGGGCGAATCGACTGAGCATCATCAAGCACATTGACGCCAAGTCCTGGTCCTGTAGGAATATCTACGAAGCCATCTTTGACCTCCGGGACATGATCAACAATGTTCGCACCAAGATGTTCGATGGTCGAAGTGAAAACACCTGCTTCAAATCCAGTAGCATACTCTTGAATGGCGAAATTAGGGATGGCCGCAGCGATCTGAAGGCAAGCTGCCAACCCAACAGGTGAGAGCGGATTATGGGGGACAACTTGGCAGTTGTGAGCCTCTGCCATAGCGGCGACTTTCTTCGCTCCGGTGATTCCTCCACAAACTGCTACATCCACACGCACATATTCCAGAGCGTTTCGGCTAAGCAAAGCTTGAAACTCGTAGATGGTGAAGAAGCGCTCTCCAGTGGCTATGGGTACTGCAATGCGATCGGCCACACGAGCCATGGCATCAGCGTTCTCGGGACGAATAGGATCCTCAACGAACATCGGGTTGTCATCCTTGATGAGGTTGGTGAACGTAACGGCCTCTGCGGGTGTCAAGCGGCGGTGCAGCTCGATGAGCAGATCGACCTTATCCCCGACAACAGCACGCATCTTGTGAACATTCTCGGCTGCGTCTTGCATTTTCTTGACGTGAGTCTTGAAGTAGACCTGGTCGTTGCCCTCATCCAGGAAAGGGTTGATATGGCCAAAGGCAGTGTATCCCATGTCCATCTTCCGCTTACATTCCTCCAACACGCCCTCGATGGTCTTTTCGTAGATGTGACCATAAACGCGAGCTTTGTTGCGACAGGCGCCGCCTAGCAATTCATAGATTGGCACACCTAGTGCCTTGCCCTTGATGTCCCAGAGGGCAATATCGATACCGGAGATGGCGGCGTTGATGGCTAAGCCCTGGAAATAGCTGAATCGGTGCATCACATTCCAGTGATGCTCAATAGCGAATGCAGGCTTGCCGACCAGGTATTCTGCGAAACGTGTGACGGCTGTTGCTGCGGCCTCAATATGGCCCCAGACTCCTCCCTCTCCCCATCCAACGATATTGTTGTCGGTCTCAATACGGACGAACAGGAACTGTCCGACATGTAACGGCTCTACGGACTTGATGTTTGGTCCATAAACCATGATTAATGATGACGTGAATCGTGATGTATGATGATGACTTTGTTGATGACTTGGGGCAGGGCATCAAGGCCATCTTTTTACTATTTTATTATAGTCGGCGAGCCGACCTCGCAGACTCTTTCAGACATGTGAGTGCCCATCATTGAACGACTCTCGGGACTGTTGGAGGAGGATGTTGATGGTGGCAGCCGCTCGGCTGGCTCGGCCCCTCATTTATGCAGCATCTTGGCCGGCGGCGCTCCCTAGCGAGCTGGTTCGTCTAGCGTCGCGACTGCCTCATCAAATTGTCTTTCGCACATCCATTCGTGTGATCAAGATGGCTTCGAGACAGCGACCATCTCCTATAATATCATACCTTGCTTGCTGATAGTAGGATTCACTCAATCGATATCAGAAATGATGATGTCGGCCTTAGTCAATGCAGGTGCAGTATCTTATTATACATTTACAACGAACGAGGTCCAGGATCTCCGCCAAACTCTCCGGACAGTGATGAGCATCTTCCCACCGTTCCTTCCACCGGATGTCGAGCTTCCTTGATCCGAGAATACGCATTCTACCAAAGTCGGTTAGATCGAACCTCAACCCCGCAAGCATACTCCGCATAATTCTTCCCCACTGACCTTTGGTCACTTCACATCGTCTTTCTCTTCTGACTGTGTAGTGGTGCGTATTAGAACTCCCACTTCGCCTTGCGTCAACAACGGCGCCAGTATGGTATTGCCTCAGACTGCCGATGCTCAGATGATACCAGCGACCACACTCTTGTTCCAATGCACCATCTGTCAACGAGCATTCTCCCGAGTAGACCATCTCTCGCGGCATGTGCGTACTCGTGAGTTGATCCAGATCCAAATCTATCGCGTCATCCTGACATCGACATTAGACACGCTTGAAAAGCCTTATAGTTGCGAGTTTTGCGACAAGAAGTTTTCACGAGTGTATGATCGCTGACTGGTCGGTTGCGAGTCTTGCTGACTCAAGAGGCGAATAGGGATCTTTTAAAGCGCCATGCTTGTCGACAGGCTCCTTACGGCAATTCTAGGACCTCCAAATCTCATCTTGGAGTGACTTATCGAGTCGGTCAAGCATGTAAAGCATGTGCTGCTTCCAAAATAAGATGTACCGATAGTAAGCCTTGTCATCGCTGTGTGAACAAGAACATCACCTGTGAGGTTGACTGTCCGGAAGAGCCGACACATACTCCAAACCTCGATACAGCTGGTATAGCGATACAAAACGTCCCACCGCAAACTTCGGATTTGTCGACTCCGGGAGAACTCGATCTGGCATCCGTGGACATTGAAACACAGCCTGCATTGCACTCCGAAAGTTTACCGTCACTTGTCACTTCATCCCATACCGCAGCGGACTCTGTCGTACTCACACCCTCCCTAGACAGTCATAGCACTATGTCTTGTAGCTTCGCAGTGCCGGCCACACCAAACTTCGATCTGAACGTTGCAGAGTCAAGCGAGACGTACGCAGACTTTCTGAAATGCTTGCTTGATAACGGTTCCTATAACAACATGTACCCACCGCTTATGTCTGCGGATGACTTTAGCGTTGGCTTTTGGGACGACTACCTTGATGCGAACATGAGCTTCCAGAGCAACGCTGATGTTCAAGGTTCTGTAGCGCCGATGATTATGAATACATCCACAACGCACACAGGTTCCCGGAACGGCAGTAAAGACATAAACACACTTGAGCAAAAGGCTTTTCACGCAGCTGCAAATGCTTTTGAGGAGTCCGGATGGAATTGGTCTCCTAGTTCTCAAGATCATCGATCTGCAGACCATGGCGGCCTCTCACTGCCACACGATTGGGCCCGTCAGGAAAGCATTCTCCAACCAGACGACGACTTCTTGGCAAAGCAAATGCGACCGACAGATCGTGAACGAGTCATGGGACTCTTGTTGACTTATTGCTCCAAACAACATCTAGCAAGAATGGTTTCAACCTTCCCATCAATTAGCGCTTTAAACGGTCTCGTTCATCGCTTCCTTCGTTGTCAAATTTCCAGTCATGAGCCGTGGATTCACATTCCTAGTTTTGATCTAACTACGATACGCCCTGAGCTTTTGGCTGCCATCCTGGCGCACGGAGCATGTTCTACGCCTGTTGAAGTGATAACAAGGCTTGGCTATGCAATGATAGATATTGTTCGTACGGCCGTCATTGATAATGTGAGTCCGAGGTATACTTCTGATACGAGTTGGAGCTGACAACGACGATCAAAGTGGTATAGCGACAATAGTCTGTCACGAGATCTGCAGCTCTTGCAGTCGCTGCGTTAGTCCTTGCATCTTCGTCCGACCTGCAGACACTTGACCGCTGACTTTCTGCAGTGCTTACACTCAATCTGGCGATGTGGAGTGGCAATAGATGCATGATGGAGATAGCAGAATCCACCATGGGTCCAAGCATTACAATCGTACGACGAGCTGGATGGCTGCGGGAAGATCTGTACCCGGTCATCGAACTTCAAGCTTCTGAGGAAGGCATGCAATTACATCAAAAGTGGACTGCTTGGATACAACAAGAGTCGAGGAAACGGTATCTCCAGGATTCCGATCACTCGCACACAAAGCTGAAAGCTGACGGATGATTTTAGGCTTTGCTATCGCACATTCTTGTTCGACGCTCGAGTGTCTTTGACACGGATGACCAGTCCCACAATGTCATTCACAGAAATGACATTGCCATATCCTGATAAGGCTGAGCTTTGGTCAGCTACCAATGCATTAGAATGGAAAGCCCTTTACCTCGAGCATTGTCAACACAAAACGCCCCGCTCGAGAGTATCACTCGCCGAGGACATGCGTGCGTTGATTAGTGAAAGCAGTATCCCAGTAGACTGTGATACAGCATGGCGCAACGATGTCTTGCTGCACGGTTTGTGGAGGCTGATCTGGGGTCATCGCGAGGTGGAAGATCTGTTACAAATCTCGAGTCCCGAACACGACGAATCATCCTCCTCGCTCCCCTCACGCGGGGAAGGACTGGCAAAGATTCTGAACAAACTCAGACTGGAAGTCGAGCTAGCATCGACAATGAAACCAAGCGACGTCACTGGAGATGCGATTATGATTCAAGAGTTCTTGAACATGACACTACATGCATCCATACAATCACTACAGGCCTTCGCTGGTAAAGACGGCGTAGCAGCTGCGCAGCGAGTATACCCCATGCTAGAGGAATGGACTCAGTCGAAATCAGCAAGACGAGCTGTTTGGCACGCAGGCCAACTCATCCGAGCGGCACAAGCAACCTCAACACGACCGATACGAGAGTGGCGTGTGGTAGTTGTTTACCACGCCAGTCTAGTTTTCTGGGCCTACGGAATAATAAGCAGCATACGTCAAAAGCGGGACGCGGTTTCAGATACTGATTCCCAAACCAAGGCCGCCGTATGTCTAGACGGAGAACAAGATACTATGGTTCGACGCTTCATCAACCTCGGAGAAGGCGAACCATGTCTACTCAACCACTCGAGCTCTCCGGACGCAAGTCACGATGACTCTTTTATATCCCAGAAAGTACCGTTGCGCAAGGCGAGCAAAATCATGCAGATGACGGCCCAGATCCTGACGGAGCAGGTGGCGGGAGATTGCAGGATATCCCCACCGCTCACTGAGCGCTTTGCAAGACTGATGAACGAGCTTGCTAGATCTGCCAGAGCGATAGGTCTGGGTTGAAAAATGCAAGAGTTGGCATGCTTTAAATCAATGCCAGGGCAGCAGCTCCTGATCTATTCATTTTCCGACGTCAAGTGGTTGGAGTTTGGCATACGACTTCCATTGTTCTCCACTGCATGTCACGACATTCGAGTTTCTTCGCAAGGAGCTCACTCTACGGGCGCATCATCGTGAACTGGATCGGCGAACCATTTTTGATTTTCAGGCTTGCCCAATCATTACTTTTGCGTATGTCAAAGACACAGAAGTCTGATTTGAACAAAGCAGGCAGAAATAAAAAAAATCAGCTACTCGTGTAGCCATCTTCGTGCCATAGTAACCTGCCTCGAAAGGCGTTTCTTGATGAGACTCATGTTACTAAGATCATCGTGCTTGCTCAAACTTTTACAAGAAGAGTTCGCGCTTTCTTGCGCAACTTCCAAAAATCCGGGCGTAGAGTCGGGCAATCACAAGCTTCCTACAACGACCAGCTCACACTGCAATATACTCTACCAGACTACAACCACTATTGATATACTGCAAATATCAACAAGTCTGCCGACAAGTCTCTCCCTCTGAGTGGCAGGTGGTTCCAAGCCCTTCTCAAGGCAGACGACGAATCGCAATCAGTCACCATCATGGTGCAGTCAGTCACAGCAGAGGTCCTCTCACGCGCCTTTGTGGAGGATGCGATACTCGGGTTTTATGGCTGCAGTCCCATGGCCCGCTGCGAAGACCCCGAAAGACCACTCGACGGCATCCATGAACACGATGAGAAGCCAAGCTGGCTGACTGAAAAGGTCAACGAAAGTCCGGATTGGCACTACAAGACTGGCTACACTGATCAGGGACTGGCCAGGCCAGACGATCCGGATATCGACATCAAATCCTCAGACTGGACATGAAGAACTAGATCGCTCTTTATAGCAGAAAGTCGAGCGGAAAGAGCAACGAAGACTCAGACAAGAATCAGAAGCAGAGACTTCCGAGCCCGACAAGTCCAAAGATCCAGCAGCAGAGAAAATAGTCGCCCCCTTTGAACTCGGAGATTTTTGCATGTTGATGCCCTGCTTTGTTCATTGTAAAGAAAGGGTGTGACAGTACAATGCACATGGAGAGGTGTTGAACGCTGTCGTTGAACCATTATAGAATGACCGTGAGCAGCAAAGCAGTGAGTCGCGCCCATTTGTTTGTGGTCCATGGTCATTGTAAGGATTTTATCGAGAAGAATATTACAAGTCGAGGTCAGAGTCGAATACCTTACAACATCAGCTCTACAGCTTTGAATCCAGAGCAGACAGGTGAAGTGTAAGCAGAGATGATAGCAAGAGCTTGGAGCACCAAGACGAGACATGGCCCAAGCTCCAGCCCCAGCCTTTCGTCATTCCCCGCATGACATCAAGGTGACCACTTGAATGATGAAAGGGAAACAACGCACCCAAAAAACCACCCGCCTTTGTTCCTTCCCTCTTCCACCCCCTCACCTTTTTCCAATTCCCACACAAATGCGTCCGTTCACTCCACGCTACATTCAACAGACCGCAAGCATCCTCAGCAGACCCGCAAGCCTACAATTCGCTAGAACTCAGCCTTTGAACCAGACGACACAAACAGCAGCCATGTCTACTTCGGGACTCAAGATTGAAAACACAAACATCAAGACTGCACCTGGTGTCAGTCTTGATGAGCAGCAGAAGACGCTGGTTGGAAGTGTTTTGGATCTTTTCGCCGGTAGACCTAGTCTTGAGAAGCTTCAGCTTTGGAAGGATGAGGGTGTTTTTGAGGATCCCATCACCAAGGCTGAAGGTCGTCAGCAGTACGAGGCACAATGGGTAGGTTCCGACTTGAGTCAATCATGTCGTTCACCTTGCTCATACGATATTCTCCACAGTACGGACTTCAGTCGGCATTCAGCGAGATTGAGAGACTGCACCACGAAGTCACATCGTCGGGCAACCCCATCAGCATGAACATGAAGACTCGTTACGTCGTCAAGGGTATTGGCAAGGAGCAGACCATCTCTTCCATCATCAACATCTTCCACGAGGGAGGCAAGATTACAAAGGTCGAGGACAAGTGGGACGGCAAGCTTCCCGACGGCGCAATCGCCACTGTAAGTTTTCCCCAGGTGTTGAATCCTTTCTGGTGGGCGAATTACACATGGGCGTGGGTGTTTTACCTGTGGAGCTTTGTTTGGTGGACACGGCCGTGGCTGGTGAGGACTGTTTTCTTCAACCAGGCTTCCACGCACTCATGTCTAGCTTGACAAATGCTGACCCGTTTCTTCTTCGCAGGCCTTCCGTAAGCTCAACTCTGTTGTTGTGCCCAAGATCATCAGTGTTCCCAAGAATAAGGAGGAGGATGCCGCAAGAGGCAACTAAAGGTGCACTCTTCGGACAGTGCCTGCAACGAAACGTACATGACTAGCATAATCAACTACTATTGCTCTTCCTCTCCTTCTTCTTCTTTTATCTCGTGTCCAGCCGTAGCGACCTTCAGAATGTCATACTCAAGCCCCGGCACATGTACAACCTCGACGCCAGCATCCTCAAGCTTCTTCCTCCCCTTGTTCTCACCCACAAACTTCTCAGGCTCCTCGACGCCAATATAAACCTTCCTTATACCCATATGGCCACGCCCACAATTCCTCGTCCCCAACACCCTCTCCGTACAAGGCAAATTCCCACTCAAGCGAAAATCACAAGGCTCCATTGTTGTATACAGCACTGTATCCTCGGGCATGATGCTTCCGACATGTTCTTCGGAAATGTTCATGGCGAGGGCGAGTTTTGACAGACAGCATTGCTCGGCGTGCGTGTTTCCGGGGAGCTCGAGGGTGTAGCCGGTGGAGAGGATGGGGTCGGGGGAGGAAGGGGAGACGAGGATGGCGCCGACGCAGTAGTTTGTGGGTTTCGGGGGCGACTTTCGGGCTTCAGAGAGGGCGAGACGCATGTAGTCTTTATGGCTGAGTTGTGGCATTTTTTTTCCTTTGTGCTTGTGAAGTTGTGCTTGTGAAGCAAAGTGAAGAGAGTGGGAGAGCTGAGGGGTTTCGTCACTGTTTGGGCTGCTTGAAGGGGGAAGTTCTTGGCTGAAAGTGGAGCGCGTGGGGGGGGCGCGTCATCCGGCCTTCTTACGCGTCTTCGGCTACAATCAGTCCTTCTTGCTTCATACACAACACAACACCGACACTCAGCATGCCTTCCAATATCGACGATCTTGAGCTTGACGAGCCTCCATCCGTCGAACCCTACGAGGTCCTCGGTGTCGAAAAGACAGCAACCCCCGACCAAATCAAGACGGCCTACAGAAAAGCCGCCCTCAAATGGCATCCTGGTTAGCAATACCTCACCTTTGTCTCCACCTCAGCCTCCCACTCTGACAATCCCATCACAGACAAAGTAAACCCCTCGGAAAAAGACATCGCACACACCAAATTCCAAGAAATCGCCCTCGCCTACGCAGTCCTCAGTGACCAACGCCGCCGCACCCGCTACGACAACACAGGCCGCACAGACGACTCCCTCGACCTCGACGACGAAATCTTCAACTGGAGTGACTTTTACCGCGCTCAGTTCGCCAATGCCGTCACCGAAGACACCATAACCACCTTTACCACCGACTACAAAGGCAGTGACGAGGAAAAAGACGCTTTACTCTCCGCATACACCAAGTACAAGGGCGATATGAACAAAGTCTATCAACAAATCATCGTGTCAAATCCTGCTATTGATGAAGATCGCTTCCGTGGCATTATCGGGGAAGCGATTGAAATGGGCAAAGTGGAGGCATATGACAAGTTTACAAAAGAGTCGCAAAAGAGCATTAATCGGAGGATTGAAAAGGCGAGGGAAGAGGAAGAGGAAGCAGAGGAACATGGGCAAATTACTGCTCAAAAGACAAAAGCAAAGAACAAGTCCAAATCAGGAGAAGGGGATTTGTCCTCTTTGGCTGCCATGATTCAACAGCGGAATAAAGGCAAAAGTGAAGATTTCTTGGATAATCTGGCGCAAAAGTATGGGGCAAAGACAAAGGGCAAGGGAAAGAAGAGGGTGCAAGAGCCAGAAGAGCCGCCGGAGGAAGCATTCGAAAGGACGGCGAAGAGAAAGAGTAAGAAATCCAAGGCTTAGAGGCAAGAAAATGACCGCATACTTAAGAGGCTTTGGACAGAGGGAAGAATTGCTACAGCGAGGAGTTCTGGGAATGCTCTTTTTCTTACATGAGAGGTCACATGCGGTTTTTAATCCACATCGATAGCATCCAAACACCACGAATGCTAAGACGATGCTCGTTTTCCAACATCTTTCCTCATCGATAAACAAAACGATTATCGGGTCTTTCTTTTCCGTCAATATAGCACAACCCAATCACCCCGTACACCTTTTTTACCCAAAATCGAATCCCTTGAACCCAAAACCCCTATACACAAACAAATCCTTCGCCCCATCACTTGATCCTTTTCCAAACCCCACAAGACGAGACCAAAAGCATTCAGTACACGCAAAAGCAAAGGGGTAACTAGCGTTAGTCGACGCTATAGTAACCACTATGTAACTACGATGCTCGAATTAGAATTCCTGTCGTATTACATAGATATGAATTACCTGTTATAAAACACTGTCTTATAAGAGAAATAGGATTCTGCGGGGGGGGGGGGGGGGGTTAAACCATTGCCAGTTCTAGGACGTAGAATAGTAGGAGAAAAAGAAGAGAATTTGTATGTAAGGGAGAGAAAGGGAGAAATTTACATTAGTTATTAGGCGAAGTGGGGCCCGGAAAAGAGGCCCCCTAATGCTATAGATAGGAAACTCATCACGTACAGCGGACGAAGAAGGTTGGGATTTTCTTTTACAGAAGACGACTTTAACGTAATAGGGAAGAGACGTGTTACTTGAAGAACGTATTTCTACGACTCTCTGCTTTTCTACTATAGTGTAAAGTTTCTACACTCTTCCTTATAAAGTCCCCCTTTCCCTTCTCCTCTTTCGCCTTTCCGAGTAATACTAATGCAATTAGTCCGCAGCAAAATTCGCAGGTAAATCTAGATCGATAGAGACTCCGTGCTAAGGACGATAGTACCTTAAACTGGGTATAATATCGTCTATAACAATCAGGCTAGATACAAGTGTAGCGATTAAGGGCGAGATGCAACTCTTTTCGTTCTCTGCATCCTTACGTATAAGGTGGTCGATAAACGCTAGGTAGAAGGTAGCGGAGTGTAATTCACGATTCTTAGACAGCTTCGTTAAATTCTAGAGCATTAGTTTAGCTAGGAACAGTTTCTTAGACTTCATCTTAATTTCTGGCACGCCGTTCTCGAGGATGTTAAATTTATCATAAAAAGACTTCTCTTAAGGCACTAAGCATATAAGATCGCGAATCTGGCCCTTAAATATCTGCTCGAGGTGCTCCTAGAAACATATAAGGATAGCTTCGTGTTCTACAGGCAGTAACTTGCCTGTACGTACTTCGTTTATAAGGTGCGTCTATATCTCGAGAACAGATCTGGTATATGTGAGCGTAGTCTAAAGGTTGTCGGCCTAGACACTATAGTATAAGGAGGACTCTAGCGTCTACTCTTTCCGCTACCTCTTCGCTATACGATCGTGCATCTTACTGTTCTTTACTTAGACTATTAGAGTACGAAACTACGGTCGATCGGCTATAGGGGGAAGTAGCGAACTACCTAGTTAAGAGTCTTATAGTGCCGAACACGAGCCCTCTATTCGACTACCTAACTAGGCTTTTTACCTAAGGTAAGAGCTTCTCGTCCTTACTAGCTATTACCGCGCGGAAGTTCGGGCTAATTATAGAAGTAACGGCCGACAGCCTAATAGAAACGGTAGAACCGGTCCTTTAAGAACTATAGATAGAAGGCATTCTAGGGTGCTTAGTTAAGGGTCTAGAAGAGGAGGTAAGGGTAGTTATCCGGTAACTATAGTCGAAAGGAAAGTAGGAAGAGAAGTATACGTTCTATATAGATACGGTATAGAAGAACGGGGAGAGCGGTATCGTAGTAGTATAAGGGTATACTAGGAAGACTATCGCCTAGAAGCGACTACCTAAGTAGGTAGCTAGCGACCCGACGGTTACGGAACTTATCGCTATTAAGGTAGCCCGAGTATACTAGGTAAGGAGGAGACTACGTCTAACGAAAACTATTATTACGACAGATAGTAAATAAGCTATATACTATATAACGGAAGGTATAAGTCTATAGAGATAATACGTAGTACGGTATAGCCGTAGGTATATCGATACTCTCTAGGCTCGAAAAGGGGTAACGGTCGCCTTATAGTAGGTACCGGCTTATAAAGGTATATACGGTAACGAGTAGGTAGATAAGCGGGTAAAAAAGACGCTAGAGGAGGGATAGGGAGAGGTAGAAGGCGTTATTACGTAACTCGAAAGTCCTACTAATCCTTTAACCTCCTCGGACTTCTAAATATCTACTAATTTCCTAATACCTACTAACCTCTTAACGCCTTTAGACCTACGTAACCGTAATATCGTAAAGTCGAAGATATACTAATAACGCTATATAGGAGTTATAAGAAAGATAGCCTTAAGAGTAGCTAAGAAGACACTTTAAAAGAAGCTAGACGAGATCTAGAAATAGGCTAGGAGTTAAGAAGTGTCGCCTAGTAATCGGAAGCTAGAGCTATAAGGGGAATAGTTATTAAAGGGTAGAACTAATACGTGTATTATAATTAAGTTAAGTAACTACTATTATAGTATAGGAGTCTTTATATTATATATTACGGCGCTTACCTATAAGTAAGCGTTATAACGGCTAGGGTAGCCTACGTAGTGTTATTATAAGAGTTATAGTAGCTACGGGCTAGTTATAGAAGGCTAAACGAACGCTTTAAGTGCCCTAGCCGCCTAAGTAACCCTAATAGGGTTACGTAAGTTATAGAACCGAGGTTCTACTAAGGAATAGTTATATAGCCTATACTACCTCTATATTTATAGCTCTTCGAGCTACGTCCTATTATTAAACCTACCTATTAGTTTTACTACCTAACTATAGATAGCCTATTAAATACTACTGTACTCCGTATAGCTGCTCCTTTTACTATATACTTAACCTGCCCTCGTAACATTACGTAGCTCTTACCTAAGGAATAGCTACCCGGCAGCCTATTACTATATTCTTAGAACGACCGATTCCCCCCTTCTCCGCCGAGAACCCTTAAGACCTATCCGACTATATTACAGAATACTCTAAGGAGTAGCTTCTATACTTCCGTAACCTAAATGCGTACCTCTCCTAAGTAGAAGAGTTCGCGTACGAAAAGAGTGTCCTATTAAATAAGGCTTAAGAGACTATTATAAGTAAGGACGCTATTATCTTATACTAAAAGGAGAATATTACTAAGCTAAACGCTTAGCTTATCCGCGCTTAGGTTAAGAAAGAGCGCGCAATTAATGCCGCTTAACCTACTATACTACCTGCCCGCCCTATCGCTAGTAGACTAGCTACTAAACCCCCGCTAGGTTATATAGAGAGAGAGACTCCGACTCTTACTACCTTACCTTCCGAGTCTAGTCGTCCTAGTAAGAAGCTCCCTAACCCTAAAGTTTTTAAAGGCTAGAGATCCGACCTTCGCCGCTTCGTTTAATAAATTTGCGGTAAGATAACTATAAACGCCGACCGATTCCTAACTGCCTAGTCCCGCCTAATCTACGTAGCTAGCCGTCTAAAGGACGACGCCTATAACTTAATTTTGCCTAAAACCCTATATAGTGTCCCCTAGTTTATAGACTACTAACAACTTTTAGAATACCTAGAATAAGCCTTCGGCGACCCTAACTGTATCTAGAATGCTTAGAACCGTCTATATAACCTAAAATAGAAGAACTAGGACTTTAGTGTCTATTTCTCTAAGTTTTAGAGACTAGCACTCGAAGGTAAGATGCCTAAAGGCGCCCTAACTCCCCTATTATACTAGGGAATTTCGAGGGAACTTTAGGATATACTATTATATAACCCCCCTACTACCCGCGAGTTCCGCCCTTTCTCCCGCCATTTATAAGAACTAGATAACCGCTTCCGCTAACATTAGTAATAAACCCGCCGAGTAAGAGAAAACAACCGATCCCCTATAATACGTCTAACTACTATAACCTCTACGGCTCGCACCCCTACTATTACTATAACTATTTAAACTGCCCTAGCGTAACCTAATCCTAACGTAATAGACTTAAGTGCTACCCGCCGACCCCCTCCTAGATACTAGCCTTTTAGAAGGAAAGAGCGTAGCGAGTGTTACCGCTACGGCTCCCCTAATTACTATATTATAAACTGTTCTTTCCCGCCGCCTGTAAACCGCCCTATATAAGTTAAAGAAAGCCGCTTTATAGGTCTTAACTTATACTAGGGCCTAGAATATAACCGCGCGCTATCTCTTATACTATTAGAGGAGGATAAAGTAAAAGGTAGAGCCTCGATCTAAGTCGTAATCGAGCGCTTAACTTACGCATCACCCGTGCCGATACTGCTATAAAAATCTATAGAATATACTTAAATAAATACCTAGAAAAACGAAAGAGAAACCGAGCCTAACTTATAGTCTAGTTAGTATCTCTTAAATAAGGACCCTATACTATACGAACCTACGCTATAATAGACACTAGAGCTAAAGGAGTATACTTCGTCGATAGGAACTAGGCGGTATTACGTAGCTTTACGCTAGAACCTATACTATAGCCGATGCCCCTAGTTAACTTTAATAGAGACGAAAAAGAGTCTATAACTATAACTTACTTTATTATTATAACACTAAGAATTAACGACTATACTAAGCTAGAAGCTTTCCTATTTATTACCTGCCTATCGTACTACCCGATTATCCTAGGGATGCCCTAGTTAAAGTTGTATAACCTTAAGCTAAGCTTTAGTAAGGGAACTATACTTTTTAACAGCCTATACTGCTAGGAGAATTATAACACTCCCTTATAACCTATACGAATTTATGCTATACCTAATATTCTACTAAAAGAACGCCCTAAAAACATTAAAGTACCTATTATAAGCCCTATACCTATTATAAGCCCTATACCTATTATAAGCCCTATACCTATTATAAGCCCTATACCTAAACCTAAACCTATACCGAAGAGACTAGAGATCTATAAAGTCTCGCTTAGATATATAGGAGCGTAGGCCCGCCGAAAGCTGCCTATATACTAAGTTACATTAAACTAAATAGAATCTGCCCTCGAGGAGATTGCTACCTCTATTAACCCTACTATCGAACTTCCTATCGAGCTAAGAGACTATAGCGATATATTTAGCCTAAAGGAAGTAGAGAAGCTACTACTATACCGACCTTACGATTATAACATTAAGCTAAAAGATAGTTAGACACCGCCTTAGGGACCTCTATACCCGATGTCCCGGATATAGTTATAAATACTAAAGGAATAGATTAATAAAAACCTACGTAAGGGTTTTATTCGACTAAGCTCCTCCTCTACCTTATCTCCCGTTCTATTTATAAAGAAATCTGATAGAAGCCTCTGACTATATATAGACTACCGAGGACTTAACGCTATTTCTAAAAAAGACCGATATCCGTTACTACTAACGAGAGAAACCCTAAATGCGCTAAAAGGAATAAAATACTTTTTAAAGATTAATATCGTTACTACATTTAATAATGTTTAGATTAAGAAAGGACTGGAATACCTAATAGCCTTCCGTATAAAGCTAGGCTTATTCGAATTACTAGTAATGCCTTTTAGATTAACTAGAGCCCCTACTTCCTAGTAAAGATTTATAAATGATATCTTCCGCCTATATATCGACCTATTCTATTAAGTCTACCTAGACGACATCCTAATCTACAGTAAAATAAGAAGAGAACATAAGAAGTATATTCGACTTATACTAGACGTATTAAGAGAGAACTAACTCTACGCTAAACCGTCGAAATACGAGTTCTTTAAGACTAAACTAATATACCTAGGAATCATTATAGGTGTAGAAGGCACTAGGATAGATCCGAAGAAGATTAAAGCTATAATTAACTAGCAACCGCCTAAGACTGTTACTAATATTAAGTCATTTACTAGGATAGTAGGATTTTATCGACGCTAGATAAAGGATTTCTTAAGAATCCTAGCACTAATTACTGCACTAGAAAAGAAGGATATACTGTTCGTATAGACGAGTAAATGCTAGAAGGCTTTTAAACTCCTAAAGACTGCGTTTATAAGCGAGCCTATACTAAAACACTTCGACTAGAATAAGCCTACTATCCTAGAGACTAACGCCTCTAACTATATCTACGCCGGTGTATTATTATAGTACGATAGCGAAGGAATCCTACACCTAGTTACATTCTACTCGAAGAAAATAATACTAGCTAAATGTAACTATAAGATCTATAATAAAGAGCTGCTAGTAATCGTTCGTTACTTTAAGGAATAGTTATCTAAACTAGAGATAAGCTAGGAAAAGATTAAGATACTAATAGACTACCGAAACCTAGAATACTTTATATTAACTAAGAAGCTAAATAGACGATAAGTAAGATAGTCTGAGTTCCTATTAAGATTTAACTTTATAATTACGTACCGGCCTAGAAAATAAGGGATTAAGCCCGATAGTCTAACTAGGAGGTTAGAAGATATACCTAAGGAAGGGGATAAACGCCTCTTATACTAAAGCTAAACGATCCTTAAGCGTAATAACCTCGAAGAGTTTCCTAACGAGTTCCTATCCTAGCTAAAACCTAAACCGCCTATAAAACTAAACACGTTAACCCTATAATAGCCTACCTAGACTACGGACTAAGAGACACTACTACTACTAGACTAGTTAAGAGAATCCTTATAGAAGGCGTACGAGTAAGATCCCCTACTATTAGAAGTACTAGAAGCATTAGATAACGACCTACTAAAGCACTCCTAGATATTACTTATAAAGTGTTTATAAAACTCGGGATTCCTATTCTACCGTAAGAAACTATATATCCCTAACTCTAACGAACTAAGAGCTTTACTATTATAAGAAGCATATAATAATCTAACCTCTAGACATCCTAGCTATAATAAGATATACGAGATATTATAACGATACTTCTACTAGCTAGGAATGCATAAATATACTAAGTAATAGGTAAAGAACTACTACACCTATAAGAGAATTACACCGTTAAGAGAAGGCCCTTAAGGCGTCTTAAAACCTCTACCTATCCCTAGAAAAGCCTAGTAACACCTATCGATGGATTTTATTACCTACCTACCTAATAGTAATAGTTATAACGCTATACTAGTAGTAGTCTACCGTCTAACTAAGTTCCGCTATATTATCCCCTATAAAAGTACCTATAACGCCGAAGAACTAGCCCGCCTATTCCGTAATAATATCTAGAAACTTTACGGCTTACCTAAATCTATTATCTCTAACCGAGGATCTTAATTTATCTCTACCTTCTAGAAACACCTCTATTAAATCCTAAATATAAGAGCGTAACTATTAACTGCCTAGCACCCTAAGTCTAATAGATAAACTAAGAGGATAAACGCTATCCTTAAATAGTACTTACGAGCCTACGTGTCCTACTTATAGGACGACTAGATAGACTAGCTAGCCTCTACCGAGTTTATAGGAAATAGTTAGGTATCCGAGACGACCTAAGTCTCGCTATTCTTTATACTATACAGTTTCGAGCCTAAGATAGGTTTTAAACCGATCCGCTCTAGAGATCGCCCTATAATAAGAGACGCCGCCCTATTTATAGAACAGATGTAGAAGATCTATAATTTCTGCCGTACTAAGATAATCGCTACCTAAGCCCGCTAGGAAGAATATATAAATAAGAAAAGGAAACCTGCCCGCCGCTACCGCTCCGGTAAGAAGGTCTAGCTAAACGCTAAGAACATATAGACCCTACGACCTTATAAGAAACTTAACTAGAAGAACTTAGGCCCCTTTATAGTTAAATAGATAATCGGGTCTTACGCCTACGAGCTATAACTCCCTATAACTATAAAGGTACACCCTATATTTAATCTATACCTATTACGCCCTACTACTAAGGACTTCCTACCTAGATAACATTAACCGCCGCCGCCTCCTATTAAAGTCGAAGGTATAGATTAATAGGAAGTTAAGAAGATTATCGACTCCTACTAGGACTGCCGGTTAAAGAAGAACCTCTACCTATACTATAGAGTTAAGTGGGTCAGATATACGGAACACTCTAACGAGCCTACCTGTTACCTAGCTAACGCTTCTAAGCTAGTAAGAAACTTCTACCGTCGCTACCTAGATAAACCTAGACCCGATAAACGTTTTATAGGAGTTTTAACCTAAGAGAGGGAATACTGTTACGGCGCTTACCTATAAGTAAGCGTTATAACGGCTAGGGTAGCCTACGTAGTGTTATTATAAGAGTTGTAGTAGCTACGGGCTAGTTATAGAAGGCTAAACGAACGCTTTAAGTGCCCCGGCCGCCTAGGTGACCCTAATAGGGTTACGTAAGTTATAGAACCGAGGTTCTACTAGGGAATAGTTATATAGCCTATACTACCTCTATGTTTATAGCTCTTCGAGCTACGTGTTATTATTAAACCTACCTGTTAGTTTTACTGCCTAACTGTAGATAGCCTGTTAAATACTACTGTACTCTATATAGCTGCTCCTTCCACTATACACCTAACCTGCCCCCGTAACATTATAGCTTCTCCGTATTACCTAACTTCCTCTTACTATATCTATTACCCTAACTGCTATATTATAATACTAGGAATATAAGACCTCGAGATATACTATATACTAGATTATATACGTAGAAGCTAGACGGAGCCCCCTTAGGTCTCTATATAGTAATAGTATATAACGTATTATTAGCGGAAGAAGCGTCGATACTTACCTAGTATAGGATAGGGCACTCCCGACTAAAGAGTAACTTATACCGGATAAAGCTAGTAGACTTAGTAGAGTACGAATACGGAGCTACGCGAGAAACTATTAAGTACGTTATATAACGAATGCCCCCTCCTACGTAAAGATTGTTAAATTATAATCGAGGTAGTAGAGTATAGGTAGAGGGACCTTTCTTATATACTTAGGGGTTAGAATCCTTAGAAAGATCTAAGAACTAGGTAACTAGTCGATAGGCTAAAAGAGAAATAGAAGGCGAACCTCCTAGCGGTAAAGGTAGTCCTCTACTTCCTTTATAAGTCTAGCAGGTTTACGTAGTAGACGAGAGTAGTAGAGTAAGAGGAAGCTAGAATAGAATAAGGATAGATAAGGATAAAGAAGGAAGAACTAATAGGAGACGGCTTATAGGTTTACTATAGAACTAAGTAGCCTAATTAATTAAAATAAACAAATAAATAAATATAGAGGTAAGTACTTCCGAATAGCTAGATAAGTATATCTCGGTCCTTCTTATTCGCCTTCGAGTAAGAAACTAGATAAGCTACGGTATTAACTAGGCCTAGCCCTATAATACATTTCGTATATTAAATTTTTTAGAGGAGTTTCTTACCTACTTTTCCTTATCTTATATGTATACTATAGTTTAAGGGCAGAATAGCTATATAGAAGTAAATGGCATTATTCCTAACCCTAATAAACTAGGCCTACTAGGAATAGTTACTAAACTACTAATATACCTTACGAAAGTAGACTACCTATTGTTTTGTTACTCTATAGGATTTAGGAATTTAGGAGCGTGTTGCTTATATAGAAGTGTATCGAAATGTTACTAGCCCTGCGTAAAGCATCTAAATAACATATAGCTTGCAAATCGGCCTAAGCGTAAAGTCTTCTAACCTACTTTATACTCCGCTGTTAGGAATCTGCAACGACGGATCCTGCAATCCAGGACTTTTCTCCTGCCCATGCAATTCTCTAACGGCACGTAGCTCATACACTGTATTGTTGCGGAACGTGTGGAAAATTACGCCATCATAGGAGATAGTAAGATCACGCGTTGGGAGGACGGTACGGCTACCGTCCTCTAGAAGGAATTCGCGGCGGAGGTGAGGGGGAAAGAAGTCAGCTGCATCAGATTTGTGAAGAACCCATTTGTCGTCCTGAGTAGAGTTGATGTCTGTGAATCGAGTCAGCTTCAATTCAGGAGAAGACAAGTATGATATGTTCCCACCTCTGCATGCGAGCTGGAATTGTCCGCCAACGAATGTGTATTCAAATTCATCATTTGCACCACCTCCATCTTGACAAAACGGACTATACAATAGTTAGGGAGACTGTGTAGGACGGAGGGCCATGATGCAATCTTACGTCTGACCCGAGTTGGGGTTTCCGAATGTGATCATGAAAGAGCAAGGCCGATATTTGCATCTACTGTTCAGGAATCCGTTCAGAGCGTTCCCTTCTGCCGTGTTCTCGACTCCTTCAGTGCATCGAAGGATTGCTCCAGTACCACCTTCTGTGACAGATGCGAAAGGATACTCGTCACAGCTGTTCTCATCTGCGTTTGGCTTCGCCATCTTGTTCTTGTTACATGGATTGCGGCTTCCCCCCGTCCTCGGATATAATGTACATTAGCGCATGAATTGCTACATATTGTCGCTAAGTAGAGGCGCTAAACCCTGTGTTCTAGCATTACTAGAAGATGGTATGATCCTGTTTTACTAGCGAAGCCCTAGAAAGTCACCAGACACAAGTCTTTGCGTAACCACTATAAGCAGTCTGTGTGTTGGTGTTCGATCAGCCAGGAACGTTAATCGAGCGATCGGCCTCTCTGTGTTATTGAGCGTGACCGTTAACAAGTGACGTACGTTGCGCCGCTCATTTGTCCGAATTGTAGCCCTTCCGAACTTCTAGGCATTAAAGCCGCGGAACCCTCCACATTTCTACCAGTGACGGTTTTGACTACATATCTTCCAACTCTGAGAATCCAGGATGGGAACCATTTCGTTTCCTATTGTGTGCGCAGCCTCCTTAACTATAGATGTTTGTACCCTCCCGCTGCAACCAAGCCTAGAATTAGCCCTGACTCATGTCGCAGATTATGAATCGTCTTCTGACAGATAGCGACATCGTCGAGGAAGACACTTGGGATTTCGTATTTGTTGACAGCATCGACCACTGTTACGACCAACCATCAGCGGTTCCAGTAGAGACTCCAAGCAACCCAGACTCGCCTTTCATCTCGAAGACCCCCTATGAGTGTAGCCAGTTGCTCTTGAAGCTTCGCGAGGACACCGAGTCGGAAATCATCCCTCACTACTTTATAATTATGGACGAGAGATCACTACAGGACGATACTGTACTGCTCGTGACTGCGGGGTTAGATGAGCCGGTAAACACAGTTCGGGCTACTTTCGGAGCGTCCGCTCAAGCAATCGTGCTATATCTTACGGGACATCGGGGTATCGAAGAGGATATTGAAAGCGCTGCACAAGAAGAAGATGGTGTATACCACGGGCGGTAAACCTACTATGTATGATATACTTGTCGTAACGATGCCTTAGGCAAGACCATCAGAGTCGTTCGACTAGGATTACGCAGAAAGCAGCTTCCCTCTTTGATCTTGTGGCTCCGAACTTGAGGAAACATCATCATCGTCACTGTCATCAAGATGGATACATTCCCGCAACGTCTGATGATCACCAATGGCCATATCATCATCGCCATCGTTGTGATCATCTGGGCCGGCGACTATAACAGACTGATTGTCCTCGTCGTCCTCTTGCTTGATTTCATTCTTAACATTAATAGTCGACGATTTATGGAGCCAACTGACAATCTCACAATCTCACAATCACCGGCTTCGCCTCCTGTTGGAACCATCGCACACTGATCAGGTCTTTAAGGCAACAAATCAGCCATGGACTCGGAGTTAGCCAAGCCTTGCAAGTTTTTCCAACCGAAACACGGTCAAGTCAGTATGGATACGGGTTAGATTGTCGGACTCAATTCACTGAAGCCTCCCCGACGAAGAATCGACAGCAGTAGCAAAGAGGACATCTGGTATACCAAGCTCAATAGCCTTCTTACCCACCAGCTTAGATATTTCACGAAGGTCTTAGGCGGTCTTGGTCTTGAATTTGAGTGACTCGAAGCATCTAACAACCCGATTCTCCATTCACCACGCATCGCTCCAGGAAACTCTGTACGCGGACCGCAGATATCGGAGGTGATCGTCAGTCTATCTCTAGAGCATCAGGGACAAGGCGTAGTCCTCTCGTTACTACGCTCGGCGGTATGGTTACTAGTCATCCCATATTGGTTGGAACAGGTGTTAGAGCGTGCTCCAAACCTTAAGAGCCTCGAAATCTCTGTCGCGGAATCCTAGGATACGATACCCACTGCAGACACGCTTTACCCTAGACTGAAGAAGCTTAACATTCAGAGGTTGAAATTGCGCTCGCGCACGATACATACGATCCCAGCGAATTCTAAGCAGAGTCTAACTAGTATCTCCTTTGTTATAGTGACGCTGGTTAGAAACTCGACATAGGCAGAGCTACTATCTGATATCGGAGATGGATTTGCTAACCTAACACACTTCTGCATCCAGTTTGTGAGACAAGGCGATACACCTTCAAGTGCCGTCACTTTTTTTAGCTTTAGCAAGGACGAAATGATGGAACAGTATATGCCAGGGCTCGAGCTGGACGGAAGAGGCCCTCCAGGTAACAGAAGACTTACTCGGATCATATACCATAGGCGGGACGCTGGACTGGTCCTAAAAAATCTGGCCCTTTATACTATTTTAATAACGGTCTAATAACAGCTTGAGCCCTAGACTAAATTTTTGCTTTTACTATAGATATAGCCTACCTAGTTTAGTAGCTTTATACCCTAATGTCTTTAATTTGCAAATTAGAAGAAGCACTTATTACAGTTGTTTGCAATTAACGCGCAAAAGGTAAAAAGAGTGCTATAAAATGTTTTTTAAAGACACGACACATCATCGTCGCGGGTTTTGAAAAGCTAGGGGCTATATATAAGGGCCATTACAAAATTCGGGGCCCTAATAGGCCTACACATAACGGCCGTGTATAACGCACTAACAGGCGCAGAAGCTTCGATCCTATCTTAGTGCCGAACAGGGCACTCCCGGTTACGTAGCAATCTACATCGGATAAAAATGTCTAATACGGCGGGATCCAAATGTAGAGCTATACGAGAAACCATTAATCACGTAATCTACGGTTGCCCTCTCCTCCGAGAAGACTAGCAGGCTACTATAGAGGTAATAGGACATAGGTGGAGAGACCTATTTTATATACTCGGAGGGTAGAACCCCTAGAAAGATCCGAAGACTGGGTAACTAGTCGACGGGGCGAAGGAAAAATAGAAAGGCGAACCTCCTAGCAGTAAAGGTAGTCCTCTACTTCCTTTATAAGACGGGCAGGTTTATATAGCAGACAAAAGAAGCTAAGTAAGGGGAAGCTAGAATAGAATAAGGATAGATAGGGACAAAGAAGGAAGAACCGATAGGAGACGGCTTATAGGTTTACCGTAGAACTAAGTAGCCTAATTAATTGAATCAATCAATCAATCAATCAATTAATTATAGAGGTGAGTAAAGTGCTAAACTTTCTTAAGACCTATAGGTAATTCATTCTCGATCTTTGTTTCCTCGTTTGTATCGAAAATAGCACTTACGAGACATCCTAGCTAGAAAAGGCCTAAGAAGAAGCTCGCAATAACAAAAACGACTTTTATCTCTTCTAGAGGACTAACAATGCAAAGTGTCACTGCTACGCAAGTTAATACCGATAGAGTACCGATTGCAATCCCTGCAAGCAATAGTTAGCATTTTTGTCCATCCTAGCAAAACTAGGATTATTAGCTTACATATTCCTTTCAACTTGCCTTTTTTCTTTTGTGTAAGAATGAATAACTTCGCTTCCTTGTAAACCATCCATGCATCTTCGAGACCGAATATTTCAGCATAGAGCGCAGGCGTATAGCTCATCAATTCGCGCCCAGTCCCCAGGGTCCATTTTGAGGCGATTCGTCTTGCATGGTCGTGGTGCAATCCTCGATTCTGTACGAGTAGCTGCATAAGAAAGCTGCGAACTTCATCTGGGGTTGCTTTCTCATTCGGGGCAGTAAGATCGGCTGGTGGAGTGATTGTGAGGTCGGAGTAGAGCGGGAGACCTTCGATGTTTGGGTCACCATTAATGGACGACCTTGAGCTAGAGAATGATGATCTGCCCATATTTATGAGATTCAATGCGACGACAGTGCTTAATTCGACAGCTCTATATGTTGGTGATGGAAAGTGGACAAACAGAAGGACAGGCGGGGCTCACATAGGGATAAAAAGGCAACATCCCCGGCCGGGTCGGGAAAGTTTCGAACCTTGTTGGAAGTCCCACTTGCAGGACATATTGTGAGTCCAACCTTGAGACGCGGCGCGCTGTGGCTAGATCTTACGTTGATTAGCTCTGTATCCCGCGGGAGTTCGTAAAGCTGTGTCATGAAGGATTTAGACCACAAAGCTTGATTTGACGACACCTGGAATATGATGAAGCTAACGGCTTAGGGTTTTTTACCTGCAGCAACCATAGCTCGTCAAACACGGCATGCTTTTCTATCGGTAGGAAGCTGTGACTGGAGATGGAGTCTATCGCTCCTTCCACCGATGCTTACCCATGCGGCGATAGCGATAGACTGCTCAACGACATTGATCGAAGACTGATGCTTATCGATAACCCAATAGAACAGACACATGTATATTCACTTTTCCTCCCACAAAACTGCGCAGAGAGAGAAAAACATCGGTATCAGTGTGCGCGGAACCGCGTGGATCATCTCCTTATTTTCCCAAGCGTTACTCTCTGAACCCTTCAAATACCTTGGATTACACCAGTAATCCTGAAACTTGTAGATAGCCGACAAGCGAACGTGACGGCTTGACTACCCTGCTCTTTCGTACATTTATGGACATTGTTCCACGCTCGAGCAACCACTGAACAAAAACCACTTCGCTTCACTTATCAACCTTTATATAGCAAGGTAGAAAAGGACCTCCTACATCCCAGCTTGGTAAGACCAACTCAGTGAGTTTGGCGGAGTGGGAGATTCCCCTGACCACCGGGCAGCCGTATAATACCAACCTCCAAGGAGGATTAACCAAGTACTGCTGTGCGAAGCCGAGAGAAGTAGCTTCGGCTACTCTTTGTTTACGCTATGGAGGTGGTGGGTTCGATTCTCACGAGTGGTTGTTTTGATTTTGCTTTTTGATGTTTGGATATTCCAGATGCCTTCCTTTGATCTGACTGGCTTTTCTCTTTTTACAGTATATGCTTCTCGCATGTTCAGCAGTGCAATGATCACTAATCCTTTGAAACTATCATTTCAGTTTCATCTGTATTCAGAACTGATCGTTTCTGGGGGTTGGAGAGGGAGAAAAGCCAATTGCGGTGTACAGAGTCGAAGCGTGGTGCGAAGAGTCTGGGTAAGAACATCTTGAACAAGATTACAAGATGATTTCGAGTTTGTGCAGATGGATCTGAAGTTTCTATGAATGAGTGATGATTGTACTACTACTCTTTCATCCGACAGAAATCCCGCTGATGTAGTCTTAAGTCCTGAAATAGTCTATGCCAAGATCTTCCACTATGGGACATATCGGCGAGACAAGGGAAAGGGGATTAGAAGGAGGGAAATGATGTGGGGTAATTAGGGAGTAGGGTGGTAGAACCAAAAGACAGAGAAACCACATCTATAAATGGCTCTGGAAACGCTTTTGATGTTTGTTGTTTCAGTCGAGCCCCTGCATACGCGCTTCCTGGCTCCCATCAACCTCTTGAACCTCCAAACCTCCAAACCTCAACGATGAATTCTCTTGTTGATCAGAAAAATGGCTCAAACTTTAGCCTCCATCGGTATCTACGTTGCTCATGGAGCAAGTGGCATTATTGAGCGAGATGGAGAGACAGTTCTCAAACGACCATTTCCAAACAATGATTCTTCGCGTCAAGAGGTTGAGATCGAAACACGCACTTATTAGCATCTGGGTCTACACCACTGTATTGTACGCATGCTATCCTGGGATTACGAGCAAGATATTCTGAAACTCGAGTACATGAGGAATGGCAACCTGAAGTCATACCTGGATTCTAATTACTGTTCGGTCGAGAACAAGATCCGCTGGGTCAAGCAGGCAGCGGACGCATTCCAGGTAATCCTTCTCTCCCACGGAGCTAATTGAACGAGGAAACCCAGGTTTGTACTGTGCTAAAGGAATTCCGAGCCAGTTTCTTCACAGCAAAAGTGTGATACATTGCGATATCAAGCCCGATAATTTCCTCCTCGACGAAGACTTGCACCTCAAGATCTCCGATTTCGCCGGTTCTTCTCTAAGCGGCTCAAGAGCTCTTGTCTGTGGCTCTTCTCGATTCTTGCGACCCACAATGCCCGGAACTCCATGTGAGGCTCAAGATGATATTTTCGGCCTCGGTTCGACAATATACACAATCATCACTGGAACAGGGCCCTTTGGGGAGTTGGAGAGCGCTGAAGTCGAAGCCCGATTTTGGGCTGCAGAGTTTCCAGATACGAGCGATGTTTTGTTTGGTGATGTGATCAGGTCTTGTTGGAGTGGGCGAGCTTCTATAGAGCAAGTCTGCAGCTATATCGAGACGAGCGTACGGCAGATGCGAGAGTCTGAACAGCTTTGAAGCATCTTTGAAGAAATTTCGAGGTTGTCTTTACGCTTATACAGGGCTTGTCTTAAAGGCGTCAAGTATGTGATTAGCGGATGGACTTGAACAACCCACTAAGCTACGGATAGATGCCAGTAATTAATCTTGGACAGGCCAACCGGTCGCTTTCTCTCTTTGTGCTGCATTAGTGTCTCGCTGCTCTACTGTAGTCGACTCATGTCCTCGGGAACCTGGGCGAAATGGCTCGCACGCAGCCAACTCTTGACTGCTAACAAGCTATGAGTCGTGGTTCAACCCAGAAGCCCAACAAGATCAAGAAAGTGAGACTCCAGATCAACAAACAAAATTCTTAGCGCCGCACTTCCGAATTCTTGATCTGTGTTTCGTAGCCCATCATGTCACGATCTTCGCCCACAGAGACTTTCATGTTTGGGAGTGATTCACAGACCTCTCAATCTCCATAGACATCGTGCCAATCCTGGCTCTCCTCCTGTTGTTTCCGCCCGTCTCGGTGACAGCCAAAGCCACCGAAAGCAATCAGATCAACCACTCTCTCCTTCCTTACCGCTTCTGCAAAGATAGATTCGCAGGTACTTCATGAGAATCCAGCAATGATACTCTCCGCAATGTCGAGACTATTCACAGAACCTCAAGTCTCTTGCTCTCACTTGCCTCTTCTGAACCTGCAAGAGATTGCGTAGATGTTCCAGGACAACTATATCGTTCTCTTGCGACACGGAAAGCGTTTTGGCAGTTTATCTAGGAATTTCGTTTGGACTAATCGATACTTGTCATGAAAACCAGCCTTTCTTCGAACGAATGATGACCTTCCGCGTGACTATCCTACAATATACATCTCAACGTCAGCTTGGTACGGAAAACAGTGAAAATGTGTCTAAACAGAGAGTTGCTCGTTAAATCTCGAGGCTTGCCAGGCTAGAAGTAGTCGGCTGTAGAAAGGCATAGATCCATCATGGCGTATGAGAGTCTTCTGTTGAGCCGGATCACTGAGACTGTTTCCTTGCTTTACTTATGCCATCTTGGTTCCTGTCATGAAATTACAACAAGAGGGACACCCAGGCTGTGAGTGGCAAGAATTGCACAAATCATCTTCATGAGCAAAAAATCGCTATATTTACAAAAGTCTTGGTAGATCATTCATCCCACCCAATGTCTTGAAAGCGAAGAGAAAAGATCCACTTTAGATTGTTTTCTCACCAACGCCACTCTCTTGCGGAGAATTCTACCCTTTACCTCCATGCGGCAACTTGTTCAACAACTTCTGCCCTCCCAGCAAAAGCCTTGACTTGAATCCTTCCTCATCAGTCCCATCCCCTCCATTCGCATTCCCGTTCCTCTCCTTATCAGCCTCTTTACTATGATTACTTGAACTCGTGCCCGGTCTCAAGCGTCCAAAGAGTCCTTTCTTTTCACTCCCTTCCCCGATACTCGTACTTCTTACTCTTCCACTTTCATCACTATGTCTAGAGGTTTGAAGGCTTGAAGCTTGTGTGCCTACTCGACTCAGATTAGAGTATCCCGTCTGCGGCCGTCTAGAACTCGGTCCCTCGGTTTCCAAGGAAAGAGTGAGAGAGGGCGTTATACTCTTCGTCCTTGTGGCAAAAAGACTCGATGGAGAATTATGATCGTCGAACACCGAGGGTCGGCCAGAAGTAAACGATGGTCTAGCAGGTACATCGCCATTCTCCTCTGCCTCATCTTCTTCTTCCACAATAGATGCCGTGGTTTGCGGTGTACTGGGATCGGATTTATCTTCGCCATTGGAATGCACATGCATAGTTGTCAGATGCGCAATTTCGCGAAGCTTACTCGTAGCAGCTTGTCGAGAAGGTCGATGATTGTGAAATTTATTTCCTACAATGGCGCCGGCATGAGAAATCAGTGCTTTGATCAGATCCTTCTTCATTTGGAGGGCCAAGTCCAGATTGCTCCAGGTTTTGTTGCGGTATTCGAGGGTGGGCATGCGGAAAACCAGGTCGTGCACATCTTCGAGGTTTCTGCGACCTTGGCCTTTGTATGAGAGACATAGAACGACGGAGTGAACTTTGAAGAAAGACAGAGTCATGTAGTTTGAGGCACGAGAAAGCATGAGAGACAAGTCATCAGAGGCTTGTTTGTCATCCTTGTCTGATTTTCCGCTCTTCTTGTTGGAAGGCTTCTTCTTGGACATTTCGCTTTCGGCAAGGGAGTTTGTCTCCGAAGAGCGTTGAGAAGGTGTGCGGCTGACAAGACTGAGGTTTGATGCCGTATTGCCGTTTTGCTTCTTGTTGTTCTTGTCGGAATTGCTGAATGGGTTCCAAGAGTGAAGACTATGTGAGGACGAACTTGGTTGACTGATTCCAAGGCCTTTGCTCTTGCCGCCTTTTATGGGCACTTTTCCTTCGGGGAGCTTGAGGGTCGGTTGGAGCCTGTGCTCGAGCTCACCAGCACCAGTGCCCACGCCTTGATGCACTGATCCGCTTGTTGTGCTTTCATCCAGGGCAGCTAACTTCTTGTCGTCGGAGTCTTCCTCGTCATCCTCAGGTACAGCCATATTACGGACCATGAAAGGGGAGAAACCGCCGCCCTCGAAAGCATTGCCACCAACACCAGGAAATAGGTATTCGAAAAGTCGCTTGGCAATCTCGCGTTCCAGTTGGACACGCAGAGGCATGACGTTGACTTCAAAGTAGTCCACGACTGGGATACCAGCAATCGCTTCGAGCATCAACCACTGTACACGCAGCATCTTCATATCTTTCTGCTTGTGGAAACCACGAGCAGGATCGATGTATGGGGCGATGATCTCAGGATATACGGCGTTTGGTAACAAATTGAAGCCATTAATCCTGCCAATCTCCACACAATTGTAGTTTGAGCCGTCGTTATTGTCAGTTCGATCGAAAAGGCCATCCTTGATTTGGAACTCCAGCAGAGATTCATTTTCGCCACGGATAAGATGCCAAGCAATCTCCTTTGAAGAGATCAACCACCTCAAGAGGCCAGGAGACTCGTCTTGACCACGATCCTCATTTCTTCGCTGAGAAGTGGTGATTGCCTTCATCATGAAGAAAAGCTCATCCTCACAGGCAGCAAGATCTGCATCAAGAGCGATTCTATCCTTCCAGCCCTGACGATCCAGGAGTTTCTCGTTGACTTGGAAGTGCATCTTGATGTCTTCAAGCTGACGGATACGAGCTTGTAACATTTCAACCATCTCAGGCGCGCCTCTCAGATCACTAAAGTCAGATGCCAGCATAATCTTCTCCAACCTTTCACTACGCGTCTTCTCCAGTGGCTCGCTGTAGAGCAGTAAATCCAGAACAATGATGTACATGGCAAAGTATTGGTTGGAGTCGCAGATGGCTCGGAAGTGAGGGAACTCGATGTAGACATGATCCATACGAGTGTCTGACGAGTCTGGGTTGTTGTCCTTGTTACCATCACCCCCACTAACATCGTCGTTGTACTTCAGACGCAAGTTGTTGTATTTGTCGTAGCGCAAGCTTGCCGAAGTACGGTGTACGACTCTCGAGAAACCGTAGGGGTTGACCTGGAACTCGAACATGACTTCCAAAGGTACCCATGGAGGCCAGTACTCACCAGCCTTACCACCGTAGCGATTGCCAGAGTACATGTGTAGGTATTCTGTCGAAAAGGTCTTCGTGCTGGCAACAAAGACTTGCATACTGTCCATAGCAGCAGAGAATCTTGTCTGCACCAAACCACTGATCTCATCGAGAACTCTTTCTTTGTCCATGATTTGAACAACCTTGAGTTGCATACCTTTTGCGGCAACAAGCATGACAGATTTGGGGTTCTTCTCACTTTGCAGTTGGATCTGCGGAGCGATCAGACGGAAGTGGTAAGTGTTCTGTGGTGTATACTCGGTCGAGAGACCTTCACCACTTCCTTCCTTGCCAGCTGTTTCAGTGCACTCTTGCTTCTCGGGGTCATCTGCGTTGACGAATTGTCTTCCGTCATTGAGAAGCTGGTCAATTCTATCTTGCACAGCCATCTCATCCTCAGGATCAGGCGACGTGGGTAGGAAGGTCGTATCATTGCTGACTGTACTGTTGTTCCGGTCTACTGGCGCTTGTGGACCAGACTTCTTCTGCTCGTCGAGGATGTCAAGAATGAATTTGACAGCTCTTCGAGACATGTAGTAGACGAAACCACGTCTCTGACTGACTTGATGAATGTAGCGTAGAATGATGTTTCTCAAAGAGTTGTTCCACTTGATCTGGGCATTGTGAACAACGAATCTGTTGTTGAAGTCGCTGGTGTAATCGGCGAGCGGGCTGTCTTCCTTAGGTTGGTTATCCCGTTCAGAGTCTCGGTCGGGTAGATCATCTGTCTCCATGTGCTCGCCAATAGACGGGTCCTCTTGCTGCAGCTTCTCCACAAGCACACCAAGAAGTTTGCACAAGAACTCGTGCTTCTTCTGCAACGCTTCGGTGTGGTTCTTCAAGGCACGCAAGCGCTCATTCGGCTGTTCGTCACCTTCTTGAGTCTTGACACATTTGACCTCTTGCTCTCCGACAGCACGTTCGTTGTTAGCCATCTGCTCCTCTATGCGATGGATGCGTGATTCGATCAGATCTGCTTGCACTCTGCGAGGGTCATTTCGTCTTGACATCACACAGAAGTGAGTATGCTCGTCTCCGAAGATACTGGATCTTGTTGTGTCTCCAGAGACCGAATCGCCATGATCAGTCTGTCTGAAGTATGTGAAACGAGGTGCGAATCCTAGGGGAAGGATCTTTGTTGCAGGATTCGTCTCTGACGGCAGGATCCAGTCGAGCTCGACGAAATCGTCCATGTCGATCCATGTCAAATCATTGTCAGGGATGGTAAACTTGGACATGTCAACATTAGTGATGTTGCTAGTCTGATAGCTTGCCAAAGTGGCCTCATCGGCCCTATCAAGCTCCGTGGCGCTCGTTCCTTTGATCGATGCGGAGATGGCTCTAATGTCGGCTGAGATGAAGTCAAGTTGGCACTGGTTGATCTTCATAGCTGTTGTTCGTTTTGCCTTCTTCTCGGCAGTTGCTGGAATCTCAAATGTTTCCCTACGTTGATGAAGATCCAACATGAAGCTATCAAGTTTCATCTTCAGACCGGTAGCTGAGACGACATCGTTTTGATAATCCTCAGCATCCTTGTGCTTGTAGATATGACTGATGAAGAGAGGAGAGAAGAGAAGATTATACTTGATCGTGCCAAGGTGACGGCCGAACTTTTTGCTGGACTTCTCCATGCTTCCCCAAAGTGGTCCCTGACGAACAGGCAGTGACATGACTCCAGAGAAGAGCGACCACCAATTGTAGAAGTGTGTAAAAAATCGAGGGGTGAGATGAACAGAGTTGTAGTTCTTTGATGGCTGCAGGTTGGCAACATTCCAGTCTCGATCCTGCGGCGCAGAAATGGCGATAGAACCGTGGATCCAATGACTTCTGAAAGTCTTGAAAGCATCGTACGTCTCACCAGGTGGTGCTTTAGCATGATCTGGATGTCTAAGTTTAACCCTGTAATGAGGGCAGAAGTCGAAGCTCCTCTTGTCACCCTCAACCTCACGTTCAAAGGTCAATCCAGCCATCCATTGCACATTGCCAGATAGCTTCATGACAACCTTCTTGAAGGCAGCGGTAGCCTTGTTGCTGTTGACGCTGCTTGATCCACTGTGTGATGACTCCGTCTCCTGTTCATGCAGTTGTCGCGCGTAGTAGTTGTAATCAGGTATGGCCATGACATAATCACCACTGTCCACTGTCATGAACTTACGAGGGTCGTCGTCTTGCGCAATTCTCCAGCGAACCTTGTTTCTCCAGACCATGACGAAACCGGCTCCTAGACCGGTTACAACATAGGGATCGCGCGACCCCTTGAGGCAGAGATGCACATCACCGTCCCCTTTCCAGTTGATATCAAGTCTTGAATGGAAAGAAAGTCTGATCTTGTCCCAGAAGCCGACTCTATCAGACGGATCCATGGGCGGCTTTGTGAAGTTTTCAATGACTTGCATCATATCTTGAATAGCTGGCTGATACGAAGTTCCCCATGTGAATCTTGTAGGAGAGCTTGTATTGATATCGAATTTCATGTCGGAGTATGTCTTGACGGCTGAGATTGTTCTGCGTACGTCCACGGAGAAGTTCTTCTCGGTGTCGTCTTTGCCGAACTTTTCTTTAGGCACCACGACAACATTGATATGGCGCTGAGACTCCTCTCCTTGGAACTCTTCCGCAATGACAAAGTCTGTGCTGAGAGAAAGACTAGCAAGGCGAGGTGATTGACCAGGGCGAATGGCTGGTACATGCATGAGAGGCAGAGGATAGTCTCTGAGCATGACTCTTGCCTCGCCCATAGTGACTTTCAAACTCATCGGCACAAGTAAGCCGTACTTCATATCCATAGGCATGCCTTTACCGATGTCGTGGAGGAATTGAGGATACTGATCGAGTGCGAAAGAAGGCTTGTCAATGATCACGCCAACATCGCTGATCACAGTGGCCATCAGTGCGGGTCTTTGTGGTATGGCCATCACGTTTTCGGCCTGTTCAGATTCATCTGGCAAGTCATTCATACCCCACAGAATACCACGCAAGTCCCTGATCGCATTGCTTTGAGTGTTCAAAGCTCGGTCGATACGTTTCTTCCAGCTCTGGGCATTGAACTCTTGCAGCTTGGCGTGTGCTTTCTCCATGGTACGAACGTTCGCGCCACGGAAGTCAGCCTTGCCTTCAGGGTCGTATCGAATTTTGCGATCACGACCTCTGCCACGACGCTTCTCTGGAGATGACTCTTCATCCTCCTCTCGTAGAGTATGAATAGAGTGAGCACTCTTACTCCTCCTGTGATTTGATGTAGTGGGGCGGGAGAGACTGCGTCTACGAGATGGTGGAGCCTGCGCAGAAGCTGTACGCACGCGCGAACTTCCTCTCCGTTGCCGGTGCGACTCTTGGTGTTTGACCTTGAGTCTGAACGCTTCTTCACGTGCCAATCGCTGCTGTTGTTCGACAAGACCAGCTCGGTAGATTGTTCCAAGCTTCCACTCGAATCCGCTGTCCTCGATTTCGAAGAGTAGTAGTTGTGCGCGAATAGAAACTCTCGGCACCTTCTTCGGGCCTTCGGGGTGCTTTTCCAGGATGTACTCGTTCGTTCCGGTGCTGAAGTGATGGTGCAATTGCTCGCAAGTCTTGACAGTATTGACGATGTTGTCAAATATAGCATGCAAGACTAGGCCGTGCGGTACGCCAATGCGTATAACGTCTGTCGTCAGGTCGAAAGACTTTGCAATCTCCGTCTTCTGACCGATCTTGTTCTTGACGTCGCGAAGATCGAAGCGAAGGTTCTTGACACTGACAATACGACTCCAGACTTGTTTCATGTTGGGAGTACCGGCAAGCAGTCGTAAAACCTTCAGGCGAGCAAATGGAGTAGCCCATCTATGGCGGCCGCAATCAGCGCCGAAGATTTGCAACATCAACGGAGGGTCTGAAGGCATGTCTGCCTTGATTTGGATGAGGTTTGCTTTGAAGTCAATCGTGGTAACTTCGCTCATCAAAATTTGATCATATTGTGAATGATCTCGTGTCTTGGGGGTCGAGCTTGGACGATGCTTCTTACGATCCTCGTCATCGGGGTGAGGTAGTGCCAGGAACATTCTTCTGAATGTCAAGACAGCTACTCCAATAGAAAAATGCTTGTAAAGCGAGTACTTCAGTTGCAGACTTTTAGCATGCGAGTTGATGTGGAAGAGTGGTCCTTGTAGGTCACTTGATGTCGAGAAGGCGACCTCGAATTTGGGTAGCGTGACGAAAGGATCGGCAGGTGAATCTTCGACGGCATCTATAATGTGTCCCTCCAGGCCTTGTATGTGTAAGGCCAATCTGCGCCCGTCTGTAGGAAGTGATTGCTTCTTCCTTGCTGCCTCTGGTGCTGCTGATCGATCATTCCGCTCGCGCGAGAAGGATCTGCTAAGTGATCTTCTCCGTGTCGCGGGAATGTAAACATCTTCACGGTGTGCTTTATATTCAGCTGACCATGACTCAAGCTGGAGAGCAAAGCCACGAGCATACTTCGAAACAGCCGTATCCACACCCGCTAGCTCGACGTTGAAATCAGCTCCTTGTATGCTCACATGTTGTAGCCAGTCAGGGACCTGGCGAAGGAAACTCGGCTTCTTGACCACTGTCGAACCGCTATTTGAGTCTGTTTCTCTACGAGCGGCCTTGACAATTTGACGGATGCCCTCAGAGATCTCCGTCCGAACTAAGAACACCGAGAACGTCTGGAATCTACCATAGACGTATACCGCTAGCTGTGGTAAGACGTTGACATCAACCTTGACTTCGATGGTCTCTGTCTGCAAAAGGTCATGTTTATGTCCGGCGTTCGTTTGGTAGTAAAGCTGGCTTGAGGTCTGTCTGTAATGCAAGTGAAGGCCATACTTGACTGCAGAGTCGGTCGAGGAGTGCTGGGAATCGATGTCTAGGGATAAGGTTGAAGTCGATGAGATGAGAAGATCGTACTCGACATCTCCAGTAAAACCAGGACTCAGTGGAGGTAAGGACACTCTAACGACGGGTTCCTGAACAGCAACTTTGATGATGGCTTTTGGCAGCAGGCGAGATAGGAAGCCACGACTCGTCAACAACGGCGCTTTTGACGACTTTTTGGATTCTTGTCGGACCTTCGCAATCGCTAACAAGAGAGGCAAGTGTTTCGGATCCAGATCGACAGACGGCGAAGTACACACAAGGTTTGCAAACAGCATGTTACTATTACGTTCTCCTGCGTTTGTGGTGTCTTCCGGTTTCTGTATCGTTTTTGACGGGAGAGTGGTTTTGACGGTAGCAGTGACCATAGGCACATATAGCATGCGCTCTGGGTGATCGTGGCCGTCATCGACACCAGCTGAGATAGATATGGCGGTAAGCAAAGCTTGATGAGCAACGTCAGATGGTGAGAAGTACATGCGATGTGCAGGACTTCTCGGATCGAGACGTAGAAGATCCAGGCCAAGCTCCTTCATAGCCATGTTGAAGTAGACATGCTGACCCGTCGCATGCAGAGACCTGATACGTCTCGACAGACCCAAGAAGCCAATGGCCAGTTGAAACTCCTGTATGCCATTAAGAACGGAACCAAGAAATTCTCTCGACTCGGCAACGGCTTCCATGAGCTTCTCCTCGCGGTTCTCTGTATCCTGAGGCTCTCCAAGCACATCGTTAATGGCAATCTTGGGAGCTCGCATGGAGTGCGAGTCTCTCGCGGCATGTTTGGCAAGACCACGAATTTCGTGCAGTCTCTTGCTTGCATCCAAGAGGTCGTCGTAGGGTATGTCCAGTCGGCCCAATTTCAATGCAATCGAAGCATCGCGTAGACCTTGCAAGTGTGGGTGCAGGAAGCCATGAATACTCAAAGACAGGCCATCCAAGACTTCTGAAGATTCCTTGCCTTCGGGAGTGAAGAGAATTGATCGTATGATGCTCTTCCACTCGGCAGGAGTTTGTGATGAAGCCTTCTGCTGGTCGTGCTGGAATAGGCGACTTCTATCAACCGTCTCTGGTCTCGTGTCCACAGCGACAGTAATACGCTCGATCGTAATTGTTCCCACCTCTTTGATGACGATGGTGCTGGACACGGCGACCAGATCGATCAGACATAGGTATCTTATTTTGGTGTGCAACTTCTTGATCTTGTCCTTGACATCCGTCAATTTCTTCCATTGCGAAGCACCGTTGTCGCGTGGTCGAGCGTTCTCCTCCGATTGTACGTTCTTGGTAGATTTTTCTAGGGCGCGAAAGTCGACAACGACCTGAGGCTCGGTCAAGTGGAGACTGACCCAGGTGGGTTGTGCAAAGGTGGGACGGTGTAGAGAAAGACCGATTCCTCTGACGTAAATTTTGATGCCGTCCTTGGGCGCAAAAGCGATGCGACGGAAGCCAGAGATGCCGATGCGCTGAATACTGACGCCAGTCAAGATACGGAGGAGGGCGAACAGAACGAAGGTTGACAGCCAGGCAAGTACCAGGACACCGCCGACAAAGGATAGGGTAGGCAGCGGCATGCTGAGCAAACTGAAGATTAAGTATTATAATGTTTTGGCGTAGAAAGTTGCTATCGCAGCACGCGATCAAGGTCCAGAGTCGCAAAGGGGGACGGAGATGGTCGAGCAGACTGTCGCATCTTCACCGCATGCCTATCAGTCCGGTACAAGGAGAGATATGCGGATCGCGTAGTAGAGTCCGGTATGAGTGCTGGTCGAAGGATTGGCAGCGGCTCCGAGAGCACGAGGGGTTGGCGTGGAGGAATACTCTTCATCAATTTGGCCGATTAGCTGGACGTCATACGCGAGTATTCGGAGGCTCAATTTGGGATCATCCGGGGTTGCCGATCGGGGCTATCGGTAACTTTTTCATCCTTCGTTATGTCCGCGACCGCGACAGCCTCCTTTGTCGCGAGACATTATACGCGTATGCACACGAGCACGAATAGCCACAGAGATTCTACAGCAGCTGGCAGCTCATCCTTTATCCAACCCCAGCGCCTTGCATCTGCACGTCAGGTAATTGTGACAGCTCTGGCAGGTACAATCTTGTTCCTATCTCCGGCTCGTGCGGAAGCTTGCAGCTGTTGAAGGCTTGAAGCTTTCAATGAAACTTACCGTGTGCGAGTATGACGGAAGACAGGGCAGAACAGGCAATCTTTGTGCTTCTGCGGAGCTCGGCGGCATCGCACGCTGTGGCACTGTGCTTAGAAGATGTAATCTATCAGATGCCGCTGAAATTGTGCTTTCATCGCGTTGTACTGAGCAAGATCGTGTTGGGAACATGGTCAGGCTTCAGATGCATTCAGACATGATGCCAAGATTTGACAGGGTCATGACCTCAACTACATCTGCGAACCTCGATGGCGACATTGTGGCCGACGACGAGGAGTTATCGTGGCTTTGATACATTGCTACAGGTCCTTATAATATTCTCCCTCACAGTTTGAATCCTTGTAGTCATAAGATGGCTGGTCATTGTATAATGCTAAATTTCTGTTTTGAATTCTTCTTCATCCAAAACCCAGACACACACCACGACAATCGCACAGCACTTTTCAGATGCACACATTCGTTCCAAAAAGAAAGAAAAACGATGAGATCATTGGGCAGTTACGCGTCGAACAAGATGAAATTCACACAAATTTCGAGACGCAGCAATCTTGAAGTATTGTATTTACTGCTCGCATGTCTTTCCACTCTAATAGTCCACGACTTTATCGTCTGTATCCCCTTAAAACGCCGTGCTAAATGCGTGTCTCCAGCCAGATGTACGCCATTAAACCCATGCAATTTCGTGTCATCGTCTGCATATGCGCGTTCATCCTCTACTCTTCCATGGCTTCCTGCATCTTAACCTCGACGCCGTTGCCATCTCCAGCACTTGCAGCTTGTAGGGGCGCGGAGAAGACCTTCTCCTTGACCTGGGCAGCTAACAGACCGGTCTTTTCCTCATTGGCAATCTTGTCAGCTGCAGAGACTACCTTGTCCATTGCAGCATCACCCTTGGCACCTGGACGCATAGACATTGAGCCTCTTTGCTTGGCGCTCTGAGTGACCTGGTTGATCTTGCCGGCCAGATCCTCAATCTGCTTGGTGCCGTATTCGCGATTGGTGGAAAGAGGTGAAGATGACAGAGTCTGGACCCAGTACTTGTTCCATAGGGCTTCCAGCAGGGTGTTGTCGAGCGAGGATTTGAAGTGTGTGACGTCCAGAGAGTAGTACTTGTTTGCGTGAGCACCAAAGTCGGCAGCTTTGGCAAGAGGAACAGCAGCCATGCCTTCACCAGCAGACTCGGCACCGGCAGGGATGTGGCCTTCGGGGTATGTTCTGAAAGCGCCAATCTCGACCTTGCCAGAGCTGACAGTGCGATCAGGGTCGATAACGACAGCGACAAAGGGATCGGAGAAAGTTTGCTGTGTGAACTGGGTTGAGACATCGATGCCACTGAGCCAGCAGCCGTAACCAGGATGACTGTGGTACCAGCCGACGGCGTTCTCGAGCTGACCGGCTTCACGCGAACGTTGAAGGTATTGGACCATGTACTCGTTGGCTTCGTCTTGAGCATTGACTCTGGTTTCTGTACCTTCGACGGGCAAGCGGAGGGCATCAGTGACGACGAAGGTCTCATTCAGGACGTAGCCGATCATGAGGCCCATGACTTCAATGCTGCCACCGGAGCGAGCGTGCATGACCATTTTAAGTAGGGCGACGGACGAGATGTGGACATGCTTGAAGTGGTTGGGATCTGAGCGCCATGGCTTCTTGTTGTTGATGTCCTTTTGTTGTTCGACCGAGTAATCGTATACTTGATCGCGAGTGGCGTCTGTGAGGTTGACGGCGTTTTCCAGCTCTGGAACAGATGGTCAGTATAACACATGAGATACCGGAGGAAGTTGTTGTGTCTTTACTGACCCCACGTCTTCCTTGCGTTCTCCATGTTGGCGTGTGTTTGGTGAGAAAGGTGATTGACGCCGGCGAGCTTGTGACGGTGACGGAGCTTGTATGCAATTGACGACGCCAAGTCTGTCATGCGCGGGGTCGGGGTTGCGACCCATTCACCTCCGACCAAATATTCGATTCAAGGTCGTCGCTCCTTCCTATTGTCACTCGTCAAGCATGTCGCGACTGCTGAATACGTTACCGCGCCGGCCGAGGGGAACGGTAACCTTGCGCCAATCATGCCTTGATCAACCTGCCATTGCGGCCACTCGTTACCTCACAATCTTCTCCGGCGCATTCAGGACGGCACTCCCGAAACCATGGTCTATTTCTCTATCCTCGTTCAAGACCTTCTCCGCCACCTCGACAAATCTTGCCAAAGGCCATTCGACTCGTGAATTACTCCCTTCTGGTCCAGCACGAACGAGATTTGCGCCTTCTCCCACCGGCTACCTCCATCTTGGATCGCTACGCACCGCACTCTTCAACTATCTCCTAGCGAAACGGACAGGAGGCCAATTTCTACTCAGGATAGAAGACACAGATCAGGTGAGGATTGACTGAATAATTTCACACGGTTCAAGAGCTGATGGGAGAAGAAAAGACTGGTTCCTGATGCAGAGCAAAGGCTGTGCGACGACCTGAGATGGGCTGGAATCCAGTGGGACGAAGGTCCACAAGTCGGCGGTCCTTACGGTCCCTACAAGCAGTCTGAAAGAACACTGCTATACCAGAAACACGCCCAGGAACTTGTCGACTCCAAAGCCGCCTTCAGATGCTTTTGCAGCTCGACTGCTCAAGCTCCTGTGGACGTCGACGCCTCACTAGTAGGTTCTGCCATTGGTGGCTGCCACAGTGACTGCGCCAGTATATTTCTAGAAGAATCTGCCGAGAGAGCACGCTCGGAGAAACACGCAGTTCGCTTCGGAAAACCCGACAAGGCCCCCAGCTGGTCTGATCTTGTCTATGGCAAAGTCTCGCTCGAATCGAAAAAGACATTGCCTCAAAGAGCCGCTGTCGAAGGTGTCATTCTTCTCAAAGGCGACGGGACACCAACATATCATCTGGCCAACGTCATTGACGACCACTACATGAAGATTACTCATGTCATCCGTGGCACCGAGTGGATGTCCTCGACGCCTCTACACGCCGCCCTCTACAATGCTTTCGGGTGGACCCCTCCAGCTTTCGCACATGTTGGTCTACTCACCGATAAAGATCAGGCGAAACTTTCAAAGCGTAACTTTGACACGGATATTGGAGCGCTTAAGACGAAGCACGGTATCTTGCCAGAGAGTCTTGCTAACTTCCTCGCATTGCTGGGCTGGCGTAATCCTACGCGGGACGATGTCTTGGAAATGAACAAACTGATTGAACTCTTCGACTTGAAGTTCACCAAAGGTAACTCGATCGTGTCATTTGACAAATTGTGGTATCTACAAAAGAACCATGCCAAGATTATCATCGAGCGCGCAATGAAGTCCGTCGAGACAGACCCGTCTTTGGAAACTCTCATCGATCTGCTAGAGTCCAGCGCGCGTACTGCTCATCCTGACTCGAGTGCAGTGTCAGAGAACCCGGACTTTAGGAAGCATCTCACGAACATTCTCTTCATCGACCCAAAAACATACGAAAACCCGTCCTCATACATCGAGCGAAACGCGTACTTCTTCACCGCTCTACAACCAGTCCCATCGACATCTGAGTCTGCGATTTCCACTCAAGAGCTTCATGCAGCAGCCCTCGAGATTATGTCTAATGTTGACACGACCATCTTGGAGACGACATCAACGTCTGTTTCCAACTATGCACAATTAAAACAGGATCTCGATGCTGCAGTAGGAGAGTATTCGAGAGTTATCGGCAAAACATGTCAAGAGCGTGCAACAAACGACGGAGAAGTCGAAAAAGAACAGTTGAAGGAGTGGAGTAAATCCCTTCATCGTTATCTGCGAGAGAAGTTGTGCTTTGGACGTCCAGGACCTGGCAGCTCGCAAGTCATGGCTGTGCTTGGCCATGCGGAGTGTTTGAGAAGGCTCGAGATGTGATGTCTCCTCTTGCGCAGAACCCCACTTTGTAATCATAGAACTTGTAACATATCATCCTCTGCATGTAACTCTGGCCATGCATGACCATAGCAACACAATACCGGGGTAGTATAGGCTGTCAACTCATGGACCCATGGGTCACGATGCCCAACTCTCCAAATTCCCCTCAATCCTTCTCTTGCCATTTCTGTTGACACACCGTCATCATTCCCATCACACTTATCTCTCTCTATCGTATCTTTTGCTTGGTATCTATCAATATCCATGGAGTGATGTCGCAAACAGCACGGATGCGGACCGCTTCCGTGCCTTGTCTGCCTGTCATTGACATCTTTCCCGCCCATCTCCGGCTCCCGATAACGGTGCATCGACCCTTGTACCTTGCATCAGCGTGCATGAAATTGCATATATCCCGCAAAGACTTTCCCAAAGCAGCGAATGTGCTCATAAAAGCTTTGCGAAACCGGTACAGCGACGGGCAAAATCGTGAAAAATGTTTTGGGAGAGAGTCGACACGGGAATTGAGAAAGGAGCTTCCGTCTTGGTATCTCTTTAGAAAGATTGCATAGGAGTCATTTCGAGGGTTGTCACTTGCTGTCGTTTGGATACAAAGTGTCACTTTGCATCCGGTTTTCTTTGCTCTTTTGCTTCACATTTGATATTCATACTCATCACATTTTCTGACATTTGCTCCTACGACGCTTTTGCCTCTTGACACATCATCGACATACAACATCCTACACGCCATTCACATCATATATATATATACAACAGCAAATATGGGCTACACACGCGAAGAACCCGTCGAGCGCACTTCTCTCTTCAATCACCTGGAAACCATGCCCGGCGACCCCATCTTTGGCTTGATGACGCAATACGCAAAGGATCCTGCTGAATTCAAGGCGTCTCTTACAATTGGTGTTTATAGAGATGAAGAGGGAAAGCCTTGGGTGCTTCCTACTGTTAAGAAGGTGTGTGTCTTATCATTTCCTTGATTCTCACAGTTTGCTCTTTTTTTCGAGTCTGCTTTTTTGTTGTTGTTGTCTGGTTTGATGTATTCCGGAAAGAGGTGGTTGAGGGGCTGGTGAGGGTCAGAAGGAGCATGAAATAATCATTGGACGAGGAGTGTGGAGAGGAGTATGGAAGACATGGAAACGAGAGAGAGCTGTGCATGCAGTCCACTGCCTCAACATTCAACTCGCGGACCCATTTCTCCCTTTCCCTTTCTGATCTTCCCCGTCATAGAAAAGCAGGAAAGCAAGACACCAAAACGTACTGACAATTGCCACAGGTCGAGAAAATGATCGCAGAAGACGCAGCCACAAACCACGAATACCTCCCCATGGAAGGTCTCCCAGCCTTTGTAAAAGCTGCCCAAGACCTGCTTTTCGGGAACCCATCTGCTGCTCTGTCCTCCCGCATCGGATCTCTCCAAACAATCTCAGGAACCGGTGCCGTGCATTTGGGCGCTCGCTTCCTTAACGATTCCCTGCACCCAAAACGCATCTGGGTCAGCGACCCCACTTGGGGAAACCACCATGCGATTTTCGACATTGCGGCCCCGGAGGTAGAGCAGAAGCTTTACCCCTACTACGATGCCGAGACCTGCAGTTTGAATTTCTCCGGTATGATGAAGACGCTCGAGGAGGAAGCTCAGGCTGGAGACTTGATCCTTTTGCATGCATGTGCTCATAACCCTACTGGTATCGATCCTACAAAGGAGCAATGGAAGCAAATCGCCGATTTGTGTGAGAAGAAAAAGCTCTTCCCCTTCTTCGACTCTGCATACCAAGGATTTGCCTCGGGGGATGTGGATGAAGATGCTTGGGCTGTTCGTCACTTCATTTCTCGCGGAACACTGGAACTCGTTGTTGCTCAATCCTTCAGCAAGAACTTTGGTCTCTATGGTCAGAGAGTTGGCGCTTTCCACATTGTTGCAGGTGATGAGCAAGCCAGAGACAAAGCACTCAGCCACCTCATCTACCTACAAAGAGCAGAAATCTCCAACCCTCCAGTCTACGGAGCCAGAATCGTCGCTTGGATCCTGCAAACGCCCGAGCTTAAAGCAGAGTGGGAGCAAGATTTGCTCATCATGAGTGGACGTATAAAGACCATGCGCGCTGCTCTTTACGCCGAACTCCAGAAACTGCAGACACCGGGATCTTGGGAACATATCGTCAACCAAAACGGCATGTTTTCATACACTGGGCTTTCCGAGAAGCAGGTTTTGGCACTGAGAAAGGAACATATTTACCTTTTGACCAGCGGAAGAGCGAGTATTTCGGGATTGAACCGCGATAACGTGGCACTGGTGGCAAAGGCTATTGACAAGGTTGTTCGTGCTTCTGGGGATGCTCCTGCTCCAGCTATTACTGCTTGAGCTGTGGTGGAAGGGAAGGGACGTCAAAGGATGATAATGCGGGAAGAGGAAGTGTATATATGGGAAAAGTGAGGTCTCTTTTGGGAGTTGAATAGATGAGAGGAACCAATAGAATAGCATTTGGTTTACAAGAATATTCAAGCGCAGAAAGCCGTCTATGACCGAAAATGTTGTTTATCGCCGAGAAACCCACAAGTGGAAGTTGGGTGTGAGGATCAGTGTGATGGTCAGCAGTGCATAAGGAATTATGCATTGCCAGAGATATGCACGGCTGTCGTCGGCTCCGCAAAAAAAGATAGCGGGCTCCAAACTTGTGACGTGCATGAAGGTCAAAGACAATCTTCCGCTCACCACACAAACAACTCTCTGGTCGCAACATCTCTAGACCATCTCTCACCTCTCTTCCCAACTTCTCACACACTGGTCAAGATACTGACCATCACAACATCGCAACCAGTAAACACCGCCAACTCCTGCACCAAAATCCTGCCACTTCACTAACACACGCAAAACAACAGTGTCAGAAATCGACCTCTACTCAATCCTAGAAATCTCCCGCGATGCAACCCCCACCGAAGTGAAAAAGGCATACCACAAAGCCGCACGAACCCACCATCCCGACAAGGTCCCCGAGTCCGAACGCGCAGCAGCAGACGATCGCTTCAAGGACATTCAACAAGCCTACGAAATTCTCTCCGATGACCAGACCAGAGAAATGTACGACATGCACGGTATGGCCGCTTTTGAAAAGGGAAACCCTGGACAAGGAGGAGGTCCGGATTTGGATGATATTTTGGCGCAAATGTTTGGGCAGGGCATGGGTGGTATGGGAGGTGGCTTTGAGGGCATGGGGGGTATGCCGGGGATGGGTGGAATGGGTGGAATGGGCAGGGGACCGAGGAAGAGCAAGAATGAAGTGCAAGAGTACGAGGTCACGCTGGAGGAACTGTACAAAGGCAAGACGACGCGTTTTGCATCTACCAAAAACGTCATTTGTGGAAACTGCAGTGGAAGCGGCGGTAAAGCAAATGCAAAGCCAAAGAAGTGTGGCACTTGCGACGGAAAGGGTATGTTTCTGTCCCTCCTTCTCCCCCCCAATCTCTACTACAAGCAGCAATCACTAACTTCCAAACCAGGCTCAAAAATCGCTCTCCGTCCCGTCGGCCCTGGTCTCGTAACACAAGAACAAGTGCCCTGCTCCACCTGCTCAGGCCGCGGCTCCTACTTCACCGACGACAAGAAATGTAAAAAATGCAAAGGCGCACGCACAACTTCCCAGCGCAAAATCCTCGAACTCTACATCCCACCTGGCTCGCGTCAAGGAGACAAAATCGTGCTAGCCGGAGAAGCAGATCAAGTCCCCGATCAAGAACCCGGAGACATCATTTTCGACCTTGTGGAATCTCCTCATGACGTTTTCCATCGTGCCGGAAGTGATTTACAGGCAGAATTGAAGGTGACGTTGGCGGAAGCACTCACAGGATTCAACAGGGTGGTGTTGAAACATTTGGATGGCAGGGGGGTTTCTCTGCATGTCAAGCAACCAGCCGGTCGTATCTTGCGTCCTGGAGAAATCCTAAAGATTGCTGGAGAAGGTATGCCCATCAAGCGATCAGACGCAAAGGGAGACTTGTACCTAATCGTCGATGTCGTGTTCCCCGAGGACGGCTGGTTGAGAGACGAAGCCACCATCAACAAGATCAGAGATGTTTTGCCCAAATCGACAGACGAGGAGATCAAGGCTGAAGAGGTGGATGAGGTTGACTGGGAGGTCATCAGTGACATGGAGGACTTTGGCGCTGGTTCTGGTGACCCGAGGTCCGCGGAGTGGGAAGACGATTCCGAGGAAGAGGGTGAAGCTGCTCAGTGCGCTCAGCAGTAAGCATGAAGAAAAGTTCGCTGCAAAAGGACACGAATAAGGCTGTGAAGGAGACGACCTTTTTTTTTTCGCTTGAAAGAAGGGGAACGCGATGGTCAGATCCACACATCTTGTCAAGAATTGGACATCTTCGGGCGCATAAAACCATTCAAGAGGTTTTGAACATACTCGCTTCTCACTGTTTGTATCAGACGATCGACATATCACGAAGTGCTCTACTCATACCCATGTTACCGCCTCTCACATACACTCGAATACTTTTTCTTGCCCTGCTTCTCCAATTCCGGAAAAGACAAGAGTCTGCAAAGGGTAAGTGACTACACATACCCCATCATCTGTTCCCCTTACATCTGATTTCTTCTTTTTGTCTTTCGGTTCTACGGTGGGGCAGGAAGAAGAAGGCAGATATCCTTTTACTCTTTTTGGTCGTTCCACCGTTCAGCTTGTCAACTGGTCGTGTTGTTTCGCCTTTTTCCAATCTCTCTCCAAGATCGAGTCGCTATTGGTGGGATGAGCGTCAGGGGTCTCGCCTGTCCGTTCAACAATAATGTGATATACTAGCCATGTGCTTTGCCTATAAGATTTTAAGAGCTAGGGAAATAGGTTACATCACTGAATAGTGGTCATGTGTACTTGGTCCTTAGTGCCAACTACCTACAGCGGGTTCTCTCTTGAAGATCCATGGCTCTGTGGTAAGATAGGCCAGGAAATTGGTATGACGCTTTCTCTTTTTGCATTTCTGCTTCTTTCATTGTTGCTTAACGTACTCGCTCGCTGTTGTGTTTTCGCATTTTTCCTTATCTCTCTTTCGTGAAGAAGAGAAGAGCTGGAAAAGATGTGTGTTTGGTATAAGTACAGCCAAGTGTATCCCTTTCTGGATATTTGCTCTCTTTTCTTCCACCCAGATAGCGTGGGGCTGCTGTAAGAGGTACTATTGTATGTTTCGGTCTTCTTCTGCTCGTTCCCCTGCTAAGGACAAGAGGATACTCTACAGCGTATATATACCTCTGGATGTTTTGGTCTCACATGAACTTTCCTTCGTCTCTGATTTCACGGCTTTGCGGTGGAGTCAGAGGCGAAGGAAAGTTCATGCTCTTCTTTTGGCTCCAAGGCCGTGTTCAATCCGTCCGCTGGTCGTTCGTGTTTCGCACTTTCCTTTTTGACTAGGGTTTGAGGACCACGGGAGTTTTGCTTTTAGATCCTGTCACTCTTTCCTAGTCCAATACGCAGCGTGTAGATCATTTGTTTTGGATGTATAGATGATAATGAGCATTTTCCGAAGCGTTCATGACCTGACGACTTTCTCTGTGCGAAATGTGTGCCTGTTCTCAAGCGAATGAGCATTTGGATTACCCTCGTCCGCCCGGTATGACTAACACCTGCCCTAGAAGTCATCGTTGCAGCGCGTAAACCACTCTATGGAAGACTACACTGAGGACTTGAGCAGGCCGCTGACCCTCCATGTGTCCCTGGGCCTCTCAACTTAATGATCGAGGGCGTTTTGGAGTGCCCCGTAAGGCAGTGACGAACGGTACAAGCTATAATTGGAGGTTCATCGACCCATATTTCTATCTTGTCGCGAGAGGTTGCATTCCTAGAGCAATGGATTCTTAACGTATGGTCGGGCGAATATCTCCAATCCAGCTCGAGAGCCATTTTGGTCTTTGTAGTTCATCTTAAGAGGCAGGAAGTTTACCGATGATAAGAATGCTTTTATACTGGTAAAGTATCTTCTTCCCAACAGAGTCTATGCTACGTAATGACTTTTGCGTACCCAAAAAAATCTAGATCATGGGCTTTGCAGCATCAACCTTGGGTGGAGGTATGATCCCCATCTTTGCCAAATCTTGATACATTTCAAACACACTCTCCATAGTGTCGACAAAGCCACTGAAACCATATCTGCGCACCTTGGCACTGGAAGGCTGACCAATCTTGTAATAGGTAAAGTCTGCCATCTGCACATCACCCATGCCACCATCGAAAGTGTTGACCTTGACTTGTCCGTTCGACTTCTCCATGATTCGTTTCCAAGCGGCCTCACTGGCTGGATCCTCAACCCAGTCGGCGATGGTACGTGAGAGACGGATGGCAGTGGGTGGTCCATAGCCTAGAGGAGAGTCCTTGCCGCCTGCAAGTTCGACGGTGTTGACGAATTTCGAGTCGTCGAGTTCAGGGCCTTCAACACCAGGGACGTCGTACCAGCGCGACAATTCCTCGAAGAAGCGGTCCCATGACATTGGGCTGCCATCGTGAGCGTTGAAAGCCTGATTCTTGCACTTGTCCTCGAGCACGGCCCATTCTGATAGGAAGCCCGTCATACGAGCAGATGAGTGAAGGTACTCGTATTGCCACTCCTCAATATCACCACCAAAAAACAAAGGCTCTTTCTTCTCGGCTTGAACAGCGGCCATGACGGCGAAGGGTAGGAAGGTGTTCATGCCTGCTTTTGAAACGGCACCGATCACGCCGAAAGGACGGATCACATTCCAGCCGCACTCCGGGTGGTCTTCGCAGTATTTCTTCAGTCGGTCTTCCTGAGGATAGTAAAAGTTCTGAGAGAGGTGACGGGGCTGACGATCAGACTCGATGAATGGTAATCTGCTTCTGCCAATCTGTCCACCGTAGTTCTTGCCTCCTGTCTGTAGGAGAATACGCCTGGGTCTCAATTCGGCAATCTCGAGAGCAGAGAGGAAGTTCTCAAAGATTGGTTTGTTGGCTTTGACAAGTTCTTCCTCTGCCTTTGGGTCCATGGCGGAGACATTCTTGGGAGAGATGTAACCGTAGAAGAAGACATGGTCGACTTCAACACCACCCTCTTTCAATTGGGAAGCAATCTTCTCTCCGGTACCAGTGAGATCGATGGCTACGTGCTTAATGCGTGACTTTTGCTCTTCGGTGAACAGCGCAAGCATTTCGTCCGGGATGGGGCTACGCGAGAGCGCGTAGATGTTGGACCATCGCTCCGGAGAGTCGAGAAGGGAACGGATTGTGTTGTAGCCAGAGATACCAGTCGCTCCAACAACGACAGCTTTCAATCCCTTGATAGAGGGATCAAAGGTTGGCAAGTTGCGATAGATGCCAGAGGTGCGGAGAGGAAAGTTTTCAGAACTCATAGTGAATGTGTTGGAAGGTGAAACGATGTTCGAGGTGATCGAATGTAGTGATATTGATGAAGGATATGAATTGCTGAGCGCTGCGACCTACCTTTGTATTCGTTGTCGATGGCTAGCAGACCAGAGCACCGGTCCCGGGTGTCAAAGTCATCCGGTACCAAGCAACCACCTACGTAGATTCAAGCTTGGCCAAGAGGTCGCGCGTAGGCAGCATCTCGAAGAGTGGAGCATTCAACGCGAAACGTAGGCATCAATGCTAAAGATGATTCAACAAACAGGACAAGATTTCATGGCAAAGTTGACATTGATGTAATTTGAAGGTTTGTTGTCGCGTTGGATCGTCATATTGGGCGAGCTGGCGCTAAATCTGGCCAAGGCCCGTCCCGTTTGCCGGCCGAGATCTGGGTCTGCCACTTGCCCTAAGAGCTCGCATTTCCTCTTTTGCTCTGAATGCCCGCGTGTTTGTTCCACGACCTCCTCTCCTCTGTATCAATTGTTGACTAATATTTCTTCATTTTTCTTTATTTACTCCCACGTCAAATGTAGGTCAATTCAGTCGTAGAAAGCTGGAAAGTAATCACAATCGTGCATGCGAATTGTCTATGTGTTTGCAATGTCAAGATAGGTCCCCAGGGTGTCTTTGGTTGGTGCTGTCAATGCTGTCGTGATGTTCAGCATCTTGCTCGCGAATCCCGTTCCCACAGTGATCCTCAAGGTTTGCGATCCTGCACCCAACTAATCTTGCCTGACTCTTGCATCTTACACTCTCGATCTTTACTATTCTCATTTGTCAAAAGCATCGCGTCTGAAGATCGTGAACGCATCAAAGCATCCGGCTTCAGGATATTCTGCTATCCGTTCACATCTGGCCTGTTGCCAAGTCAACTCACGAGTCGCATTCATATTCCAGTCGTTCCAGCATCATTCCGAGTATCCACTTCTCTCTTCACTTCATCACAACACGACTCAAGGCGCCAACTTCCTGCTACTGTGCAAACTCCAAAATCCAAGATTATGGGTCCAGCAACCAGATCTACAGCCAGGGCTGTCAGAAGCATCGCCAAATCTGCATCTCCAACCAGATTCGCCATGCGTCCTGCCCTCGAGGCAAAGCAAAAGGTCACAAAGCCCAGAAACAAACAGGAGAAGAGCACTCTCAAAAACGTTGCAAAAGACGCCGCGGCAACAGCGGTGAAGGAAGAAGAAATCATCACTACAGCTTCAAAGAAAAAAGCTACAGATGACGACGCTCTTGCAAACAAGAAATGGTCCTCCTGGTCCGCCCACTCATCCTCAACACCATACCCATCACACCACCACCCAACACCCCAAGAATGCTCAGCCGCCCACACAGTCCTGCATAATCTGCACTCAGAAGCAGTAGCCACCGAGTTCGCCGACCCCGACACACCTGAAACCATCGCCAATGTCTTGGACGCCATGATAATAGCCGTGCTCTCCCAAGCGACTTCCTGGTCAAATGCAAAGCGCGCGATGGGAGGTTTACGCTCAGCCTACGGTTCTCTGTTCGCCTACGATGATATCCTAGCAGGCGGGGACGAGAAACTGCAGGACGCTTTACGACCAGGAGGCCTGCATATCCGAAAAGCGAAGATTATCATGACGATCTTGAAACAAGTAAAAGAAACCAATGGCTCGTGGGATTTGAATCACCTCATCGAGTTGAATGACGAAGAGGCAATGAAGCAGTTGATTACTTACAAGTACATCGGAAGTAAGTCGGCTTTCGTAGTCATGGGATGGTGTATGAAGAGGAATACGTTCACGGTGGACACGCATTGCTTTCGTATTGCTAAACTTTGGGGATGGACGCCAAAGGATGCGACGGTGGAGAAGACGCAGCAGCATTTGGATGCGTTGATACCAAAGGAGTACAAGTTTGACTTGCATTTCTTGATGATCGCACATGGAAGGACTTGTCCAGTGTGCAGAGGTGGAAGTAAGGTGGGTGGGTTGTGTGATGCGCAAAAGGAGGTCAAGGCATCGTTGAAGGAGGGTGAATCAAGCAAATAACATGAGCATACCTTGGCGTATCCACATTATACCTACTTCGAAGTTCAAAACTATACAATGAGTGTCTACGCAGTTTCTCATCTGCATATTGGCGCTTTTGGTCGACACGGAACACAGCGGTCATGTCACGCACTTGCAAGCGCACGTACCTGATCCACTTGCTCAGCGATCGTAAGTCTCCTTCACGAATTGCTCCCACTGATTCATTCATTCTGGCCTGTCCATCCGCGTGTCTCTAGTGATGGAGCTGACGCCAAAGTCGACATCCAGGACATCGAACAGACGATAGAAAGTGCCTCTTTCCACACCGTGAATGCCGAACTCGATTACACCTTCACAGCCACGCCCGAAGCGTGGTTGACCTGTGCTCATATCGCGAGCTCTCCAGCTGAACTGACAGACAGAAGAGCCGTCCACGAAGAAGTCATCAACTCGCAGCACTCCAGTCTTGGGTCCGATGGTGAAATGTCCCCAGAGTCTGTTCGCGTAGATGTCGTGGTGAACAGAAATGCGCGGTGGTCCATTGCATTCAAGGACATTGTCACGCGAGTGTGATCGAGGGTGCAGTAAATAGGTGCCGTTGACATCTTTGCCGAGTTCAGACTTGACATGGCGTAAGGGACTCGTGGACTTCTCGGCCTTGATCTTCACAGCTCTCTTTTTCTCCGAGGCCTCGGGCTCGGTTTCTGCAGCAGTCGTCGACTTCTTGGACTTGGGCTCTGCTTTTACTCTGGGCTCTGCTTTCACCTTGGATTCTGATCTAACTTTAGGCTCTGCTTTTGTCTTCGGCTCCACTTTGGTCTTTGGCTCTGCTTTGGTCTTTGGCTCTGCTTTGGTCTTTGGCTCTGCTTTTGACTTGGCTGGAGCCGGAGTCTCCTCAGTCTTCGAGGTTGTCGTTGGTTTGGCAGATGCGGCTTTTCCTTGGAGTTTTGATGGGGCAGTAGTCTTTGCTGACTTCTCAGTCGAGGAAGAGCTCTTAGGCTTAGTGACAGCCGCAGCAGCACTCTCGGTGATTTTCTTGACTTTCGAAGCTGGTGCATTCGGCTTTGGTTTTGACGATTGAGCAGCTGGTGGGTCATCTTTGGCTGTCTTAGACTTCTTCGTGGCAGGACCGGCTTCAAGAGCACCGGAAGTAATTGAGGCAGCGGTCTGTTGATCAACACTGATAGTGACACCACCAACTGTCAAGGTGATTTTTGCGTTTGTTGTGGACTCTTCATGTACCCTCTTCTTGCTCTTTGCTGGTGCGGCAGCAGCCTTCCCTGCAGCATTTGCTTTCTTCACAGAAGCTGTAAACTCTTTTTTCATGTCTTATCCAGCTTGGCGACCTTGTCGGGCACGGCAAGTGTGTTGGCGTTGATCGCTTGGAGAAGTCGAACTTTTGCTGTGTTCTTGTCTTTTGAAGGCGGCAAGCCATAGTGAAGTAACCGTACTTGATACCAATGGCCGACCTGATCCTTGGGCGGCGGAGCGGAACTAGTCTCTGGTCGTAGCAGCGAGGCAATTCAGCCGCAGAGGCACGTGGATGTCTTTTGGAGTCAGCGACTTGAGCGAAGAAGGCGTCGTTGTGGATGAAGTTGTCTCGAGCAACTGCTGGCGATGTCATGCTGTTTGGTGTACGCAATGTTCGCGTCAAGTTGAGTTTGTGGCTTGGAAGATATCAAGGTGTTTGCAACGTTAGCGGAATCAACATCTGCGGTGGTCATAGCTCCAGCCTTATCGATAAGCCCGGTCTCTTCTGATCCTGTCTTTGTTCCTTGACAAGTCCTACTGTAGCATCCTCTGGAACCATCTTGCCAGAGCGTTGCACTTATCAGCTCATCATGGTCGCCAGAGAATCTTTGGTGGACTTGTATCCTAATATGGTATGAACTCAACCACGACAGGAGGTCATGACTCCGAAGTGGATAGATTGTGCCGGTTATCTTCGTTGAAGCAGGTATCATCGCGTCTTTTGGTAATGGCCAGTACTCGCACCTCAGTCAGACAAGACTTGTTGCTTGTAGTTGCTTGAGCTTGGTAGGGAAAGTTGTGCCCTCGAAGTCAGTCAATGATTCACATGCACAGCCGGAGCAGCGGGGGCCGTATGCTCCTTCCCTTTCGAACATGCTGTTAAGTTTAGTTAATTCTCGGCATCTGTATCAGATCGCACTGCCATCTGAGAAAATCCCGTCATATCTGTGATCTCTGCTACTATGGCTTTGCAGCAGCCTCTACATTTCACCGCTGCCTTGGTTCTGGTCAAAGCGAAGCCTAAGCACCTCTCAATACTGCGTAAAGTATGTGCTTGTCCATACGAAGAATAACCTAACAGATTTCCAGAGTACATACATGCCCTGCGCCAGTATATCCGGACCACTAATCGCAATGGCCAAACCCACCGCGAGCTTGACCACTCAGCTTTCTGGCAGAACCAGTACGACACCTTACGCGACACACTTGAGAAAGAGCGAGATGATATGTTCGTTCTTCAGCAACAGAATGAAGCACTGCAAGCTCAGGTCACTCAGCTTCTAGCTCGCTCGAAGCCAGGTCGGAAGCGCAAATCGGCTGAACAAGAGACCCTCGAGACGGTCAAGAAGATGAAAGCAAGCACAATCGCTATGGCAGAATTTGGTCTCAGCGCGGATGTTGATCCCGGTATATACCGTTTCTTGATGCGTTTCCAAAAACCGGCACTGACTTGTCACAGTCATCAAAGCTATGCGCCATATCCACCGCATACAGACATTGTGTAGAGGTCGAATGTGGAGTACTGATTCGAACGAGCTGGCTTACAATCTCGTTCAAGCCACGGAAGCTCTGGGTATGATCATCGAAGCTTTCCCATCCAAGATTCACGCCGCAGAAAAGGGCAGCAAGACGATCGTCGCTGTCGCCAGAAGTTGCATCAGTGTGTTCAGTGGTCTCAAACGCATGGAAGCTTTGAAGAGTAGCGATAACTTTGGAAGCCATGTCGTTCATGCCTGCGTGTGCTTCTTCGACATACTCTTCACAAGTCTTGAGGAGAGCGTTTCTACCCAAGTCAAGTCTAAGCGAACTCAAACAGGGACGCCCACGTTGCAAGCGCTTTCTCAGTTGTCGAAAAGCTTGATCGAGAATCTGCGAGACTCGGCACGAACATGCCTACCACATTCACAGATCTTGGAGGGTGCGATGTATCTGCTACTTCATCGACTGGGAGAGATGACACATGAACTTCTATTGGATGGCCCTCAACATGACGACATCGAGAGCGAGATGCAGAATTTACCCCTGTCAGCCGACAAGAAGCTCGATCCTGTTAGGCAGACGGAGATACGGGTCATGCTCACATCAGCTCCTCTGCTTCTCGATAGCCTGCGCAAAGCTGTGGCTGATGTGCCTAATCTTCCGACTGCTGACAAGGCACGTCTATGGCTTCAACGTACACTGGTGGATGGTATCTTCGGATCTGATACAAGAGGTCTCAATGCAAGCAAAGACGTGCTAAGATTACCCAAAGCTCTGGGAGAAGCACCAAAGGCAGTAGCTACCGTGCGCACGGAAGATATTGAAGACAAGACGGATGTGTTTGAAGCTGAACTATGGGCTCTGATCGGGTGGGATGTATTGGGACGTGAGCAGGATTTGTGAGTCGACAAGATGTTGACCGACGGTGGAACCATTGTTGCTTCGGGATGATTTGCTAAGATGTTGCTGAATTGAACAAGTAGGGCGTTTTTTGACTCCATGTACGTGAAATCCACGAACGAAGAGATGTAAGAGATGCTCAGAGAGATATAGTCTGGCACTTGCGACGCATGCATGGATGGTACAAGAGAGACGTACGAGTCGTTATGATCGTCAATCGAAGAACACAGGGTGACTCCATTGGCCGGCTGATATTCGGGAGTTGGCGACGGCAGCGGGAAGCGGAGCTTGTGGGCGCGTCATGGAAGCTTATCGCCGGGCGGAGTCTAAACAGTCTAGGAAGTGACGGATAGCCGATCTCACGACAAGCTCAAAGCACTCTCGCCCTCTTTCCCTTGCACAGATGCGACCATCGATATCATCCCTGCCGGCAGGAGAGCGTTCACCCTCATCTTCACCTCCACACCCTCCCGCCAGGAAACGAAAAAGACCTTCGGTCGCCGCAGCGGCTCCAACTCCGTCATCAGCCTCTCATCCACCTCCGTCACTGTCCAAACAGCATTCAATCCAGAATCTCTTAGCCGGTCAAGCCTCGGCTGGTGCTTCCTCCTCCACTCCGATTGAATCATCTCCCAACCGCAAGAAGCATAAGACGCAACCATCCCAGATGCAGTCGGAAATGTACTCGTTCTCCACCAAGGTCCTAAGTGGCAACTCGCCAGACGTCAGCACCAACCGACGTGTCGCTGGCAGACTCAACAAGGGCTTCCAACCCAAGACTGGCAACACCAAACTCGTGGTCAAGACCCTCAAGCCTCAGCCAGTATGGGATGCGAACAAGTACTTTGAGGATACATGGGCACAGCTGGACCGTGCTCTGCATGTCATCTTTACTGGAGCAAAGGTGGACTTTTCAATGGAAGAGCTTTACCGTGGGGCCGAGAACTTGTGCCGTCAGAAGAAAGCAGACGCTCTATATGCTAGGCTGAGCAGTAGGTGCAAGCAGTACGTGAGGGGACCTATGAAGACAGCGTTACTGTCCCAGCAGGGCCAGTCCAACCTTCAAGTTTTGGAAGACGTGGTCAAGACCTGGACTCTATGGAAAGACGATCAGATGCGCACTATTCACAACATCTTCTATTACCTGGACCGTTCGTATCTTTTACAAACATCCAGAGGCTCTCTTATGGACGTTGCCATCAGGATTTTCCGCGAAAGCATCTTCGAGGACCCCACTTTAAAGCCTGGCATCATTGATGGCGCATGCGATTTGATTGCTGCTGACAGATCCGGGGATAATCTGAAGAAGAACCAGCTGAGTCAAGCTATCTCTATGTTTCACGACCTCGGCACTTATTCCACCTCGTTCGAACCACGCATGCTCGCCTACACTCAGCAATATGCTATCCAATGGGCCGAAGAGAAGAGTGCAGGGAGTACCCTTCCAGTATATGTCAACGATGCTGTCGGCTTCATGAGCAAGGAGACTGAGCGATGTGAACTGTTCGGCCTCGATCAAAGCACAAAACGAGACCTCGTGGCCCTGCTCGAGGAACACATTATTGTGAACAAGGTGGACTACCTGACAAATCAGGATAGCGTGGCTGATCTGCTAGACGACTATGCTGTCAAGGATCTCGAACAACTTCACGCACTGCTACAAAGACGACGACTTGGTTCGAAGATTCGTCCTGCTTTCGTACGTTGGGTTGACGATACCGGTACACAGATTGTGTTTGACGATAAAAACGAAGCACAAATGGTTGTTCGTTTGTTATCGCTCAAAACTCGCCTGGACAACATCTGGCGTACTTCCTTCCACCGTGATGAGGATCTTGGTCATGCTTTGCGCGAGGCCTTTGAGACTTTTATCAACAAGACGAAGAAGGCTGCTGCGACACATGGTACAGACAACTCCAAGACTGGTGAGATGATTGCCAAGTACGTTGACAACCTCCTACGAAACGGCGCCAAAGCTATCCCCACAGATCTGACGATACATGCTCGCGACAATGCTGGGAATGACGAGGATGAGGACAATGAAGTCATGGATGAGGATAGCGAGGTCAATGCTCAACTCGACCAAGTTCTGGACCTCTTCAGATTTGTTCACGGCAAGGCAGTGTTCGAAGCTTTCTACAAGAAGGATCTTGCTCGTCGTCTACTCATGAGTCGATCAGCAAGTGCAGATGCTGAGCGCAGTATGCTCGCACGACTGAAGACCGAATGTGGTGCAGAGTTTACTCACAATCTGGAGCAAATGTTCAAGGATGTCGAATTAGCTCGCGAGGAGATGTCATCCTACAAGTCTCGATTGGAGGAGCGCGATGAGAAATCCAAGATTGATCTCAACGTGAATGTCTTGTCTGCAGCAGCTTGGCCGACCTACCCTGATGTTCCAGTCATCATTCCCGCAGACATCAAGAAGGCTATTGACGAGTATGAGCGACACTACAAATCGAAGCACAGTGGCAGAAAGCTTGACTGGAAACACTCCCTCGCTCACTGTCAGATGAAAGCCAAGTTCGCCAAAGGCACAAAGGAGCTGGTAGTCTCATCCTTTCAAGCCATCATTCTCTTACTCTTCAACAACATTGACGCATCCGAACATCTCACCTACGACTTTATCAAGACAGAATCAGGATTACCCGAAGCAGAAGTCGTCCGAACCCTTCAATCTCTCGCATGCGCCAAACTCCGCCCCCTCATCAAGCACCCTAAAGGTCGCGAAATCGCACACACAGACACATTCACGTACGACCCAAACTTTCGGAATGACAAGTACCGTGTCAAGATCAATCAGGTTCAACTCAAAGAGACCAAGGAAGAAAACAAGGAAACTCACGAACGTGTTGCCGCAGACAGAAACTTTGAATGTCAGGCTGCTGTGGTTAGAGTGATGAAGTCCAGGAAGACCATTGGACACAGCGAGTTGATCGCAGAGGTCATTCAAGCTACAAGGAGTAGAGGTGTGCTTGACGTCAAGGATATCAAGAAGAACATTGATAGGTATGTTGAAAAGGACGCCCGCGGAGTTTCAAGTATGATTGCTAATGTTACAATGACAGACTTATTGAAAAGGACTACATGGAGCGAGAGGAGGGCAACATGTACAACTACGTTGCGTAGTTGACGATATCCTCAGATCTGCTCGTACTTGCGGTAGCAATGAGCAAATGCAGAGAAGCATGAGAATATTGCAAAGCATTGACACAGCATCGAAAACCATGGCTCTTTCTTTCCATTCTTTTTATTGTACATTTTATGAATCGTCCCAATCCAATCGCCCTTGTTGCTCCTGATTGACATGTGCGGTATCGTGGCGTTTGGAATTGATCCTGCTTCTAGCTTCCTTCTTGAATCTGTGGAGCCTCAGCGCATGAAACCGTGTTGCTGTTTGTTCTTTGATCAATGGTTTGGAACGTAGTCTTCATTCCTTCAACATTGCGAGTCGTGTTCTCTGGTCGTCCGGAACAAGGGGAGGGGGACCCGGATGGAGGAGGTGTCTACTTCTTTCCCTTTTTCTTCTTCTTTCCAGCCGTGTTTTGCGCAGATGTTGCAGCAGGCGTCACAACACTAGCCACGGCATCCACAATCGTCTCTACACCCTCTGTTATCGCATCCGTCATGGTGACATCTGTAAAACAAAAACCCCTCTTGTTAGCATTTAAATCCCCTTTCAAAAAGCCATTTTCTAGCATTTCTTCTCGTCTTTTCTTTTCAAAAAGAGCCTTTTTTTTCTGGTCGGGGGAAAATTCGGGGGATCCTTCTCACCTTCTTTTACTTCTGGCAATGCAGCCATTTCTCTTCCCAGAGTTCCCATTGCAGCAACAAGTCTTCCTACTTCTGCTGCTTTGTCGGTTTTGTATTTTAGTGTTGTGCCGGAGAGGGGGTCGTAGGTTTTTAGTTCTAGATAGGCGATTGGTTGTTTTGGTTCTGTGTTGGTGGGAGCAGAGGGTTGGTCGGTGGTGGTGGTAGGTTTTGACGAGATTGTGGAGGAGTGGGGGATGTGGTATTTTGTTGTTATGCGGGTCTGTGGTGAGAGGTTAGCAGGGGGTATAGAGAGGTGGAGAGGAAAAGGGAAGTTTGAGAGGTATGGGCGAAGAGGTGGAGATGTGGTGAATCGGAGAGTGAGAGGAGAGCTGGGCGCATACAGTATTAGGTCTTGCTTGTAGAAGCAGAGCAGATTGGCGTTGCCATTCCTCGCTTGATGTAAAGTACGGCATGATGTGTATGTTGAATTGATGATTGTCGCAAAAAGAGGTCGCGTGTAAGGCTGTCGCAATTGACGGAAGTCGCGATGGTGGAGTGCAGTATGGCTTGACTCAACTCACCCCCGCGGTGTCTTGTCCACTGACTCGTTCTTTCTCGCACGTCATGGCCCGTCCAGCGCTTGCGACTTTTCTGCTGCTTGGACACTCAAAAGGCAACAAGCACGCGATATTCTCCTCTCTGCCTCGCCGACCGAGTGTGACTCTGAACGACACACATCATGACCGACACACCACCCGCAAACGGCCACACACGCATCCTCCCCACAGCAAGCGACCTCCTGACCCGCTGTCAACTCCTCCTCGACGAACTCGAGACGTTCAAAGAATACCTCAAGACCCGCAAACAAGATTCCTCGGTGGAGATTGCTCATTTTCGCAACACTGTAAAATCCGAACACCGCACTCTGTCCAGACTCGCAGACAACGAGGATGTAGAGGCTACACAACATACTGTCAATTCCTCAAATCTGCCATTCTTGGAACAGGTTTGGGGAGTTGTGAAGGGACAAACTGGCTTGCAGGCTATGCAAAAGAGGTTTTATTGGCAAGAGGCTGGGCAGAAGAGGGGGATGAAGAAGAGAAATTCGGCGCTTGTGGATATTGTTGCGGGTGATGGCTTGGAATGGTTCAAAGTCAGTCTGCTGACGAATAACCGCTTGCTATTTGACAAGGCAAAGCAAGGCTGGGAAGATGCGAGTAGTTCCGAGGAAGAAGAGGATGAGGAAGAGCAGACACAGCATGGCAAGAAAGAGGAGGATGAAGATAATGATGTTCCACTGGTCAAGATGACCAAGGATCTCGTCCGAGCGGCAAGAGAAGTCAAGATCAGGACGAGGAGCCCGACTATCACACTCGTCTTACCGAAGTTGCGAGAAGGTGAAGTGGCAGAAATTGACAAGATACTCGATCAACTGCGCGCCCTGGGTGTCCGACTCATGTAAGTCTGCCTCCCTCCTTGAGTTGAACAACTTACTGACCACACACCCAGTACATCCACCTCCATCTCCCCACCCCCACCGTTCGACACCGTAATGCCCCACCTCCTCACAAACCCCTTCGCCTCCTTCACCCCCACCTTGAACATCGACTGCACAATCCTCCTCGCCCTCGTCTCCGACTTTTCCCACTGCTCCGTAACCACAGAACCCTGGTTCCACCGCGCCCTGACCCGCCAAGTCGAAATCGAAGACGAAGAAAACCTCCTCCCAAACCTCCTCTACCCGGCTCTAGCCAATGCAGAATTGGTATGCACAGACGAAGCCGCAAAACGCATGCGAGAAATCGTAGACACAATCGGCACCATTGGCGAAAAAACCCGTACCAAATTATTCATGGGTGATAACGGCCTCTCGCATGCAGACGTACTGGAGGAATTGGCTCGGCAAAGTCGTTTCCCCGTCCCTGCAACGCTAAAGCTTCCCATCACCATCATCACACCTTCTGAGCATCAACATTCCTTGCCAGAATCAGCAAAAGCGGTAAAGAAACACTTGACGAATATCAATCAGAGTGTCTTCTTGCATGGATGGGATCAGGGTATTACGACGATTACGAGTAACAGGACGGTGGTCAAGCAGATTGAAAATGTTCTTGCCAAAGAGGCTGGGGGAGAGGAGGAGTGGCCGAGGGTTTGGCTGTGTCCTACTGCGAGGAGTTTGGTGGGAAAGGAGAAGGGGAGGAGGGATTGAGAGAAGGGTTTGACTTTTTTGCCGAGGGGTTGCGAAGTTGGTGGAAGAGAGGCAAGGCATTTTTGCATGGCATTAGTGGAGTTTTGAAAGAGTGCTTTTTGTGCGTTAGCTGTATATGGAACCGAGAAACCGAACGAAAAGCATGGCAGAAACGCCCATGTATGTATACCATGACCCGAAAAAACCATGGTCTGTGTCAAACAGCAACAATCAGCAAACGTCTTTCGCGCCTACTAAATGTGTTTGATAATCTACTATCTACAACTCATCAATCTTCACGATATTTCTACCTGGCACTGTTTTAAGCGCTTGGCTACATGCCGCACTTGACTTGTACTATAATCTGTTTATCAAGACCAGGCAGACAAAGAGTCACAGGGTAGGTTGGATCTTCCAAAAGCAATCATCTTGTCTTTCAGCTAAGAGTGTCGGGTAGTCGTGTCTGTTTAGATTAGAGAGGATTTATATAGGATTCGGGGGACCTGAGTACCTTTCTTACCCCTGCACGAAATAGATCAGACGAGTTTTTGTCTTGTATAATAACCTCAATCTCTCACGAGAATTCGACGTCAAAGTTCTCGACTTGTGCTTTTTGACATGTGCGATGTTCGTGTAGATGAAGAAGATGCACAGGTCCGTGACTCTTTGGCACCGCATCCGTCTCGCTAGTGTGTGCTTTAAGAGAGGCCTATCAGATGCACCCCCCCCCCCCCCCCCCCCCTTCTTTATATGCTGTCCAGACAAGGCCATCTCCGAAGCCATAGGTTTTGACATTCGTTCGTTGTGCTGGCCTTCTTCTTTGCTACTCTCTTCCCGGGTTGACGTGCGATGACCGGTCTCGCTAAATACTGCCAAGTATAGGCCTATGTTCAGGATATAGCAGCGGCGTGAGCTGGCCATGCTGCGTCGTCTTGTTATCCTCAGAAAAAGGACAAGGCGACGAAATCGGGTCCTTTAAGATATGTTGCCCCCCCCTCCCCCCCCCAAAGAGTCCGAGAAAAGGGAAAAGGCAGAGCCATCGACTCGGAGGTCATATCGAAAGAGTACTTATCTTATCTATTCGAAACCGCCATCGCAAATGATCTCTGTCTGTGTACGATCGACGGATGCCATAGGGGCACTCCAGGTCGCGGCCTCGCGACCTCCACTACTCTTTCTGCCCAATTAAACGACCACACAAATGTTGATGCAGGCGCCTACTTGTGTGAATACGAGGGTTGCGGCAGGTCCGAATCTGGAAAAGGATTCAAGTCCGTTCTACATCTTTATCCAGTCTGCGGACCCTGCCACAGAAGTCCTTGAACTCCGGTGGTACACCCTTGCTATGGGTGAAGCCTTTATCCGCATCTCTCAAGAAGATGAATACCTAGCAGCAAGATACTACCAGGGTGAGACCTTGCTTGCTAGCGCGCTCGGCTCTTTACATGAGAACAGTCGGGACTATCCGTTCCACGGCATGCAGTGGTGGGACTTTGATGAAACTACAAGTCAGAGCTATGGCAAGGCGCAGACTCACACTGCTCTATACGAAACAGTTGGTTAAAGCGACCCCAAATGAGAAACGAAGACGAGGTTGCCGAGAAAAAAGCCGCAGAGTAGGTGGCAGACACCGCTTGGCAGAGGAAGTAGCGAGCCCGTGCGATCGCCAACGACAGGTATCTCTATTCAGTCGAGAATTGCGAGAGGGGAAGCAAAAGAGAGCCACGAGGAACGGTACTCGCGCGATATCGCCATCGCCGAGGACTCATGCCTCTGTACCGGAGAGTCAAATGATCGAGCACTGTCGGACCATTGATTGGCGACTTCGATCGCGCTACAAGCGCACATGAATTCGCATGCCAACGTCTCCCAAGATGCATATCCATGCGAGTACGATGGGTGCGGGAGATCTGAGCCTGACTTTGGAAGGTCATACGGCTGGATCGTAATCACTGTCTGATCTTGGTGTGGTCACAGACTGGTTTGACACTGAAAAGGATTATCGTACGCAGATTCTCTGACTTTTCCATGATTGAAGCAGCGCAACGGTAGGCTGTAGGAAGGCATGATCAGATTCCGTCTTGAACAACGCGGCGCAGGGACTCTATATGACGGCAGATCTTCATGAGAGTGCCACATATCAGAAAAGCATTGTGCCTTGAGATAGCTGTAGATCGATAATATTCAGCCCACGAAGAGTGATGGTCGTCTTGTGCACTGCACTCCAGTACTCCTGCACCAGTCTTCCTCTGTATGGCCACCATCACCAGAACCTTTACCATCTTGGAGATTGAAAGATGAGGATTGAAGGGCCTGCAGACCTGTGATTCAACATGCTCTTGCGAAGAGGGACTCGGCATACGATCCAGTAGGGTCCGGACAGACTCGGCACGTGAAGTGGACCTCCTCCAGATGGAGGTGTGATCTATGCGATCGCGTCATTCGTATTGAGGAATCCTTCGAAGGCGTGCTCCCGTCGATTTACCATCCTTTAACATCATCCGACAGAAATATTGCTATCATAGACGCGCATGAACGCGCTCTTATAGGCTTTTCGGCATCTGTACGATCATTTCTGATAGGTTGTAGATATGATGAATCAGCTCGCTGGCCTATCTGCGGTCAAATCGATTCCAAGACTGCGAAAGACTTCTCGAACAGGGGAGAAAACAGACGAGACCCACTGTGATCAGACGCGTTTGCTGGTGATCGGCATGCCAGGGTAGCATCCAAGGTGAAAATTACAAGCTTTTCTTGGCCGGCTAAGCTCTTCCGGGTAATAACAGCCAATCTTGTTGCTTGTTCAAGCTTTTTCTCTGACACACTTCAACGTGGACACGAACAAAACTTGACTACATGTCAATCTCGCCGCACAGGCGGTGATCACCTAATAAGATGCGGACTTTGGTCTGCTAAACCAGCACGCCATATCTGCCCTATCAGACGTGCTGTTCAAGGTAAAATCAGACGTTTTGCCTCCGTAGAACGAGTGAGCATGATGAATCTCATATATAGGCCGTGACCAAGTTGTGTCTTTCGTGTAATTACCTTGTCACCTCTTACTTCTCTCCCACATGGCAGGCTCGTTATTCAAGCGTGCCGTTGCTCGCGTGAAGGGCAACGAAGGAAATGCCGCATTAACCCCAGATGGTTTTGCGGAGTCGACGACATTGGATGAGAAGACCGCAGCTGGACTCACTGGTACTGGAAAAATTGAACCGACATCGAAGACATATGGACTTGAAATTGGTGACGAGGAAGTCAAGGCTGGAAAGTCTTCCGACGTTGACAGCGAGGAATTCGATGATGACGATGAAGCTGTTAGGGATATTCCTCCAGCAGTAAGACGTATTGTCTCCATGACCGACAATCCAGAGGAGCTCACTCTTACTTTCCGATACTTTGTTCTCGCTATTCTCTTTATCGTTCCTGGAGCTTTCCTTTCTCAGATGTCATACTTCAGAACGACTTCAGCAGCATATTCAGTCTTCTTTGTCCAGATCGCATCAAACTATGTGGGCATCTGGCTCGCAAAGATTTTGCCCAACAAGAAGATACTCGGCATCAACTTGAATCCTGGACCATGGAGCACTAAGGAGCATGTGCTCGTCACCCTGTCAGCTGCCTCTGGAGCGACCTATAACCTTGCATATGCACCAGTCTCGATTGCTGAGCTCTATTTCGGCGAGCCCATGAATCCTGGTGTTGCCATATTCTTCATGTGGAGTGTAGTCGTTACTGGCTACTCATTTGCTGCCATCTCACGTCAGTTCCTACTCTATGATCCGCAATATCCTTGGTTTCAAGCACTTTGTCAGACTGCCTTGTTCGAATCGCAGAAGAAGGAGAGAAATAACCCGACTCCGCTTTCGAAGAAGCAGATGAGAATCTTCTTCGCTGTCTTCTTTGGTGTTGCTGCGTGGCAGTTCTTCCCTGAGTTCATCTTTCCGATGACTGGAAGTCTCGCTTTCTTGTGTTGGGTTGCTCCCAGAAATCCTGTGGCCAACTTCATCGGTTCTGGTTTTGGTGGCATGGGCTTCCTCAACCTCAGTCTTGACTGGTCCAATCTGAGCACCAACGGCAATCTTTTTTTGTTGCCTTGGTGGACTCAAGTCATCATGTTCATTGCCTTTGCTTTCAACTGTTGGGTGTTGCTTCCTGCTGCGAAGTGGGGCAATCTCTCCGAGTTCAAGCCTGGCCTCATGTCTACTAGTGTTCTTCAAGGCAATGGCACTAAGTATCCTTTGACGAAGCTTGTTACCTCTCAAGGAACATTCAATCAGACTGCTTATGAAGAATATGGTCCTCTCTATCTTGGAGCTCAAATGCTTTGGGGCATCTTTTTCTCTTACGCGGCGTTCTTGTCTGCCTGGGTCTGGGCCGCCCTTTTCGGATGGTCATCGTTCAAGGAGGCGTTCTCAAAGTTCAAGAAGAGAAACAAGGGAGGCGACAAAGGAGGCATCAACAACCAATACAATGATCAACTCAACATTCTCATGAGATCATACAAGGAGGTACCCCTCTGGTGGTACGCAGCTCTCTTTGCCTGCTCGTTCGTCTCTATCGTTACCATGGCCGCTGCTGGCAAAATTTATATTCCGGTCTGGACCTACTTTATTGCCTTAGCCACTGGAGCTATCATAGTCACACCACTCGGTTGGCTCTATGCAGTATCTAACTACCAACTTCCGATTGGCACGTTTAACGAGTTGATCTATGGCGTCTGCGTTTCTGCCATCAGCGGTCACAAAAATCCAACTGGTGCTACTATTTACAGCTCCATAGCAGGTGACGCCTGGTATAGGGCACAGTACATGCTCCAGGACCAGAAGATCGGCCACTACATGCACATCCCACCCAAGGCAACCTTCTTCTCGCAGATCTTCGGCTGCACAATCGGTGTACCTATCAACTACGGCGTCGTAAAGTGGGTTCTGTCCTCAAAGCGTGACATTCTCCTCGGCTTAGAGAAAGACCCTACGCACCAGTGGACCGCTCAACATCTCTCGTCTTCTCTCTCGACCTCCGTCGAGTATGTCATCATCGGACCTACAAAGATGTTCCAACAATCCTCCTTCAAGCCTGTCCCCTACGGCTTCATCGTCGGCGCCCTCGCCCCTGTCATCATGTTCGCCCTCCACAAATTCTTCCCCAACAGCAAGTTAAAGTTCCGCCTCTGGAACACCACAATCTTCTTCTCTTGTGTGTCCAACTTTTACGGAAACGTTTCCACTGGCTACACCTCCGCCTTTATCGGTGGCTTTATCGTCATGTTCTGGGCATTCAGATATCGCAACAAGTTGTGGGCGAGATACAACTACCTCATGGGTGCTGCATTTGATGCTGGGTATAATTTGAATTTGCTGTTGGTTTTCTTGTTCTTTGGTTCGGGGAAGATTATTAGCATGCCGTATTGGTGGGGCAATAATGAGCAGAGCAGTGAGAGGTGCTTTGCTTTGGATTGAAGTGGGAGACGAGATGTATAGATGATGATGACGACGTTTAGATGATGACAATATAATATAGACATTCCCAAACTCATGAGTCTGTTCGCTATTTGAATCCCTTTCGTCTTTCGGGGAGTGCACACATTGTTTCCATGTTTGCACCGGACGGTCATCAAGTCTTGGTAAAACAATTTTTATGCATGAGACAGAAGACGAAATTTCGATACTATCAATCTGATCATCATGATCCGCATCTAATTGTGGACAGTAGCAGTCAAGCCAGGCAAAATTTCGAGATCCTTGGGCTTGTAGAAGTATTTGCCCTCCTTGATTTCCGGCGTCTCGGTCTTCCTCTGCTGCTGAGTCTGACGAAGCTTAACCCACTCCTGCATAGTAAGATGCTGTCCCAATTGCGTGAACGCATTAGATGTCAGACCCAGACTCTCGAGCACAGGGCTCTTGATAGGGTCAAGGAGGACGTGGTTGTTAGGTCTGTTGTCAACGTCAATAAGGATCGCTGGGAAGGAGGGCATATGGTAGCGAGAACAAACCTAGCAAAATACAAAACACCCAATCGATCAACATGAGCTTGATCCTTTGGCGGTGCGCGAACGCGATGAACACTGCTCTTAACATAGCCCGCTGTCAACGCCGTGAGCGCATCACAGGTGTTAATCGTAATGGTGGCATCCTGGGGCTTGACCCATTTCCACTGGCCTTCATTGTTCAAAATTTGCAATGCAGCAACAGGTTGGCGGAACAGCAAAGTTACAGAGCCCAAATCGGTGTGACCTGGTGTGTAAAGCTCTCCAACCTTGGCATTCTCCTCTGCGCTGCGGGCAGCGTAGTGCATATAGCGCAAGTGATCTTCGCCGAAATCATCGTAGGCGTGTTCCTTGACGAAGAAGTCCTCGTCCACTTGAAGAAGAAGAGCAAAGAGTTTGAGAAGCTTTACAACGACTTCAGAGTGGCATTTGCGGCTAAAAGTCTCAATCTCTTTGATGTGATCTTGGAGAACAGCAGGGTGTTTGCGCTCGTGATGGCCGTCGAACTTGGGAATGTTGTAGACTTGGATGTTGTCTGTAATGCCAGGAGCCAGAGAGCGAAGACCAGAAGGGCGGTAACCGTTGTACTCGCCAGCTTCGAGATCTTTGATGCTGTGGTGCTTGAGCTTTTCCTCCAGAGGTAGATCGTAGAACTCGCGACCTAGAGCAAACTGGCGATCTACTTCCTCTTGGCTGATGTTGAAGTTCTTGACGTAAAAGAAGCCTGAGAGATGTCAGTTGAGAGACGTGTAAGCACGAGGGTGAGACGACTTACCAACATGACGAACAGCATGCTCAAGCTGCTCAACAAGAGACTCCTTACCACCAGGTTTCTCGAATTGACTCAGATCAAGCTCAATAAGCTCGGCCCAATCGACTGTTTCAAGGTCAGACATATCAGGAGTAGCATCGGAATGTGAGGACGTACGGTCTTCCTTGGTAACCGGGACTTGTTCGTAAGGAGAAAGTGTCTTTCCAGGCATATTTGATGTATCGTGTGTATCAAAGACAGGTAGTTATTTTGAGATATTTCGTCATGCTAAGCTGGCACCTCTGAACATTTATGGTCATCCTCGAGCGACCTCGGACACTTCCTTATCTTGCTGAATAAACATCGAGTCATGTATTGCTGAGTACTATGCCCCGCTTATGTTTGTATCATCCGACTGTTGTATGGCAGTTGAAGGTTGAGTGTTCTGAGATTGGAGTGCGGCCAATGAGAGATGATGGTTAATGGTCGAAGGAAGTAGGGGTCTAGCACGCAAAGCGGGGATGAAGTTGCGCGACTCCAACTTGCATATCAACCCCAAATTAGTACAACACCTTCGACATGCCAATAATCGTGATCTGTTCATTGGTTGAAGACCTAGAGGCTTCTCTCTAATAAGAGGTCCAAGAGGAGGCTTCCTTCGGCTTAGTTTCCGATAATATTTGCGAGGCTCAAATTCAGCATATGGACTGCCTCGACCGGGACTGATCAGCACTGGACATGCCGAGCTCCTGCTCTTACCGTCAGATTCTAGGAGATACAAGAGGGTTGTACGGATCTTTGGTCCGGCTCAGCCTTTGAAGGATCAAATCACGCACATGGTTGGGCGATAGGAACCACCCTCCGATAGCGCATCTCGCTCTAAAACAACACCGTGATGTACCGCCGTATTGGGTTCGCAATTCTTGCAGGATATGGTGTGCCTTGTAGCGGGTCCAGGACATGGTTGCCAGTGGTGGCCATGAAGGTTGTCGAGCATTCCTGTGAGTCTTTGTGCCAATTATATATCAGTGGTCACGTCCGTCAAGCTGTTCGTTACATACCAAGCAGATAAGATCGCACAAGATGACGGATTCCTAGACCGATGAATATGTCAGTCACCAAGATGTCGACGCACAGGGAAAATACATATCCTCAATCGACGTCGCCAGCGACAAAAGTCAACCGGCCAGCACCAGCGAAACCGAAAAACAGTACACATCAACTCAAAGATTCTTCCGATCAGTGCAGAGATACATCTGGGACGATCCAGACAAGCCGAAACATGAGAAGAAATTCTTATTCAAGCTCGACTTCTTCCTTCTCACCTACGCATGTCTCGGCTACTTCTGCAAGAATCTTGATCAGCAAAACATCAGCAACGCTTACGTCTCCGGCATGAAGGAGGCATTGAACATGAATGGTAATGAGCTCACATATATGAGTAACGTCTTTACTGCTGGTTACGTCATCAGCCAACTTCCAGCTGTCATCCTCGTTACCAAATTAAGGCCATCTCATGTCATCCCGACCTTGGAGTGTCTTTGGGCCGTCTTTACCTTCTGCTCTGCAGCCGTCACATCAGTGCCTCAGCTGTATGGCTTGAGATTCTTGATTGGCTTTTGCGAAGGTGCATTCTTCCCTTGCATCATATATTTGATTGGCAGTTGGTACACGAAGCACGAAAGAGCCAAGCGCACCACCCTCTTCTACTGCACTGCTTCTCTTGCACATATGTTCTCTGGTTACCTCCAAGCAGCTGCATACGACAATCTTGACGGCAAGCTCGGGCATGCTGGATGGCAATGGCTGTTCATCATCTGCGGAATCATCAGTTTGCCAGTCGGTGTCATCGGGTATTTCTTCAACCCAGACTTTCCCGAGAACACAAGAGCTTTCTACTTGACCAAGGAAGAAGCAGCCTATGCACGAGAGCGACTCGTCCTGGATGGCTACACACCACTCGGATCCTCTTCTTCCAAGTGGGACAAGAAGAAGATTTTCCGTATCGCGACGACGTGGCAGTTCTGGGTATTGTCTTTCGGATACTTCTTCGTGCAGTCCAGTCACCCGTCTCAACAGCCATTCTACTCACTCTGGCTCAAGTCTGAGGGTCATAGTGTGTACCAGATCAACGTGTGGCCAACAGGTCAATCCGCAGTCGGTGCTGTCACGCAGATCGTTGCAGGTATGCTGTCAGACTCACCTCTGCTTGGAGGTAAGAGATGGCAGACGATCGCCGTGCTGCAAGGAGCCTCCTTCCTTGGTACACTGGTCCTAGCCATCTGGAATGTGCCGGTCGGACTAAAGTACTTCGCTATGTACATCAGTTTCTGCTCGGCGGGTGTGCCAGGCTTGTTCTATTCCTGGTTCCCAGACCTCATGCCGCACGACCACGAGATGCGCGGCTTTTTGACAGCCTTTTCAAACATGTTTTCATACGTCAACCAGATCTGGTTTCAGGACGCCGTGTGGAGGACAGAAGAAGCTCCGGAGTTCCGACCTGGCTTCATCGCTGCAGCTTCATTTAGCATCGCGCTGATACTGACGGCGTTCCTGATGCGAGTGCTGGAGAAGCGCGACGCGAAGAAGGACAATCGACCAAGCTATGAGCAAGAAGCCGAGGGTCGGGAAAGGATGGAGGATGGCGTTATCCGAGAGGTCCAGGCTGATCTCGTTCATGTGGGATAAAATATGTATACAACCCGAATGCGTATCGACAGTGTCATCTCCAAGCTCTTTCATTTCCGACCACGTGGTAGGCAAGGTGGTTTGTCGTGCCAGACGATATTGCCATGACTATAGTGAGCCCAGATGACTCATAGTGTGACGTCTGTCGTACTCGGTGTCATGGCTATCATAAGGCGAGATGATATGGAAATCACGGTTCAGTGAAGGGGACCATCACCGTGGATGCGAAACAGATCGCGCCTCTGTCCAGATCTTGGCGGGCTACGTCATACGAGTACCACCAGGGTCGTCCCCTAAGCTACTACATTGACCTGTATATCACTGACTAACAATGACATGAGGCTAAATGGTACTGGTAGCCATACCCCAAGCTTGCTGATTTATCAATCGAATGGATCCTTGCTTTTCCACAGCTCAATTTTGACCCTTAACGCGAGTGGCTTCATTTCGCGGTTCACTCACGAGACCAGTTTCCCACACCACACCCTAACCATAAACAGCAATTGAACATCCGCTTCATCACTCAGCCTAGATTTTCTCAATGTCGACCTTGGCTGCAGTCTCTCCTCTCGATCTATATAGTCCGGGATGGAGCCTAGACACACACGACGTCCATGACCTGAGTCTCTGGAGTTGTAACTCATGCGTGCACAAGGAGAATGGATAGCTTGAGTTGCAGCAGGGAGTACTAAGCAGGAGGGCAAGGGAAATACAACAAGTAGGCGGATCTCATGGGCCTCGTTGCTCGGTCTCAACTTGAGATTCCTGAATCACTAGCATGTGGAAATGATGGCTGCAGGAACGAACAATAATTTTTCAAAAACTGCACGATCAACCATGGAGAGCAGGCATTGTCTTTTCTCTGAACCTCAATTGACTGAGTTCAATACAACGAATGTCATGACTCGTGGTAGCCGAGTTGATTACATAACTAATGGTCTGATTTCCAAGCATAATCCGTTTACAAGTTGGCAACAAGAGCACCGATACCACCGAACAAGGCCATAGCACCAACAGCACCGGACTGGAAGGCGTTGGCAGCACCAGTAGAAGTGGCAGCAGCACCGGTAGTAGCACTGCTCTGAGCGTTGTTACCAGAAGTAGGTGTAGCCTGACCAGAAGTGAAGGGGACGTTGGAAGCTCTGGTGGTAACACCAGCGAAAGCCTGAGAAGTGGTAGATGAAGATGCAGTGTCGGTAGCGTTGTGAGCAACGGTGTTGTTGGGGTTGAGAAGTCTGTCGATGACGTGGATGACACCACCAGAGAAGAGGATGTCAGGGTTGACAACCTTGGCAGAGTTGACGTAGTAGCTGCCATTGATGTTCTGGACGGTAATGTTACCGCCGAGGAAGGCGGGAACGACGGTCTCACCCTCTGGGATGTCAGCGCTGTACAGAACGCTGTTATTGACGACATGGTAGCCGAGGACTGAAGTCAGCTCGGTGGTCGAGGCGTTGGCGAGTGCGTCGCCGACAGCCTGGAAGGCGTCGTTGTTGGGAGCGAAGATGGTGACATCGTGCAGGTTGCTAAGAGTGGATGTGAGGTTGAGGGCAGTAGCAGCGCCGGCCAGAGCGGTCAGGTTGGAGTTGGTAAGGGTGGAGGTGAGGTTGCCAGGGATGGTAAGGGTACCGTCGACGATGTGGATGACACCACCGGTGAAGTTGAGGTTGACTTCGGTGGCAGAGACGTTGTTCTTGAGCCCGCTGAAGAAGTAGGCAGTCTGGTTAACCAAGATAGCCTCGACTACTTGCCCACCGGTAACATTCGAGAATGCAGGGTTGGTCAGGTGTGTGTGAGGGAAAGCGGAGGTAACATTGTTGATGTTAGAAGCCAAGATCGTACCATTGAGGGTGTGGTATGAAATCAATGCTTGGACAAGCTCAGAGGTGAGAGCAACACCAGAGGAGTTCAATGCGGCCAAAGCATTGTTGCTAGGAGCGAGAACAGTAACATTCGACAGGCTGCTGAAGCTGTTCAACAGATTGAATTGCTGAAGCAGAGTCCAGAAAGAGTTGAGCTGCTGATTGGCCAAAGGAACGGTTCCATTGGTCGATGTGGTGATGTTTCCACCAGTGGTGATGTTACCACCTTCTGTGGTGTTCTGTGCCGAAGCAAATGCTGCAAGAGCAAGAGGGGCAATGTTTTGGAAACGCATGATGAGATATGATATCAAATGGATGGAGCTTTTGGAAAAGGATGAAAAGGTTTAGAGCTCTACTCGCACGACTTACTCGAGGCAGATGAGGGGGTTATATGTCTGCTTTTTCATGATCGAGAGCTCGACTTGGCTTGTCCTTGGCCATCCGCGGATCATGCATCCTGTATGGCAGCCGTTTGCGCGTGACAAGCCATGGCAGGATAGGTGGCAAGGTGGAAACTGCCTGAACTGCTACGCAATATGCGCTAAGGTTTGTTGGTAACATACAGGTGCAGGGGACTTAGCTCTCCACGGACCCTGAGAGCATTGGTACTTGTGCATCCAGACTCCTTGGACTGTATCCGTTCTGTGGAGCAGATATGCGGGTCCGAGAGACATTCCAAAGCGATATTCGTGCATTTTACCATGATTCCGCGGACTTCGATTTGCCATCTCTACTGAAGGCCAAATTCGCGCACTGCGTCTTGGGAGCTGTTTCAGAACTCCAAGGGATGAAAATTATCTCGACTGTCACATCATCGTGCGCTAGCAACTCGGAACGAACCCCGCAGAAGGATAAATCCGGAGGAATGCGGGGAATCCAACATGATTGGACTGAACCGGTGATGGTGAAATATACTTTCGACTTTGCGATCGGATGAAAGCGCAGCAAGCTTGAAAGCTCTTCCTCCCTCGGAATAATGAGGCTGTGAGACGCGTAAGCCGGCTTACCCAATCTGGGTGTGTATAGCCTTGGTGCAACATGGTGTGTTGATATTTGGCGGCTGTATGGGCCAGTTTTGGGCTGATCCGATGTTCTAAGGAGCTGCTCGGCTGTGTGAAGAGGCAGCCTGCCAAGCGAGGGCGTTACATGATGAAGTCATGATTGTCCTCCTTCAGGAGTCGGAGCGACTTTCTTGCTGAGGAGCTAAGAGTTTGTGCCCTTCGTATCCAAAGTCAAGACAATAGTACGCGACGTCTCATTGGCAAGATCTCCAACCGAAGACGAGGGCAAGGCGCTTTTCGGCCGATGTAGCATCGCCTAAGAGCATATCGCGATCCATATTCCCGCTATTGGAAAGCTGAATCTCCTGAATGCTTCCTTCAGGATGGACAAACAGCATCTTTGGGACTCATAAGCATCCTTTCCAACGATCTTGCGTACTCTGCGTCGCAACCGCTGCCGCCAACGACTTTTGCTGTGCCAACACCACGAATGCCCTCGAACATCTTCAGAGTGCTGTCATCGCCGTAGCCGTATGCTGGTTGGAAGTATTCAATTTCCAGCTCTTCAACATCAGAAAAGGCGTGTTCCAACTGCTTTGCAGTGAATCTTGGATCCACGTCGAGACGCAAATAGATGTACCAACGCTTGATCTTCCATCTGCCTGGCCCTTCTGTAATGGGCTGCCGTGGGCTCATCAGGTACGGCAGTGCAGTGAGTAACGATGGATGTGACGCAAATTGGTTGGCGCCATACAGGATGCTAGCCGCCTCATCATGGATTTGCCGACATGTTCGCAGAATCGCTGGACTGAGTTTGAGAGGTGGGAGGACGTAGTCTGAGCACAGCCCTCTTGTTGCTATGCGACGTGACTGAACTACGTGTGAAGGCGCGATAAGTATGAGCGCATAGATGATATTGCGCAATTCAGCTGGTAATGCGAGGAAGGCAGAGGCGGGCTGCACAATGGACGACATGGGGTCTCGTTTTGTCGACAAGTAGGTATGAGAAAGAGCGATCAAGAGCTGTACTTGACATGAGTGCAGCACCTCTACATTCTATCTCAACCTTCGCGGGCAGAAGGGATGTTATTCTGGTGACACGCGAGATAAGAAGCAATTTGTGCCGCGGTTGGCTGGTTGGACGTGCTTCAAGCTACGCGGTATACCAGATCCCGGAGCAACAACTACTCCTCGTCAACGTAAGGTCATTGTATACTGACCCACTCCATCATCGCACACTCGAATCACGCAGGTCCTGGTCTGGAGTACACTATAACTCACTGTCCACTGCAAGAGATTTGTAGCAAAATGTCGGTGTCAAGATGCCTCATAAACATCGCCGCGTGTGGGCAATGTCCAGCGAGCAGGAGCAAGCTCGGGTGGTTTAGTAGGTCTATTTCGAAGTAGGGTGAGGGCGCCGCACTCGGTGTTACACGCCGCATCTAAGATATAATTCTTGCAGCGGATCAAGATATTGCTGTCGAAGGTAGGTATCTCGAAGCGTGGGCCAGGGCTCACTCGAAAAATGATGTCGTTGTTCACCAACACGAGATTCGAACGAGGGTGGACGCCCAGGGCTGCGGCGTAGATATCGAGGCTTGCTTCACAACAACGGATTCGTCTCGAGCTTTCCAGTCCATCACGCACGTCCTTTCGCGCGAATACACGCAAAACTTGTAAGTACGCCATCGAGTCCAAGCCGCCTGTTCCTTCTTTAATCCAAGCAGCGTCATGTCTTCATCAATGGATGCGAAGAAAGAAATTGAGGAAGCCGCCTTGCACTTGCTGCAGATGGCAGACTACTACTGGGCAACAGCAGGCTCAGACAGGGGGGATGAGAGCGAAGAAGACAAGACGGAGGACGCAGTTCAGGCATCTACCACTCAGCCAGATCTCGACGCTCAGTCTCCTTCCCCTGACGGAGATAAGGCCGGTAACGACACCATAAGCCCTCAATCGTCATCTGTTACCGTTCCCAGCACCCAATCCGCTACGACAAGCGGTTATCTCCATCAATCAGTACGCGGTGTTTCACTCACAGCCTTGGCCGCACAACAACAAGCCATCCAGCAAACGCGTGCCGCCATGACGCGCCAGCAGCGCGCTACCTTGAAGCTCCGCCCGTACGATGATCTGGACGCTGCAGGCACAAAAGTCGGCACTCTCTGGCAGACACCCGCAGAACGACGTTCCTATCGTCAGACTCAGCGAAGAAGAGGCGCCAATCTTGTTCGCCCTGGCACCACCACGGGTCAGACATTCCCCGATCGCAGACGCGGCACTGCTCGTGGTCGAGTATCTCAACAATGAGATGTTGTCTTACTCCACTGAGACATCTTGCGAATGAAGCACCTCTTCTGTACCATCATCCTTGTCCTTTCCCGCACCTTCAATCAAGTTCCATGTCAGATCGTCAAAAATCATTAAAAACCATCAAAACAACAAAGTGCAACATTCCCACTCAATCCATGTATGCTTCGAGGCTTGCAATTTTGCGCAAATATGCCTCCGCAAAGATATTCAAGGTGGGATTGACCGCGCGAAACTCGATACCTAATTCGGGCTCACCAACGAACAGAGCAGCATCACAGACACCTCCATAGACAAAGAAGCAGTAAGAAGAACACCGAGCACAAAGAGATGATGCTTCAACCCTTACAATGGCTTTGTTCGAGTCTACTGAGTCCTTACGTGTTTTCCAATTGGGCTTCCATCTTCTCACACACGCACAACCCGGCGGCGGCGGCCAGATGAGGGCGCGAACGCGTCAAAATAACACGCCTCAAGATCATACATATTCTTCCAGGTCCACTCCTCATCTGCTCATAACTCTTCTCAACAACACAACCATCTTGACCCATCAACCTCAGTACCTGAACTCAACTCTTGTCAGACCTTGAACTTCTTATCACAACACAAAACACTTCAACACATCATGTCTGCCGGCGGTGGCCAGCACTTCTTCCAGCCTGGTGAAGACTATCTTATGGAACAACCCGACGACACCATTGACCCACAACTCTTGTACCCTGGCGTTGTATCTCCTTCGTACGCTGTGCCGCTCCAGAACGAGATGATGGTCGACCCTACCACTCCTATCCACATGGACATGTATGATGGTCCTGTCTACGACTCTCCTCAAAACTCCGTTGAACAACTTCCTTTCCCGACCTACGTCCATCCTGGTCCATACTTCAACAACCCTTTCGTCGCGCCGTTTACACCTGGCGAATTCGTATCGGACCCTCTGCTCCGTACTCAAGACACCTCTACGCTCTACGAAGACTCCCAAGGCTCGATGAGTCCTTCCGCACCTACCAACTCAGCCTTCGACAGAACATATGAAGTTCTGAATGGCTTCGATGGCTCGAACTCTCTACCCACAACTACGGGCCTCATGACCAATGACCCCGACTTTGATGGACAGCGAACGACCACTGGAGGCTTCGACGGTCCTTTTCGACAAGACTTTCCTGGCTACACACTCCCACCACAGGTCTCCGAGCTTACTTCTCCAGTCACTCCTCAGCCCGGACCATATCAATGGCCTCCGACTCCTTCATCTACTCCTCAGTACCCTGACACTCTTGTCACCATGCCCTATCAAGATATGTATCCGGCATCAGGCGACACCCGTACGGACTTCACGTCAAGCCCTCGCAACACTTCTGTATGGGGCAAGAAGAATCAGGCAGAAAAAAAGATGCCATGTACACAATGCGACCATGTGGCAACCTGTCAAGCCAATCTTGACCAACACATGCTCAAGCACACTGGCGAACGTTCTTACTCTTGCGACTATGTTTTTGAGAACGGCGCTGGATGTGGAAAATCCTTTGCTCGGGCTTGGGGATTGTCCCGTCATTACAGGGATGTTCACAACCTGCAGAAGAAGGCCAAGAAGATTGGTCGTGTTCGTATATCTTCTGGAGATGGCAGCCCGACGAAGCGCGGCAACAGAAAAGGCAACAACACGGGCATGGCTGGCCAAGTTCCTCTCCCTGTATTCGTCCTTCATCCCGCAGATGGCCAAGCAACCATGAGCCCTTCTCAGGTTCAAAAGACTCCTGCAGAGGAGGGCTCAAGCTCTGGACCATTCGAAGGCACACATCTCCACATCACTCTTGACGAATCCGAGGCTTACAACTACGGCTGCAACATTTGCGGCAACGCTTTCTTAGACCATGCCGGTCTGTTCCACCACATGCACGTTGAGCATCAAGCTCCCGAAGGGCTTTACTACACTCCCACCGAGATGGATACTAACAATAGCGATACATCAAACGATATGAACCCCGAGCAGGGAGCCCTCAGAATTGACCCGCGTCTACTTGCACCTACTTGCACCCGAGATGGATGCCGAGATGTCCGATCAACAGCTTGAAGTCCACGATCACCCCACCACTCAAGACGACTACAAGCCTACCTCCGTCACCACCACCGCCGTCCCCAATCCCACTAGAACAATCATGACCACCCCTACCCTCACCGCTCGCCTTGAAGAGCCCAAAAGAACCGCCGCCGTGTCTGATGAAGAGTACAACGCACTACTCGAGCAGCTTCAACTCGCAGAATTCGCCCGTGCTGCTGAAGCCCGTCGTCAAAGACATGAGCAGGAGCAAGAGCAAGAGCAACGTGAGCAAGAACGTCTTGAGCAGGTACGACTTGGCGAAGAAGAGTTTCTTGCCTTCATAGCACCCTTCTATGAAGAAAATGGCCGCTATGCTTAGGAGGTGTGATGGGAAGTAGGGTGATGAGCCTGAGGGGCGGAGGTGATGGGGATGAATAAAACAACGACAACCACGACGAGAACGAAGACATGCCTCCACGACAATACACCTGACGAAGACGTATTTGAATGAAAATGCACCTCAACAGCAACACACCTCATTAAAAAAACACCTCAATAACGACATACATCAAGAATAACACACCTCCACAACGATACACCTCAACAAAAGAGGTCGACTACACTTGATATTTTCCTTTCCTTTCCTTTGTTTGCTTTGGTTTCTCTTTCTGCGTAGAGATTCTGGGTTGGGTCTATGGAGTTTGGGATTGGGTCCATGGCGTTGTTTTCATCCCGGCGTTTTGGGACAACATTCAGCAGAAAGGAGACGGGAGAAGGAGGGAATACATACTGCAAGGAGCATAACTTACCACAGCATTTTTAATACATTACGCAACAGCGGTATGAGCATGAGCATAGATCACAATCATAATGGATAACCCAAGAAGCCAAAAAAAAAAAAGGCTGTTTTCTGATTTTTCCTCCACTATATCCCACATTACATCGGCAGAGCATTAGGAAGAGTTTTCAATGTAATACCCTAGAACTTTCTTCTATCATTTTTCGATTCACATTGCGTTTTCCTGATGCTTAGAACATGTCTGTGCTGAATTTAAACGGGATCGTTTTGCGATTGTGGAAGGGCTGTATATATGTATTGGTAATTAGGCTTTGCTAAAAGCGCCCATTTCGGAAATCATCCATTTTTTGTAGTCTCTGTATGTTTTGACCCTTCCTGTATAAAAAAAAAAGGCTTCCTTATGCCGTCAAGAAACAAGTAAAAGTTTGCCAAAAAACAAAAAAAAAAACGCCATCGCTAAATGTGTCAAAACCCCCAAACCCATCTTTTCCACCCAGCCTTTACCCTATAATTTACTCCTCACACCCTCAAGTCTAAACCTGACATCCTTGAGTACTTTACTACTCGGCCTCCACTCCTCAAACATCTTTACCAATTCCTGCACTTGTACCTCCATCTCACTTTTCACCCTCTCTTCCTCCAAGATACCCCTTAGAGCCCAGGGTAAAAAGTAAGGATTCGAATTACTCCCAGAAGCCGGGATTTCATACTCGGCAAAGACTGGTGCGATACCAGGGATAGTGTGGGAAGAAACACTGCCTCTGCGTAAACTGTTGGCTGCAGAGACAGAGGAGGGAGGGCCGGCGCGGGATGAGCGGGCGGATGTTGTGTCGGTGGGTGGGGTGGTGGGGGCGGGGAGGGTGGAGGTTTCGAGGCAGAAGCGGAGGGAGAGGGTGTAAACTGCTGGGTCGTCGTAGATGCGTGAGTGGCCTTCTCCGCCGTATAGACTTCCTGCCAGAGGGAGGGAGAGTTCGCGGATTAGGCCGTGGTCTGAGATGCCTAGGTTACGCAACTTCAGGGCGAAGCCGACGAGATGCGTGAGGAAGTTCGGGGCGTGGAGACGGCCGTCGACGAAGATGGCGCGGTAGACGTAAGGGTGTGTGAGTGTTGTGAAGGTAGATGACTTTTTCGGACAGAGAATTAGTTCACAGTGAATCCAAGAAGAAGGAGTCAACATACCTCGAGAGAAACAAGTTGATCGTCAATACTACCGCAGTAGGTGATTCTGACTCCATGGCGAAGTACACCATCAAGAGCAGCCTTGTATTCCGTACTGACCCTGCTGTCTTGCCTGCTAAACTCAAAGAGCTCTGCCGCAGCACCTGCACCTAGCCATCTAGATTTATAGTCTGCAAAAGGACCAAGATTCACACCGGCCATAGCGCAGATACCAATCTTTGCATGAGGAGACAGGCAGCCTAATTGAAGAAGTTTGTGAACAAGCATGATGGCAACAGGAACACCTTGTGAATGACAGGCGACGAGGATGAGATCAGCTTGACGAAGGTGCGAGAGCCAATTCAGCATGAGTTTCCACAGGGTAGCTACGCGATCTGCGATGAAGCCTTCACCTTCCAAAGCCACGGTCTCGATTTCGCAAGGAGTGTCTGGCTGGTTGGTCTCGACCCAGTCACGGATAGCAGTGGATGCGTAGTTGGCAAAACGAATCGAGGTTCCGGTGGGTTGGCCGAGAACTTTCTGAATCAAGGGAGCAGGAAAGTAGCCATGAATACCGATTGCAATGGCGTTCTTGATGTTCGGTAGGGTAGGCGTGATTGAGACGTGCTTGGGAGCGGCGGGTGTGTCAATAAGTCGTAGAGTAGAGGCAACGTAGGTAGTCAAGCGCTCTTTGTACGAGGGGATGTGTTCAGCCGAGTAGCTTTCGTCGAAGCTGGGAATGACCAGGTTGGGATGTGCTTGTGACTTGACTGATTTGACATCGACCGTAGTCTTGTTTGTGTCAGGCGTCTTAGCCGTGTCTTTCAGGGGCACCTGTGGTTGATTTGCGGCCGGGAGCGACGTAGTGCTACCATTGTTGTTGGCTGACAGGGCGAGCTTCGTCGGTTTTGCTTTCTGTTGGCGCTGCTCGTTGAACTGAGCAGCTTCTGGGTGGGATTGAGACGGAGTGTCTGCGACAGCAAGTTCTCCGACCTGACGCTGGGTACCATTGGGAGTGTCGCTCTCATCCTTCTCTTGGGCTCGAGACCAGAAGGCCCAACCAGATGATTTGTTCTGCGGTGTCTCTTCTCCTTGCTTGAGTTCTGGCACTACTGACTCTTTGACTGTGGCTTCTGTAGCTTTCGCAGGTTGCTCGATGGAGGTGGAAGGTGGGTCTGGGGAGGTGTCCTTTGAAGGAGTGTCTGGGGTCTGCTGCTCGGATTGCTGCTGGTTTTGAGCATTGCTCCACAGTCCAAACCAGCTACGCGATGATGCAGTGGTACCCACACTACGGGTAGGGTGCATTGTATCATTGATGTTAATGGATTCGACAGTCAAGTTTGCATCTTGGGCAGGAGTCTGCTCGGGAGTTGAGGGCAAAGGTGTGCTTGACGCTTCCTCGCGGTCGTCCTGCGCTTTCACCATCTTAGAGTGATCTGTGTAACCATCAGGTCTTGACCACCATCCTCCGAACCAGCCAGGAGCTGTATCTTGGGTCGGCTCTGGTGGCAGTGGAGCGTCGGGTGCAATTTGTTGTGTTTCTTGAACGCTGGTGTCTCTGGGTAGAGGCTTCAAATCTGCTGTCGAGGAAGTCGTCGCAGCAGCCTTGACCTGAGTATCATCCGTCTTAACGCCTCTTTGCTCGACCCGATCCAACTTGTCCTCGTTACTATTCTTGGTGTCTTCACCTTGCTCCTTAATGGGTGGTTTCTTAAAGTCGGTACTTGATTTCCTGAGGTTGTCCGAGAAGAAGGCAGGCTTGTCTGTTTTGGCGTTGCTGCCTGTCGCGTTGATGGACTCGGACGAGATGGTGGGTATCGACTTTGAACTGCGGCGTAGTGAAGGATGTACATAGCGACCGCCTGACTTGGGGCTATCCGCCAGCGAGTCGTTGGTGGATCCTCCAGCAACTGAGATACTCTCATGAGTGGCTTGAGCAACAGGGTTGGCTTTGGACCGCCAGGACCCGCCCTTGTACCAGCTGCCTCGCTTGTCTGCTGTGGATGTCGGAGTCGCTGGCGAACTAGAGGTGTTTGATGACTGGCTCAGGTTGGACAGTGGTTTTTCGCTCCCAGAGCCTTGTGCTTTGTCCTGATCGGTTTGTAGCGGTGTGGTTTTGTGCGGTAGAGTGTTATCGGACTGTGTACTGTCGGGGCCGTCCTGAGCATCTGATTGCTTGGTCTTTTTTCGCCTTGGACCCATGGCGAGGAGGGTGTAAGCGAGTCGTGTACGCGTGGATGGGAGAAGAGTGCAAACAGAACAAGTGAGTGAGGCTACGCCAACTTATTCCGCGTTCCCAGCCATTTCCAGTCAACTGACATTGCCAACATCTGACGATCGTCATTGGCAGAATGCACGACTCGCGCCCGTGGCTGGCAGGCGGTGAGATTCAAAGGTCGGGGAAGCGTGCACGGCCCTTGCGGCCTGCCAGGCGAAAGTCCGATGAGACTTTAATTTTTCCACCCTACTACTTTTTTGTATCGCGCATTCTTGCCGATTCAAATCAAGCAGAAATGGCCATTGAGAAGAAGGTTCGCGTTCGCAATTGCACTGCCGTCATGCTGTCCGACTAACACATCTCCCCAGCACGGCAAAGGCCGTTTGGACAAATACTACTACCTCGCAAAAGAGAAGGGTTATCGTTCGCGTGCCGCCTTCAAGCTCGTTCAACTCAACAAGAAGTACGGTTTCCTGCAAAAGTCAAGATGTCTGATCGATTTGTGTGCTGCTCCTGGTGGTTGGCTGCAAGTCGCCGCAGAGACTATGCCCATCAAGTCTCTGATTGTTGGTGTTGATCTGGCTCCCATCAAGCCTGTCCCGAAAACAATCACTTTCCAGGGAGACATTACCACCGACAAGACTCGCGCTATCATTCGTGGGCACCTCAAGACTTGGAAGGCCGATACCGTCATCCACGACGGTGCGCCCAACGTTGGTACCGCCTGGGTTCAAGATGCTTTCAGTCAGAACGAGCTCGTCTTGCACTCTCTGCGCCTTGCCTGCGACTTCCTTGGTCCCGGTGGTACTTTTGTCACAAAGGTCTTCCGTTCCAAGGATAGTGCAAAGCTCGAGTGGACTTTCAAGCAACTCTTCGAAAAGGTCGAGCAGACCAAGCCCCCATCGTCGCGTAACGTCTCCGCCGAAACCTTCTACGTCTGCCGTGGCTACAAAGCACCCAAGAATCTCGATCCTCGTTTCCTCGACCCCCACTACGCATTTGCTGAAGTCAAGGATGCAGTTCCCAACAACGAGGCCAAGGTTTTCAACCCCGAGGTCAAGAAGAGAAAGAGAGAGGGTTACGATGAGGGTGATTGGACACAGTACCATGAAGTCCCCGTCAGCGACTTTATCCAGACAACAGACCCTATCGCCATCCTTGGTGGTATGAACAAGCTTACTTTCAACCAATCTGGAAACGGCGACATTGCCCTTGCAACAATCGACAAACTCCCAGAGACCACCGAAGAAGTTCGCATTTGCTGCAACGACTTGAAAGTCCTTGGAAAGAAGGAGTTCAGACTTCTGCTGAAGTGGCGTCTCCAAGTCCGTGAACGCTTTGGCTTCTCTACAAAGTCCACTGATCACAAAAAGGCCACCGAGGCCGAAAAGAAGGAAGCTGAGGCAGCAGATGATGAGGAGAACGCTGAGGTCGAAAGCATGGACGAGGAGATGAAGCTACAAGAAGAGTTGCAAAAGATGAAGGATGGTCTGAGCAAGGACAAAAGAAAGCTTCGTCGCAAGGATAACGAGAAGAAGCAGAAGGAGATCATTCGTCTCCAGATGAACATGACAACACCCATGGAAATCGGTATGGAGCAGGCTGGTCCCAATGGTGAGGACGCCATGTTCCAGCTCAAGGCTGTCGACAAGGCTGGTCTTACTGGAAAGCTACAAAAGGGCAAGATGCAGGTTGTACCTCCCACCGAGAAGAAAGACGACGAGTTTGATATCGAATACACCGATGACGAGCTTGGTGATGGTCTTGAGGGCGAGCTGGACATGATGTACAACCAATACACGGAGAAGCGTGAGGCAAGAGATGCTAAGATGCGCGCCAAGAAGGCAAGAAAGGAGCGCAACGAGGATGGCGAGTTCGAGGGCTTCTCCAACGATGAAGAGGCCGACAGCGACGATGATGCTCCTAAGATCGAATACGACAGCGACTCGGATGATGAGGAGGAGCCTGCTCAACTGGTCACCGATCTCGACAACACTGCGGCTCCTGCAAACGGTCTCACCAAGCGCGCCGCCAACTTCTTCGAGCAGGATCTCTTCAAGGACATTGACGGTCTGGATGGTCTAGAAGATGAGGAGGAGGTCAAGGACTTGGACAGTGGTATCGAAATGGACTCCAGCTCCGCCTCACCACCACTCAAGGCCGAGAAGCCAACCAAGGTCGAGAAGACAGTCAAGATCGCGAAACCCGTCAAGGAAAAGAAAGAAAAGGCCAAGAAATCAAAGGTTCCTACACCTGCCGAACTCGCCGCCGAAGAAGCAGCCTACGAAACAGACTCATCAGATGGCGGCTTCGAAATGGTAAAAAACACACAATCCCAATGGGACAAAGACGAAGACGCCATCCCTCTCAAAAACGGCCGCCCCAATATCGATATCATCACAGCCGAAGCAATGACACTAGCCCACCAACTCGCAACAGGCCAAAAGACAAAACACGACCTCCTCGACGACAATTTCAACAAATACTCCCTTCGCGATGTAGACGGCCTACCCGAATGGTTCCTCGACGACGAAGGCAAAAACTCAAAACCCCATCGTCCCATTACCAAAGAAGCTGCAAATGCCATCAAGGAGAAAATGCGTGCTTTCAACGCTCGTCCCATCAAGAAGGTCCGTGAAGCCAAAGCTCGCAAGCAATTACACGCTGCCCAGAAACTGGAGAAACTTAAGCGTAAATCTGCACTTCTTGCCGAATCAGAAGATGTCAGTGAGAAAGACAAGGCGAATAATATTTCGAGAATTATGGCTAGAGCAGGCAAGACGAAGAAGAGAAAGCCTGTTCAGGTTATCGTTGCTGGAAAGGGTAAGCATCGTGGTCAAGGTAGACCTGGTGGTGTCAAGGGTAAATATAAGATGGTGGATGCTAGGATGAAGAAGGATGTTAGGGGTGAGAAGAGGTTGAAGAAGAAGATGGGTAAGAAGTAGATTTGTTAGTTGTTTCTTTCTCCATCTCATTGAAAAAGATGTGTTTTTATTGCATAGGGATCGGGAATATGGAGTTTTTTTGCCTTTCTTGAAGTCAGATTCTCGTGTCTCTCCATCATTGTTGTCGTGTTTGCAAAGGGCTGTGGAAAGGCAAGAACCGATTTGACATTCTTGGTGACATGGCTGAATGCTCGTGATCATGGCATCTCAGCAAAAACGCTTCAGATCTTGAATTCGCTTCTGCATTTCGATAGGCTTGACATTGTCTGGTTACTATCGCTGAGATCCATAAGCGAACGATTGTCTCCATGTACCTCATCACTGCCCCTCTATACGCCCCTCATAGCTCCTCATCACCACTTTCGACATCAAAGTAGGATTGTAAAACTGCAAGAACAGATTCGACTTCCCACGCCTTGGTATTGAGATCAACGTCGAAAAAGCCAGGCTCCACGTGCCCTGTCAGTCACGCTCCATGTTCCCCTACCAACATCTCAACATCGTTGTCGAGCATAGGTTTGGCTGTAAAAAGGCAAGAACAACTTCGGAATACTGATTGTCATGGCTGGAGGCCCCAGATATTGAAATCTCGACGACATCTCGACGACATCTCAACATGAATACCAAGGTCATGATAGGGCTGTAAAAAGGCACAAACATAATTAACTACCTCAACATCATGGCCGGAGAGCCCCCGACATTGAGGTTTTTGACAGTATCCCGGCGACATCAACTAGCTCAAAACAGGGCCGTAAAAAGGCATGAACAAAATCCACATTCTTAGCTACGACAATGGAGAGAATACTTTCTATTGATTTCCTAGTACTACTGTTCAGTTATACACATAACTATAGCACACACTTCTAGCCACAATAGTAAATGAATATACAACATCAATAGCTCTCAAAAGTGATAGTCTACATGAATGTATTGTCGTGGACCCCGAGCTCTTGGCGCTCACAGGGCTGTGGCGGTATGTTTGCGCCACAGCGCCACACTTCCAAGCGAGACGCGCTAACCGTTTTCGTATAAAAACCGTACCTCGACGATGGCAGCAACAGCACAACCAGCACTATGGCCAATGATGCCATCCGGATGGCCCGGTAGCGATGGTGGACATACCATCGCTCCTAGAGGAGCTCAATGGGTGCATCTAATGCCCGGCGATGCCAGATTCCAGCATTTCTTGGGTATCTTGAGTGCCGAGTGGAGTAAGTTTATATATTTTCTATGCGTGTACACATGTTGCTTTGAAATGGTCATAAGCTAATTTAAGCGTGTGTGTATAGCGAGTCGTTACGGCGGCATGGTCAATGCTAGGTTCGACTTTTTGGACCTTCATGTCGGTTACGAGGTTTGGTGGTCTCCGCGTCCTAGCGGTCCACGACTTCGCAGTGGTATTCCTGCTGGAGACTATCAGGTCTACGGCCATGTCAATGGTCGTTTGACGACTAAGAAGTTTGCTGTGCATAGCCATATGCTATACATTACTGCAGCCGTCAATGGTCCTTGCCAATGCGGTAGATGCTAGGCAACAGTAAGTGATGTGGATTATAGCTCATTTGATACAGTATGCTAATGGCTTATAGACGGCAGCATACCGTCACTCTTGCGCTTAGCGCATCCTTCCCTCGGTCCAGCAACAGACCATCACTCTATACCGCCATCAATCAATCACTCTTTCGAATAGAAGATCTCGCTGTGACGGTGCGTGGCATCGACCACAGCATCAGCCAGTGAGAAGTCTGCAAGGCAGGCATCGTCAGCCACTGAAAGATGTAACAACAAGAAGAACGACAGAACAAGACAGCAGAGGAAGAAGACAGCAGAAGAACAGAACACAAAATCAAAAGACCGATGCATACCGATATTCTCTCCAAAATCTGTGCTTGTGAGGACGCGGACGCTCAAGTCTGCTTGTACTTTTCCGATGAGCTCAACTGCGTGGTTGACTGTGAGATGTGCTTCCTGTATCATGTGTCAGTGGAGTTCGTATGCCAAGCAGTGAAAAGCAAGACGTACTCTGTTCAGGTGTACGTTGATTTGACCGCCGGCATCGATGGTGGCTTCTTCGCCTCTGAGTTGTGTGACTTTGCCTAGAATGCGGACTGTGCGGTGGGTGAACTGCTCCAGGATGGAGGCGTTGATGCGGGGTGTTTGTTCGGCCATTGCGGTTTTGTGTGGGTTGATCGCTTGTGGCAAGGTGAAGTGTTTTGATATGAGTGACGAGATTCGGGTGATTATTGATCTGCAGCGACGTGATATGAGTGATTGGTATGGCTTGTGTTGGTCTGAGGTGCTCTGCGGCGAATTCGTGGCACGAGATTTGGGAGAAGACGCGTTCTGTCAGGTTGACGCGTTGAGTGGTGAACTTACGAGCACGGAAACAATCTCCAGCACAGCTGAGGAAGGCACTCCGTCCCTCGGCTCAAAGCACTTCACGTCATGGACACTCTCTTTCCCCATCCGGCCGCACTCACGTTTTGTTCTCCTAACACACAGCGGACATCATAGTTTGTTTGCTTATCGTCACGACCTGGCGTTGTACCTTTCCCAAGTGCCTTTTGGCCTATCAATTGCTGCGAGATAGCGCTCGCTCGCATCCGTTCTGGACCATGCCGTTTGCTCCTGGTCGCAACGTCTTACAGCCTTGATGCAATCGGCTAGACGTTCAATCAATCCTTCGCCCAAAGGAGTGGCCAAGCTGTGATTTTTGTATGCGGCTTTTACCCCATGTATCGATATCGGAGCGTTGCACACACTCTATCTGGCATGCCCGTCGATGAATTCCTCCATCCGTCAATGTAAGACAAGTGCAAACAGGCACCTGACTGATAATAAGACGATTTGAGTTTTCGGTAATAGGAGAAGTCAATTCTTTATAGCTTATATATGTTTGCAGCACTTCTGCCATGTCTTGATTGACCTTTTGCAGCTGGATAATCATACCCTGGTCACAAGCATGAACAAATCACTCTTTCTATCACTACCGAGAGAGATACGGGATATCATATACAGCTATGTTCTCGTAGGTCTCGGTCCATCTCGCCACAAGACGGCACGCTGTGCTCCAGCATTCTATATTCACGACTTTTGCATGCGACCCTCGCCTGCGACCCAGAAGACGAAGGTGCCGGATGTCTTGGCCATCACGGCACGCGATCACCCAATCTTGAATACCTGCCGCCAACTGTCCGACGAAGGCTTCGACATGTTCCTCAGCAGCAATGAATTCGTCCAGGATATTATTGTCACCAGTCTCACCGAGTCGGCCTGCAAATTCATAAGCTCCTTTATCAAGGGTCTTGGCAGCAAGAAGCACATGGTGCGGAGGATGGGTCTTGCCATTGAGGAACCCGATGGAGAATTGCTCAAGAAGCTCCTGGACTGGCTAATAATGCTGCGTAACGCCGAAAGGATCAAATCTGGTGTGCTGGTACTGCGAGTAAAGCTTAGACGACCGACAAAGTCCCCACCACTATTCTCGCCAGTAGGAGAATCCTGGACTATCACGCCCAAAGACGAGGACCTTATGACGCTGAACATCGTCATTGGCGACGAGAGGGGCTCATGGAGGGATTTCGACAAAAGCATGATATCTGACTGGGAAGGTCGTCAACGAGGCACGGACAGAGTGCTTGGTGCATGCCGAGCCTCCGGTATGGAAAGCGTGAAAGACCGCGAAATCGCATGGCGAAATGAACGACGACAGTGGTGGGAAGCGACCCGGGAAACGATGCGCGAGAAGCTAGAGTTTTGGTTGAAAGTGATGAGGGACCTACAACCAAAACCAAAAGGCTTCGGGGCCTGCAAAGATCAAATTCCGAGAGCTCAGAAACCAAGGGGCTTGCTAGGAGAGGCAGCTTAAGGGTCACATCCCATTATTTGCCTCTCCAGACCACTACTGCGCTCCTTCCGACACCGATGTCAGGCAAGGTCGTTTTCCGAGTGTCGATCGATTCGCCTGAAGCTTAAGCGAATTCGGCTCTCCCTCTTGATGGTTGTAGAGCAATGACTGGCTGTCGAAAGGCATAGTCCTATCTGGATCACAGAGCTCGTCCAGGGAGACCACAAAATAGCGTACCCATCGACATTGCGCAGACTTGAGAAAAGTACTGTGTCTTGTGAAAGCTGGAAAAGTGACAGAGCTCAGCATACGGGGAGGAAGCAACCGGGCAGATTCGACTCTCCTTCCTCATGACTGTAAGGCAACGACTGACTGCAGGTATGCACAGTTATCTCTGGATCAACAGCGCTCGCGCAGAGAGATCACAAAATAACGAATCTCGACGACGTTGGTGCAACTGCTGAAATCACTGTGTCTCAAGACAGCTAGGAACGTGACAAAGTTCAGCACATGGGTTACGGAGGATCTTTGTTTCTCAAAAGCTTCCGGAGCTACAAACACCAAATGTCAGATTTTCGAAGACCAAGCCGGGGTGGTATTAGAGAATACGACACTCTGAGCGAGCATGTTATCACCGGCACTCTATGAGTGGCTTTGAGTTGCATGTCTTTTGCACCCAGCTCTGACTCATCGTTGCATGTCATGAACTTTCCGCACTTTGAACCTGGTGTCAATTTTTCTTCAATCTCTCTGTCCGTCTGCTTGTCCCACCGAATAATATCTGCCACTCAGCATGTCGGGTGATCATATGGTCTCTCAGCGTCCGCTTCAGGTCTTTTCCCGGCTCCCACCTGAATTGCGCATCATCATTTGGAAAGATACAATACTCTGGCAAGAGTCTCAACGATATGCCGATCTAGAGACAACCTTGACCGACCGTACCAAAGAAGATATTATCACTCTACTTTACAAACCTTACAAAATCATCTCACCTGAGAATTCACCAACACTATCACATAGTATACTAAAGACGGATTCCCGAGTTGAGTACCTCCGGACATTCTTCGAGACTCGTTCCCTCACACTGAGGATATACTCGTTCGCGCCCGCAGTGGCGGCCGAAGATATTCAATTCCAAGACAGAGCCTCTTAGGCTCTCGAGTAGCTGGGAATTCGCCCATCGAATCTTGCACAAACGCCTTTTGCAGTGGATTGCTCTTGCCAAAAGCCTAGGCGTGTTCGGCACTCTTGCATCTCTTGGCATACGTGTTACACTATCCGGGCACTTCTCGCCTCGACACCTGCTACAGGCCACGATTCAGACTCTGACTGAGCTCTCCACGTCCGTGAGCCCAGGCAAAGTCCTTCTTCAAGTAATTCTCCATTAGCCTGTATATCTGGCCGCATATACATTTAAGTTCCCTCTTATCGTAGGATTGCATCGCTACAGTCGAGAACGACATGTTTATCTTTGGGAACGAATCAAACCATGTGGCTTGACGGCCTCGCAGCTAAAATTTTGGAATGAAATTACACTTCCATGGGCCAGGTGCTACGGCAATCGGATATGCAAGACTGCTGAAGAAGCAGCCATGATACTTGAGCAAGACGGTCACACTGGATGTGGAGCTAGCTTGCAACACCTAAACTTGTACAGCACGTCTCATGAAAGGGAGAGCACAAGATCAACCTAACGGTCTCACCCCCTGTCGGTATGCAGGAACGATTTACGGCTTCCGGCTTTCGTCGCTGGGAGTTCGAGATATGGTCTTTCTCCTTGAGCAATATCTGATTTCTCAAATGTACTGTGCATGACCACAGCTATCATCTCGGCTCAACAATGAATCCGAGATGTTTACAATATTCTCCCCAGAAAATGGCAGGCGATTCCAAATCGTACTTTGTGTCCACTGAAAACGACAGTGACCCAGCAACTTGAGCGTAATCGAGCAAATTTCGAGTTTTTCCGCACGTGGGCAGCTTGAAAGTGATTGCACATTGCGTCGGACCACTGACCATTTTCTCCTTCGTCACCATCCTCACGAGTCTACGAAATAACACTCTCCACACGTCTGAGCAGGCTAATCATCATCTGGCAGACCGATACACATTCGGGCTGCTTCTACGCCTCCCGCTAGAGCCTGAGTAACTCTACAATTCGGTTCGGAACGAGGTTTCGCATAGTCGCGCTTTCCTGGAGCACTTTTGTCGTCGAAATCATGCTGAAATAATTGCGTTTAGGAATGGGATGCTTGAATTCGCAAAGACCGTTGAGGCCTCGCTGCTTAATCAAGGTCAACTGGATATTGTCGCCTAGCACATCGCTAAGTAACTGTGAGAATAGACGTCGAGATAGACTGTAGTATTTGGAAATAATTTGTAACTGCTGCTGTTGTCTCTCACATTTTTCCATCATGTTTTACTTCTAGGGAGGTCTAGTTGGACGAGCCACGGCATCTGTTGTTTCTCTGTCTCTGCACCTTGAATGGCAGCATTGACGAACAATGTCTGTATACCTCGCTGCAGCCTCGGCGTAGCAAAACAATACCCCCTGTCCTCCTTATCATCCAACGCCTGTTTAAGTTGCGGGTTTTCTTGCGCATCAAGCCTTTCACCTCGTAGTTTAGCAAGACTCTGGAGCACCTCGGACTTGTTACCGTCAATTTTCCGTGGAGATGGGTAGGTAGATCGCTTGCTTGGTCGCCACGCCATGTGACACTTTTCGCACCCCAGGCTTCGTGGATATGACCCAAAGCAATGCATCAAAGGGCGCGCTTTTGCTACAGTGGCGAAAGGCATCGAGCATCCGGCTCGAGACTTTTATCGTGCGACTGAGATCTAGGACTCCTTTTGGGCGGACTGTGGGTGATTACGATATCGGTGCCCTCCTCGATGCTCCAGACCTGGCTGGGATGGGGGGGGTCCTGGGGGTAGCCCCAGTTATTGTCGTCGGATGGTGTAAAAGGGCTTGCGTAAGCTTTCAGACAAGCGCCATTGACGAGTTGGATATTATGCGTACCCTCAGACAGGAAAATGATGCCTGCGTCTCTTTCTGCTTCAATCAAGGCTTGGGCCTCTCCGAAACTCCCGTATGTCTGTCTTACGGCCTCATCTTCTTGTGGTGGCTTTAGATGTGCTTCGATCAGCTTCTGTTGGTATAGTGTGTCATCCAGGGCGAAATCATGCTTCCCAGCAATTACGAGCTTAATAGACGCATTAACAGATTTCAGTAAATCGGATCGCCTGTCTGTACTCATCAAGCTTGGACTGCTCTGTAAAGATCGCCACAATGTATGACTACATCGGCAGCCATCGATGCGCCATTGGTAAGGTCGGCTCCATGAGTATCAGAGATAACAACAATGCGAGTGAGGACTCGAGCATCCATGATATCTTGTATAACAGTCTTCTCTTGCGGCATTTGAAGAGGCAAAAAAAAAAAAGAGGTTAGCAGAGACTTGCACCAGCTATTCCTATAATCTAGGACTCTGGCGTCGACTCATAAGCAAACAGCAGAAATGAGTTGATTTTCATTTGATCGCATGCACCAGAGGGAACCTGCCAACGAGGCCTAGACCACGGACGGGTTTGTCGTTGACTAATATCTGTGCATAGTGTCAGTCGTGCATAGATTCAAAATTATCAACGGGACTAGGGAGGCACTTGCGGTCTTGTATGAAGCGACGGCCAATGCAACTTCTGCAAAAAATTAGATAGGGACAGTTGGGGTCTCATCATCGATTGGCCTTCTTCGTTGGAAAAACATAGATGAGGTTTCATGTCGGTTCACCGCGAGAAGACTTGTCCGATGGTAGGTATTGACGGAGGAGTTCGTTGTGAAAGTTTAGGAGAGCGACAGGCTCTGACAAGGACGCGCGATTGCTCGACATCTGTTGTCTAGGACTTGTTTCAACAGGGAGAGACAAGATCATGTGTGGAGAATAGAAGCGTCGCTACTGCTGGTCAGGCGTTGAGCTCTTCGCCAGCTCCAGCACTCTGTGCCCTCTTGAGCTGGCCCTTGACCTCCTGCTCTCCTCTCTCTTTCTCTAAACTCCTGTTCGCCTTACTGCTACCCTCAAGTCCATCAAGCAACGCCTTGTTAGTCCCCGGTATCTTCATCTCGAAAGTCTCCCTGATGCATGCATATTCATAATAGCCTAATCTGGCTATAGGCTCTGTCTTCTTGATATCAATCTTTCCATCTGTAAGGACTTGATCGTCGATGTGTATGGCTAGGACTTTGCCGAATACAATATCGACTGTTCCCATAGGTGGGTTTCCAGGTAATTCTATGACCCTATCAAAAGCACATTCAAACCTCACAGGGCTTTCCTTGACCAGAGAGACTGGGATCTTCTTTGCTTCTTCTTTTTCAAGTTTTGCCTGAGTAAATTCGTCTTCTGAGGGATCGAGTTGTTGTGCTGTGATGTTTACTTCTTCTCGTAGTTTGTAGGTTGCCAGGTTCCAGCCAAAGAAACCTAGTCATCACATTTGTGAGCTCCTCTATGCTTCTCCCATCCTTTGTCAAGGTCAGGGAGGGGGTAGGTCTGTCTGTGCAGGGGTAGCAGAAAGTCAAAAAAGAAACATACCAGTGCTTTCGGCATTAACCACGGTGTCCTTGCGTTTGCCTTCAGGTGTTCGATTTGAGGAGAACATGACATATGGAGGGTCGAACGATAGATTAGTAAACTGACTGTAGGGCGCAAGATTGTCGATGCCTGTTGCTGAGCGAGTTGAGATCCAGCCAATGGGTCGAGGAACTACGCAGGCCTTTGTCTTTGTCAGAATTGGCCTTTGATAGAGAATAGGACAGAGTTTTGACAAAATTGAAGGGGAATGAAGAGACAGACCGTGTTGGTACATATGACAGGAAAGACAGAGAGGCTATAGTCCACAGAGAGGAGAGTTGTCATGGAGAAGAGAAAAGTGTGGTGGAAGGATGCGAGTGGGATAGCGTACCTTGAATGGATCGTAGGGGAGACCATGATCGGTGCCTGTTTCATAAAACATGAGTGATACAGTCTCGAGCCCTTCTTGTCAGACGAGCAAGGGAGATGATGTAGAGTCGAAGAAGGTTTGCAATATAGTTGACGCTTTGGTTATAGGTGGTTGTTATAGCTTGTGGTCGGAAGCGGGCAGATCGCTATCGAGATAAGCCGAGTTGCCGAAGCATACCGAAGGATTAACCGAAAGAGAGCAACGTGCTGGCAAGTATAAGCAACACTGGTACGAAAGGAAAAGGCTAGTAGGGAAGGATGAATGGTGTGGAAGTAAATTAAAGATTGCTTTCTCTCTTGCCTACGGAAGCTCGACCAGCAATTGTCCTTGTGGGCAAGTACAAGTTCTGGTGGACGCAGCATGACCCATGTGAATCGCATGCTGCTGCTGCCTGGTCGAATGTATGTAGTCTGCTACTACCATCTTCTGATGCTGAACCAGATCTTGGCTGGATGTTTTGATGGTTGGGGAGTGTGCTGCTCCTCGCAGAGACCTTTTCGCCGAAAGGTGTTTCTAGTGCTCTTGGTAGCTTAACATCGGGGTGGTCGGGAGCCATGCACTATTTTCCCTCGCAGAGCTTCTGAGTCTTCAGCTCATCTCAATCCTCGACTCTTGTTGTCTGCAGCTCTTTCTTTCGTGAACCTCTCAAACGGGCTTAGCAACCTTCCTCAACTCCGTCTTTCCACCATTAACCTCCCGCATCTCCCTCCAACTGACTGGCACCATCTGCTCTCCACCCTCGGAAACAGCCAACACAACACCAAACTCATTCTTTGCCGTACTAGCAAAATAACTCCTCTCATCTCCCAAAGAAATAACAACACCCCTCACAATATCGCCCACCCTGAAACTCTCATTCACCTTCACTTTGTCGATCTCCGTAGCGCGAATGTCTTGTTGACGAATGATTGCTGAAAAGGGCTCGCGCAGGACGAGGGTGCCTGTAGGTCCTAGGGCGAGGATGTCGAGGGTCGCTTGGCGCGGGTTTGTGCGTGTGATACGGCCGAGGATTATGTCGTTTACGGAGGGAAGGGCCGCTGTGTAGGTGGATGCGGTTTCTGAAGAAGAGGCGACACTGATTGTGGGCGAGGGTGTCTTTTTGGTGGCAGAGGCGCTGGTGACGGGGCCGGCGAGACTGGCGTGGATTGTAGAGGCGAAGACGTGGGAGCCTGTGCTGGGTGTGTGGTTGGATGTGGGTGCGAGTGAGTCGCCGGGGAGTGCGAATTTGGGGACTGCCATTATGGAGTGATGTAATGGTTTATTGCGCGTGAGAGAGGGATGTCGTGATTGTAGATTGAAATGTTCAATGCTTGGAACAATTCTGTTGCTCTGAAAGTTGCGCCGGCGTTTGTTCGGATGACCTCATCGACACCCGGTCAGGGTGCTTCCCTTCACCATGAAACAGGAGCATGTCTCTCCATGTTCAAGATCGAGAACGTCTTCAGTGAAAAAGTATGTGGGCGGGGATCAGCTCTTGGGTATACTCTTGCCGAACCTGAAGCTTCATCGAGGTGATAATTCGGTATATTGTGGTATTTCTAGTGCAATTCTGCTTCAGCTAGTTTAGCATTCACATCTTACCACGATCCCGATCCGAAACACTGTCACTCTCGTGGTTACCTGGAGACGCAATAATCTCTAGGCTTGTGTCGCCGAGGTATATACTACTCGAAAAGCAAACGTCCGCCAGACACTGTCCACTACACAGACACAAGAGCCACAAGACGACAGATTACCTTAGTATAGCAGACACACAAAAGGCCTGCGAGTACGAAAGCTATGGCCATCAAGCCAGCAAGAACTCTTCGCTTTACTCTCGGAGGGAAGAGGTGGTCTTCTAGAATGTCGTCGGGTAGGTTCGCAAGCTCGAGATCACCTGTGGAGGATGATTGCACCTCGTCAATCCATGCCAGGAGTTCTTCGATGATGGCAGTAGCGTTTGCTTGCCATTGCAGTCGCTCGTCAGAGTCCTTGTCGCCAAAGCCTTCTGTCTCTTTCAAAGACAATACACTCCGCTTCAGGAACATCTCCCGCTGCTCGCCACCCCGACGTTCTTTCCCGATGACAATGGCAATATCCGTGGTACTGCGTTGATGTCCGCTCCTCTGAGGTTTCCCATACTTCCCAGGTTTATGCTCATGGAACCAACAACAAGTCTCTCCCTCTAAGAAGCTGAGGACCAATCTGACTCTGCCTTCCCTCAACCTCCTCGCAAGTAGCACCAGCGTCTGGAGACAAGCCTTGATACGTAGACCCCACTCCTCAGCCCTCCCCATCCCCTTGCTCGGAATGAACAATCTAACCCCCACAGGCGCAATCCCATCATCAACTCCATACTCCTTTGCAAGACCCACCCATTTCTGCATCGCGTTTGGAAACTTAAAAACACGTTTCCGCATCGTTTTCCTCAGCAATCCTATATCTTCTGGCCAATCCCGTGCATAGTCTGCAAACACCGCATCCTTGAGATAACAATCTTTACCCCTGGGCTCAAAACTCCAGACTCGAAAGACATGCTCCAGATACTCAAAATGCCATGTCGAGGCCAAAATTTTTGTGTTTGTCAAGCCATGGCGTTTGCAGAAAAGCCTCTGAAGTTCACTGGCAGGTGTATGTGTGACGAAAACGCCTAGACAGCGTTTTGCGCGTGACTCACTAAGGGTGCCGAGGTGGGTGTATATCTGTAGACGTAGCTCTGGGGGTAGGAGGGAAAGGCTGAAGGATAGAGGTGTTTCGTCCGAGGGAGGTGGAGTGGCCCACCATGAGGAGAGGCGGGTGAGGCGATTTGATTCCTGATTTGCTACAGCATCTTGTGGGTTCGGCGTGTCCATCATGAGATGCCGTTGTGAGACGGTGGGGGTTTTGTTTTGTACGTCCATGATGTCGTAGTAGTATTGGATGGTCGGAAATGTTGACATTTATCCAGCTAGACGATGCTGAAGGTCGGAGGTATATCTTTGCTCGTAGGTAGTCAAAAGAGGGGTCACTCGTTGAAATTGGTCTCGCCAATCAGAGTCATCCACATATCAGCGCAAACTCGCTCAGCTGACCTATGCTTACCATGCGTAGCATACCAAAGTTTTATACGACTCCCTGTTGATCGGAACTGTAATGTGTTCATTGGTCTTAACATTCGAGAAGGAGACTATGCTATTCATTACTAGAGCTATGTGAGGAAGAAAAGGAGGAGGAAAAAGAACAAGAACAAGAGGTGACCCTCATCCAAATGCTTTGCTCCAGGATATCATACTTGAGTTGCCGACTGCATTCAGGCAGCCGTGCGAGTGCGATTTGGTGTATCAAAAATGGACAAGGAAAAAGAGAATAGAGAAAATTCCCAGAGGAAAACCTCCACGTCAGAGCAGAGGTTTATGCTGAGTCATGATTTGATCGTCGTCTCAACAAGGGATGTGGGTGGTGATGAGAGTTGCGATAATGATTCGTGTGTGCTTCAGCCTTCAGATAGAGCCTTCTTGTTGCTGTCGCCGCTTGAGATTTCGAGACAGCGACGGGCGAGTCCGACGACTTCGGCTTCGCCATCTTCGCTGCCATCCTCGTTGTCACTCTCGACTTGTCTTTCTGAGATTTCCTGAACCATCTGCATGACATCGTCAGCGGAGTTGATGGTGTTGACAAGACGAGTGTCGTTGCTCTCGAGCAGTTGTAGCAGAGTCCAGATGGCGATATGTTGGAATGTTGCATCACCAGAGGCGAGGAAACGAGACAGGTAGCCGTGGATACCACCAGAGGGAGAGTGCCAGTTGGTCATGAAGATGGAGTAGTCACCCACTGAATAGCCGTCAGCAGGTGATTGAAGAGCCGAAGTCTCAGAAGTCTTACCTTTGCTTGACAGGTTACCCAAAGCAGCGGCACTGTTGCCCTGCACTTCGATACTCTCGCTCTCGGTCAGAGGGATCAGGACGTCGAAAACACCGAGACTCAACAGATGAGGCTTCAGCTCATCACTCAAAGCAAGGACAGCAATAGCAGCAGTCATCTCACTCTGGACGTTAACCGGAACTTCCAGGACGAGCTCCTTACACTTTTGTACAGCACCAGCTTCCAGAACCAGTTGCTTGTTACGATCTGACGATGCGGCAAGGTTGCGAAGAGTGGAAATGGCGTGACATTGAATCTCCTCGTTGTCGGTGCTTCCGAGGAGGTGTACCAGGGGCTTGAGGAAACCAGCATCGATAATGGGGGACTCGTTCATGGGGTGAATTGAGATGTTGCGGATACAAGCGACAGCGGAGAGGATAAGAGGGAGGAAGGCGGATTGCAAGAGTCGGAGAAGGGGGCCAAGACCACCGTTGCGCACAATTTCTAGCTGGTACTTCTCATCCGAGGCGAGGTTGCGCAAGGCAAGAGCGGCTTGACATTGTACTTTGGGGGCGTGGCCGTCCATGAGGTTGACCAGAGACTGGACGAGACGGGGCTCGGTCTGTGCAAGGCGCTTGCGGTTCGAAGCATCAACGGCAATGTTGCTGAGAGCGGTAGTGCAGTAGTATTGGACGTCTGTATCAGGCGAGGTGAGGAGGTGAACGAGGACGGGGATTGCGCCGGCGTTGACGAGTTGTTGACGATTGTCATCTGGCGAAGGTTAGCTTTTGATCATTGCAGATAGACTTATCAGTGGTTACCTGAATGCGTCATGTTCAAGAGAGCGCCAGTAGCGTTTCGTTGGACACGCATGTCTTTGGACTTCGCCAACCTCGTTAGGGGGGCAAGAGCGCCTGAGCGGGCTATCTTTGCCTTGTTGTCTTCGTGGGTAGCCAGGTTTGTGATGCAGCCGACGGCGTTGCATTGGACCTCGACGTTACTCGAATTCATCTGTCTGATCAGCGGCTGGAGACCCCCTAGCTGAACAATGAGGATCTTGTTGTGTGCTGCATGGTTGTGTTAGCAAATCTGCCTTGTAGCGCGACACTGGAAGCAGGCGGTGTGTACCATCTACGGCGAGGTTTCCCAAGGCGGCGCTAGCAGCTCTTTGAACCTCGATGTCACTGCTCTCGAGGAGGAACAAGATGGGCTCGAGCGTGTTCTTATCGACGGCGCGTACATCTCAAGGAAACGGTATCAGCATGCTTGTCAACATGTTTCAAGGGCATGGCAACACACCTCGTTCGGTGATCTCGGCAAAGGTCAGACTGGCGCTTCGTTGCAGGTCGATGTTGTGTGAGTAAACCAGAGTACTGAGGGCGTTGAGGGGACCGCCGGTGAAGAAGTCGGTCTCCTGTCTGTTCTCGAGGAAGTTCAGCAAGTCGGTGACTGCTTCGCGCTCGCTGTCGGCCAGCACATTCTCGTAGTCAACTGTGTTGCGGCCTGGAGAGGTTTAGTACCGACTTTCCTAGAGTCCTCGAGCTTCATACGCACTAGTACAACAGTAGAAGACGTTTGCGCAAAAGTTCTTGAGAGCGGCCATGGCCCAAAGGCCTGTGTTGAGGTCGACGGCGACGAGACTGCTCGCTGGAAGGGGTTCGCTGGGGCGCGCAACGCTATAACATGCGGATGGCTTGAGACTGACGGTTGACGCGTGGAATGGGCGATATTATAACAAGATGGATCGAATGGCAGACTTGTGGGCAGCAGCTACAAGTCGAACACGCCGCAACAGCTACAGACTTAACTCACTCCACCGACGTGATGCAGAAGCAACATCCAAGCCCGCTGACGCTTGGACTCTGTTCAACCACCCAAATGCCAGACCCTTGATTGCCCAATCTGGCCGATACTGCTGATGATAACCTCGCCAACCCCCGACATGTTCCCTTTCTTCATGCACCTATACGCTCTCTCTTCTCTCAAATCGCCATCTTCTTTGTTCGTTGTTTACAGTACCGTTGTTAAGCTCCATCTCGACTCGTATTGAGCCTGATCACCTACCGACTTCCATCTTGGCTGACCTACCTCCCTCACCGACTGGCGTCACCGTCGGAAACACATGAGACATGATGTATTTCTCCAATCTCTCCACACCGCTGACCTCGTTGCTCGTTTGAAACAGCAAAACGTTCAGCTCAACATGACCAGCCATCTCCAAGACTTTCGCAGTCGCTCTATGACGTTCATGCATCAAAGACATGTAAGCCAATAAGATTGTCAGGTCTGCTCATACGTAAAAGAAACGCGGGGAAACCGTGTCCCGCATTAGCCGTAACCTTATTCGTCCAAACCATTCCACCTTCTGGCCTTCTCTTTTTACCCTGCTAGGCCGACTTCGCCGTGGGAGCCTCGTGTAAATATCTTCTGACTTTGTAGGCTGTGTTTCCTTGTTTAGCGGCCACCAATCCATGTGAAGACTACCGTGGTCAAGGTCAATCCAGAGCTCAGATCCTGATATAAGCATCCAAGAGCAGCTGCAGTTTCCCCTCGTCGACGCGAAAAAGACCCTCCCTCGTTGGCTGCCTTCAACAAGGCAATGGCCACACCTGCTCCTTCCCACGAATTCCGAAAGTTGCGACTCAACACCAAACATGCGAATTCCTCTCAGGACTTTCCCTTTGCCCACTCGTCCGACGCAGACCATGTCGCCTCGTCGCAATTCTCTGACTCCGGCTCGCTCAGCAATCCGGTCGGCTCCGATCGTGACGAACGACAAACTCGAACGAGAGGCTCTTCGGTGAGCTTCAAAGAGTTCGCAACTCTCGACGACGGACGACTGCACTCGCTCGATCAGCCTCTATCATCGAGGCCGCCTCAACCACGGCGGCGCAGTACTCGCGACTCCAACATGTCGGACGATACTCAGACGTCGGCCTCTGCTCCGGCTGCGCCCGAAGAGCCCGTCAGAATAAATCCTTTTACAGGAGAGCCCATCAGAAGACGCACCAGAAAGAGCGAAGTTGCACCACGCCTGGAGACCATCGACTCAAGCGATGTCACACACCTCCCCTCCCTCACATCGGCCTCGTCGGGCTCGTTCCTGAGTGAACAATTGCGAAGTCCTGACACTCCTGCTGGGTCATACTTCAACAGTTCGGCCATCATGACTCCCTCCCCTGCTGCAAGTCCCAGCATTGGTAGCGAGCCTTGGCCCATGTTGTCCCGTAAGCCCACCTTATCGCGCACCGCCAGTTTGCGTAACACCAGTCGCAGGTCTAGCAGAATGTCTGGTTCTTCTCATGGCATGTCGCCAGCTGCCCAGTTCCTCAATGGCTGGGGTAGTAGTTCAATTGCTGCCGAGCCCAAACCCGACGACGAGGGCCAACCCATTGGTATCAACAATGAGTATGTTGTCGGTCGTCAGATCGGTGCAGGGGGCTTCAGTGTAGTCAAAGAAGTTATTGGCATGGACAACGATGGTCGCAGAACCAAACGTGCTGTCAAGATCGTCCGCAAGTCTGTCGCTAACGCTAGCGAGGCCGAGAATGACAAGGCTCAGCAAGCTGTCGACTACGAGATCGGAATTTGGCGCTATTTGAACCACCCCTACATCTTGCAGTTGCACACCAGCTTCATCACTGATTTCGCGACTTTCTGTATCATGGATTTGGTTGAGAGCGGTTCTCTATACGATCTGCTCAACGAACTTCGAAACAACGGTCAGATGGGCTTGAGACCTGAGCTCGCCAGAACCTATGCCCACCAGCTCGCCTCGGCTTTGAGATACATGCATGCGGATGTCAGACTAGTCCATCGTGACGTCAAGCTCGAAAATTGCCTGGTCCAGATCGGCCCCCAAGATGATTGCGGTAGCATGAAGCTTTGTGACTTTGGCCTGGCTAGCTTCGTCGACGGCGACTCGGGTATGGCTGATAGTATTCGCTCGCTCGACTCCGATGATAACAAGGACCCTGCCGGCACTCTAGAATACCTCGCACCTGAGCTTCTCGGCGGCTCGACCAGAAAGGACTACTCGGCAGACATCTGGGCTTTTGGTGTATGTGTCTATACCATGGTGACTGGCAAACGTCCATTTGCCCACACGATCCAATTCAAGCTAGTCGAACTGATCGAAGCCGGTGACTGGAACAAAGACCTGGTAGAGACTTCACCCGCCGGTCAAGTCGCCTGTGAAGACATTTGTGATTTACTACACGGCTGTCTGAATACTGATCCAGACCTGAGATGGACCATTGCTGACGTGATGGACTGCAAGTGGTTTCAAGGTCTTGTTGACGTTGCAGCCGATTCTGACTGGGAGCACGTGAACAATACCCAGGACTGATTTCCCCTTTTCTCCTTCTTCTCCTCTCCCTCCCCCTCTACCTTTTCCTTCTTTCAATCCAGCCCCGAAAATACTCTGCATTTATCACGGATGATTACGAAGCATGATTTCATGTCTGGAGCGCTCATGGTTCTTGATAATCCCCGCATGTTCTCTTTACTCTTATCTTTCTCCCCTTGATACCCATATTTACTGTCATTGCTTTCTTTTTGAGCGCTTTCCACTCATACCAAAAAAACATTACCTCCTCCATGTACTACTAGCCTTGTTTTCCCTTTCGCTCCAGCCTCTGGTCTTTCTTGTCGTTCCGCTGGCGCCTGTTTCTTCCTTCTATACCCCTCAGCATAAAATACCAATGAATAAGATTAATCCGAGTTTTTGAACTTGTTGCCACTACTTTCACATGCTGACTATTCGTGACAGTGCGCCGGCCCATGTTTGAATCTTGGTTGTATATCCTTTTGTGGTTGCAATTGCTGTGCTTCCTTGCACAATATATAATGACAAACTGAACGGAAGCAAATGGTGTGATACAAGAATAGGAACTTTAGAGTGTTGTCCTCGCTACCGAAGCGCCTGGGTTGAAACGAAACAGATATACAGGACATATGGGAGATGTAAATCCTTACGATGGGTGATATCATTCTTGATGCCTATGAGCCAGGGCTGGGATTTCGTTGGATTTGTTTCAAGCAGAAGCGTGATGTATCTCTATCTTTTTTTTTACGTCAGTCTTGATGGTTGAGAGCTGTTGTTAAGACAGCGTACGGGAACGAGTCTTCTAGGCCATTGCTGAAAGAGTTGGGTTGCTGCTATGGCTACACCGAGGATGGCGAGAATGGATTGGAATATGCCGATGACGATTCCAGGGTCCATTGTCGTATATATATATATATGTCGATTGATGGTCGATCAGTTCCTGATGGGTATATACAGGCTCGGTAGTGGGTATGAAGATCAGAAAGTGCAAGGAATGAGATGATGAGAAGAGACATTTCAACTGCGAGTTTGAGCTGTCTTTATACAACGACTTTCGAGAACGAGAGATCGCAGCCACCATCAGAGTTGATTCTATGCGGGAGGATTCGTGCAGACCGAACCGCCGGATGGCACTAACATTTGGCTGGCGGCATCATCAATTGTGCATGATTCACGTGCCTAAAATCTTGCTATTGGCCACATCAGCTGCCCTGCATCGCAGCATCGAGTCTCTGCATATCGAGGCTTCACTGCCGTTCAATCCGCGGCACACTTGGTAGATCGCTTGCTAACGCCAAGGTGCTGATCTAGAGTGCAGAGCCTGATCATGACATCTCAGTGTGTAACCTGAAATACCTCTGTAGCTATCACTCATATTCACAGCCGTTTAATACCTGTCGCAGCTAAAATCTTCATGAACACTATCTCCCTGATCATGAGCTGATCATCGTGCGAACGTCAGCTTTTTCTTCTGTTCAGTCGTCGTCTAAATGTTGGCTATTTGTGTGGATTTTCACAGCATATGCGAAGCGTTCAGCGCTCTAACAGATCTTTATAATCGAGTATACATAACACTCAAGCTCCCACCAACTTCTCAAAAGTGAACAACCTGACAGAAAAGTCCTCGCTCGAAATCGCCAATTGTGCCTTCTCAACCTCGCGAGCAGTCTCGGGACGCCATCTCAACGCTGTAACAGCACCAGAAGGTCTCATGCCCTGTTCAATCTGATAGCCCTCCTTAATACTCCAATCGCCCATATCAATAGCAGTGACTGTGACATTTCCCTCCTCTGTTCCTGCAGCAAGAACAAGAGTGTTTGAAGCAGCTAGATTGCCAGTGTAGAAAGCGACAGAGGTTGCAGGTGCGGAGGTGGGAATGCTGAGTTTCAAGTCCACGGTTCCGTCTCCATTGAGAGCCCAGACCTTGACATTTTTGTCTCTACCTCCTGTTGCGAAGATGTTGGATGCGTGGGCAGGGGCCCATGAGCAGGATAGAATCATTCTACTGTGGCCCTTGGGGTTTGCGAGGGCAAGGGCGTAGGCGTTGTGGGCGTTGCGAGAGAACAAAGCCCATTGACGGTCTCTGCCTACACTGAGAAGGTACTTGTCGTCTGCTGAAAAAGCAAGGCATGTTACAGTGAGAGAGTGAGCGGTCAGTGCAGGTTTGGCTTCTCTCCACTCTTTAGTTTCGTAGAGTCTGATGACCGCGTGATCGATAGAGCTGGCACGACATGCAGTTGCTACCAAACTGCCGTCATGACTCGCAGCTACGCAAGAAATCTCATAACCGTGTCCGTATAATTTTTCGAGTTCGGGGAAGAGAGTATGACGAGCGAGGTGATCTTCAAAGGGCGGGTGGTCGAGATCGAGGGTAGACTTTGTGATTGTGGTTTCCTCGGATGGTTCAGCCGCTGCTTCTTCCTCGGGAGTGAGGGCATTGATGGCTTTGTTGCTAAGGCCGAGGACGGGAATGTTCGCTGCGTCGGGGAGGTCGGCGTCTTCTGCGTCTTGAGCTGTACCGCCTAGTTTTGCGAGGAGTTGGGCGACAGCTTTAGGCTTGTTGAAGACGCGGAGCAGTTTTTCGTCGGCTCCCGAGATGAATTGGGTGGCGCCGATTGCAGATAGGCAGTTTAAATCATAGCCGTGGATTTGTGGTCTGGCCATCTCGTGCCATGTGGTTGCGTCGTCTCTCTTCCATTGGCTGTAGAGTCTTGTGGTTTGATCTGAACTGGTGGACATGAGCTGAGTGCCGTCGTTTGACCATGCGATATCCTTGACTGCGCGGACATGGCCAGAGATGCCTAGCTCTCGCAACCAGCGATCCTCAGTGGTATCGTAGGACCAAGCTCTCCAACTTCCCGTTCTCCCCAGACTGACGACTTTACTGCCAGATGGTGACCAAAGACCAATCCAGAAGCCACCTGTACTTCCTGTAGCAGTAGTTGAGCCCTTCTGCGCACTGATCTCTCCAAGTCTAGTCGCGCAAGTCCAGAAACCATCTGCATCGCGCTCCCACATGGCCAGGGAGTTATCCGCTGATGCTGTGAGCAGTTGTGGTGCTGCATCCTGTCCGGTCTTTGTGAACCAGCGGGCTGTGTAAATCCAATCTTCATGTCCGATCAGAAGTGCCTCAAACGTGATTGAGTGTTTTGAGTCTCCATCTCCAATCCAGTGGGCTTTGTTTGATAGAGAGCGGCCGAACACGGTCATCGCGGGATCACTGGCCGCTGCTGCAACTTCAGGTAGCTGGTCACCTGCATGGAAACGCCATAGACGAATGTACTTGTCTTGACTGGCAGATGCAAGGAGGAAATCGCTGTCAGGCTTGGAGCTCTCGCGGGTAAAGTCCAAGGCGCGTACCCAAGCTTCATGTCCAGTAAGCTTGGCTACGAGTGAAAAATCATTGTCCTCCTGGAGATAAACTTGAATATTTGCGGTTGTGCCTCCAACGGCAATAACCAATTGGGCACTTTGAAGCTTTGCCAATGCGATCGCCAGAGGGAAGTATCGAGGAGCAAGTGTTATGCTCTGAATGAGACTTACTTCAGACTCTGCGCTCTCTGAGACAACCAACTTCCAGATTTTCAGCGTTGCATCGGCAGCTCCAGTAGCGAAGACACCAGACTCGGGCAGAACACCAATAACGTTGATCGAAGCAGTATGTTCAGTCAAATGTTTGACAGGCACAAAAGTGGCGTCGGACTTTTCAATCCAGACGCATACGGTCTTGTCAGCCGAGCCACTGATGAGGACTCTTTTGCCTGATGATGGATCTCTGAATAATTTGACTGCGTTGACGATATCCGTGTGGCCCGCAAGTAGTGTTTCCACACCTTTGTGATTGTTGTTCTCCGGCTTCCACAGAGCGATGTTATGACCACTTCCGTATGCGAGTAAGACCTCGTTCCAATCTGCTGCACATGGATGTCTATTGCCTCCTGCAGCGATGAAATCAAGACTGGCCGAAGCCATAGTTATTGATATCGTCCGTTAGAGTAGAGTTATTTCGATTCGCCAGGTATACTGATTCGATTTCAAAATATTCGGTCCAGGAACTTGCTCAAGAGCGTGTGAGATGGTTGTGGATTGTGTGAAGTAATGACAGTGTTGTTGGTGCTCATAGACAATAACCAATTTTTGTTCGCGGAGGTCGCAAAAAAGTTTCGCTTGCTTCAACGCGCGACTGCCACCTTGATCTCGCAGCACAGTATCCGCAGCTCAACAACCACACATTTCTGAGCATACAGTGTCTTGAGATGGCAGACACGATTAAAATTGATGTTGAGTTCACGTAAGGCATAAATGATCTTCGACTTTGCGCATTAGATTGACAATGCTGCAGTGGCGGACTGGAACTGCTCTTCTCCAACCAAAGAAATCACAAAGTCTCATTACCAGCACAAGATCAAGACGGAAAAGCAGCAAACATCGCATTCTTGATCAAACATCTATGCGAAAACCTTATGACTGATCAAAAACGAGAACTCTTCCTCCTAGACGAATCTGTGTATGTTGTGCCATTTTCATCAGACGTTCCACATCAGCCTGACTAACACCTCCGCCAAGTCGTCCAGGTATCCTTGTCTTGATCAACGACGCAGATTGGGAACTCGAAGGCGAGGATCAGTATGAGCTTCAACCAAGAGATCAGATCGTCTTTGTCTCTACTTTACACGGCGGATAGACAGCTATTTCGTGAATACAGATTCGCAAGCTCGCGGAGTCGGCGTTGATTCAGTCCGCGATTTCTTCATGTCGGCGTGGACCCTTTGAAATCTACGACCGAAAAGATGTCATGAACGACCCGGATGCACCTCTTACCGGGATAAGCAGGGTCTAGACAAGGTTAGACAAGGTTTTCATTCTCCAACGGAGTCACCGCACTCCGGACAAGTCATTTTCGCAAGCAATGCAAAATGCTCGGATCGATGTTCGTCCGCGGTGGAAGAAAGTCGAACGGTTCAGTTGTGCCCTATCATTAAGCTTCAATTAGCCAGATGATGATGCATTCTTGGCGGCGTTCATGATTGTATCTAAAACCCACGAGCTCCTTTCTCTTGTAAGCTAGCTGTAGCGCGTAGATTTTGCTAATTGCTGAGATGAAGGCGACTGTGAGAAGGCTTGACATGAGCCAAGAGATACCTCCTCATGTCTTGTATGCCTCTCCAGTCCCGATGAATGCGCCAGATGGTGGTCCGAAAGAACAAACACTCCCACTCAGTTTGATCGCACATGTCATATCCTTTGTAAGCAGTACGTTCGAGATGATACTGGCCATCGCAGACTAATAACATTGGCTTTGGAAGGTTGAAGATGTAGGCGACATTGCGCGCATGACGCGTACCTGTCGATTGATGTACTACATGACCCTCCCCGTCCTCTACGAACGAGTCACACTCCGCTCATACCCCGAAACGCGATACGTTGATGGACGACCAGAAGGATATGGAAGTGGCAGCCCGTTCACCATGGGTCTCAGCGGTCTTGCCTCAGGAAACTCGGCTGCGCTGGTGAAAGAGTTTACGGTGACAGGAGCATGGTCAGATCCGGGCGTAGATGAGTACAGCAGAGGAAAGATACCAGACAGCACAATACTGCTTGGGATTGCTTTGCGGGCCTCTATGGACAGGATGACACACCTCAAGTCCTTGACCTGGGATCTCGACTCCAAGCCGACCAAGCCTATCTACCAAGGACTCGCTGCTCGCCCAACATTGACCTCGCTGAGTCTACGCTTCCCCCAAGTTCGCTCGCCTCGACCCATTGTAGTCATCCCGACCATGCCCAACCTACGTCGCTTACGCGTCAGCGACATCGACCCTCTTTGTTATCCCGATGACATGTCAGTACTCATGTTTCATGCTAAACAGCTGGAAGATCTACGCATACATTGGAGTCCACGTATGCGACAAGAAGCCGAGCCCAGCATCAATCTAAGCACCATCTTTGGGAAATGTTTCGAGGCAGGTTACAAGATACGGCTTAAGCACCTCGGCCTTCAGAACTTTTATGGTCCAAACACAGGTGACCTACAACATATCGCCAATCCGCCTTCTCTTGAGAGTGCTGATTTCATCGAGGTCTTTGGAGGTAATTACAGTCGACCTACCACTATCTGGGTGGATGAGACTTGGAAAAATATTCCGGACCCGGTATACTTCAAAGGCTTCAAGAGGCATCGCGTCAGCGAAGCGGCACCTGAACACGCCAAGATTTTGTGTCAGTTTTCTGGTCTGGAGGAAATGTACATGGTTGGCAGTAGCGTAGGCAATCGCGACCCTAGGATGGAGTTCAACTCGCCAGCGACCATGGTCACGACACCCGCCACTTCCACTTCTTGTTCGACGCCTACTCCCAACGCCTTCGAGGAGAAGCAAGCATATGTGACGTGCAAAGCATACTTGCGCGCGTTAACAACACATCATGGTCAAACAATCACAAAGCTGCTACTTTCCGACCAATGGCCACTTTCAGGACCACAGATTGGTGAACTCGTCAGCAAGTGTCCAAATTTGTGTCAACTTGGTATGGCCTTGGGTAAAGACGCTGGCGAAGCCATGACTTTGCTGTCTCCCTTCTTCGCCAAGTTGCGCGCCGTCAGAATCTTGGCCAATGCGAACAGCATCGCACTGCTCGCAGATCCAGACCTTACCAGTCTGATTGACGGCACCCGGACCGAGCCCTTGTATTGGAAGTGTCTCAACAATACTGTCAGATTCTGCGGCATGGGTGACGTTGTTCTCAGGGTCGAAAAGGCCACATTGAGAGCAGATGCCGAAGGCAACATGGAGTGGCAGAACCATGTCACATTGGCGACCCTCGACGATGTTCAAGAATTCGAAATCTGGAGGTTGGACAAACTCGAGCTATGATGAACTGGTCGAGGAAAGCCAATGGACGCATACTAGAGCATAACAGAGCCGTGCCAGTGGTATATATGTACGGAGCGGCGGTTTATCAAATCCGAAGCTATCGATCTCGCGAGATTCCGACAATCAGTTCAGCTAGTTGTTCGCTATCGAGGTATGACCGAGTCGCGTCTCAATGCGCGCCGATGTGACTCACGATGGCGGCCCTCCGCTCACCAACCCACGAATTATGAGGTCGTCGACCCCAAACAGGCAATACACTCAAACAGACGCATACGACTAGACTTGGCCAAATCACAGTCATTGACTCCAGCAAACAGTCATAGTCCTCGCGCTATCGACGCCAGTAAGTAGATATGATGCCCTCATTCGAATCCTGCGATACTCCTCGTCAAACATCGCTCGAAGGGCCTTGCACAACCAAGCGCACGATACTTACACTCGTGTGTCGTGCAGTCTCACTTCACTCGCGAGCTCTTCATAGTGAACGCTGTTGCCTAGTCACTATGCCTAGTCACTATGCCTAGTCGCTTTGGGCCCAAATTTTTCATGATCAATTTTCGGGTACATGAGACTGTTGTGTTCCTGGGCAAATTCCGCAGATACAACAGGATGAAGCCGCAACAAGATGCCGCGCGAAAATCATGCGAGCCGCAGAGTCCGTCAGCAGAACTCGATATTCCAGAAGAGCAATCTGGTTATGCTGGAGCACCCATACCGGAAGACTTGCCTGAGCTGACGCCTTCCGCCGAGAAGAAAAGTCCCATGCGCAGCATTCTGAAACCTTTGCGCAGCGGCCATGTCACAACAGAGTCTATGATGCAATCACGTTCGCAACATGGTCGTCATGTCTCCTGGGGAGAGGAACAATACCAAGACATTGAATGGATTGGTCGCAAGCACGTCAAACACACGATGCATCAAGGACTTCATGCATACAGGAAAAAGCGCTTGCTTCTACATTACATTCTGCACAAGGATGCCGAGGTTTACCAGGCAAAGCTTATATCGGATATACGCTTCATCGACGACATGACATGTGAAGAAGCCAGGGCAGTAGTCGGCCATGCATACAAAGCTTCAGAAGATTTCGAAGAGCACTTCAAAGGCGTGGTCGCAACTCCTGACGCGAAGAAAGATACAGAGTCGCTGGAGCTATACCATGCAGTTCTTGTCATGCTGCGTCACCACATCTCCATCTCAAGCCACGACTGCAGCTTCACCAACTATTCGCAAAGATGATGTTAAATCGAGACGACGCAATCTATCATGCTGACATCGCGCTTGAGATGGTTTTGAAAGCTTCCGACATTCCTGCTGGGCCCGAGTTCAAACACAACCTTGTCGTCAACGCTGCTTCGAAACTCGACTTCAAGGCAGAGCTAGAATCTGCAGAACAGCTTCTACGGTCTCTCAATGGCGGTGAAAGGACCAACGTCTGTTGGAATCGACTGACACAAGGTGGCGAAGGACAGAGGATCTGGATGGAAAATCCTGATTACGAGGAAGTGATTGAAGAAGTGATCGAGGAAGTCACACCCGAGCCGATTGAGGTAGTAGACGGAGATCTAGGTGTTCTTGCTCAAGATACAGCCAAACTCCATGTTGACTGTATAGACGCTATCTCGACATCAACTCGTCAGGCGTGACGCACATCCAAAAATTCGATCTCATCACGGTCTTCCTTCTTCAGCTCGAATCCACAGCAGCCAGTTCTCTCGCGAAATAACACAATCAGGGTTCATCGCGATGCTACCCCTTTACAGCATCTAGCATATTACCATATAGACTTAACTTGTACAAACAGCCAAATTAACCAATTTTACATACTACACTCCCATCTCAGCCAACACTTACACGTAGCCTCCCAAATTCCTCTCAAAACTGGTCAGCACCTCCCCGCGTACGAACCACTGTCACGTTCGTAGCTGTCTCAAGGCAGAAACCTTTTCGTGTCTTGAGTGACGGCACCGAGATACATCTCGTCAACGACTCCCCTGTGTGAAACCCTTCGATACAAGATATGATTATGCATGGCTTCAGCTCGTCGTCGCTCTGCCTCTGATCATCGAGAGTGGTTGAGTGAGACAGAGTGTTGCGCATGAGGAGGTAGGAGGATCACGGTGAATATGCCTTTTCTCCTTCTTCTCAATCTCTGCCTCCTCGGTCAAGACCAGATAATCCACCGTAGCGTGGTCTTTGGAGTCTGTCCTACTAGAATGCCATCCATTACTATGCTTTGCTGTCAGCTTCTCCTCGCTTTTTGAGACGAAGGCAGTATATCCACGTAATACTCCCTTTATCTGCCCATGATGAAGCGGCCTGAACGCAGACTTATTCAATCTCTTCAAGACCGGATTTGTGGAGTATGAGCGCTTATCGTATCATGAGATACGAGGCCGATCAGCCATTACGTTGACGGCAGTGGAAAGCTGGTGTACAGAGAATAGGACTCGAGATGATAAAGCATGGTCATATATACCTCGCGCTTGTCCACGTACGGAAATGCCAATATATAGATTCGACTCTTTGGCATTCGTGACTTGAGAGGATAAGGAAAGCAGGATTCGAGACGGTCTTACTTGGCTTTTGTCTTCATGGCTGAGACTTTTAGAATGGATGGATTAGATGTTCATGAAATAAGACATTATAACAATGTGGTACAAGAGTCGTGCAAGACTTTGTCTCTCTTTGTTCCCTTTGTGCCCTTTAATTCTGGCCCTATCTCATTGGAGCATGTCGAGCATTGCTTAGTAAACCCCAAGGGATCGGTGATTGATGACAGGGATCAGTAACAAGTGGTGCTACTAGTCCGCAGTCGGAAGTCCGAACCAGTAGTGTTTTTCGGTACAAGTCACCGAGTTCATAGACAGCCCAGCTGAAGTTGATTGATAGTGTTCCGCATCATGCATGCACATGTATGCGTGGGATAGACTGACACGAGAAGTATAGTACTTTGATTAATAACGCGATATTGCTTTATAGTGGAAAGCTTATGGGACAATATAGGACAAGAAAGAACAAGAGCTGGACATCTAGGAGCTAAGGAGCTGTTTTTTAAACCTTGGACTCGTGGACGACCTCCTCGAGAGCGGAGGAGTCCTTGCCCATCTCCTGGGCAAAGGTGTCGTGAGGGACCCAGCCGGCAGACTTGCGAGCAGAGACCTCCTCCATCATCTTGTCGACCTGCTCGAGGGAAAGTCCCTTGGTCTCGGGGACGAAGAAGTAGGCGAAGACAATGCAGACGGCGCAAGTCGAGCCCCACAGGAAGAAGACCTTGGGTCCCAGGTTGCCCTCGTTTTCTCCGACAAGGTAGGGAGTGATAACAGCAATGATGCCTGCGAGGTTGTTAGCATGGATTCAAGCAGTAGAGTCAAAAGATTACTGACAGTTCCAGAACCAGTTAGAGGCAGTAGACATGGCAACACCCTTGGAACGGATGGGCAGAGGGAAGAGTTCACCGATGGAAACCCAAGCGGTGGGACCCCAGGTCTGGGCGAAGAAGCAAATGTAGATGCAGGTAAACAAAATGAGAACAATCTGGGATGCACGGGAGCCAGCATCGGCGGTACCAACGATACCAACAATCCACTCGCAGACACACATGCCAATGGCACCGTAGATCAGGAGAGGACGACGACCGAAGCGCTCAATGGTCCAGAAGGAGATAGGGGTGGAGCAGACGTTGACGATGGTGGTGATCATCGAGATCAAGAAGGCGTTCTGAATACCGATAGACTTGAAGAACGAGGTCGAGAAGTAGAAGATGAAGTTGACACCAGTCCACTGCTGCATCATCTGGAGCACGATACCAATGAAGACCTTGCGAGCGTTGGAGTTGCGGTTACCAATGCCACCAGAGAACATACCGGCCCAGCTGACAGTACCAACTGACATTTCGTACTCGAAGTTGGCCTGGATCTCGGCGAGCTCGTCGACAATGTAGGCGCTGTCCGCAGGCTGGCCACGAACACGGCCGAGGGCCTTGGCGGCTCTGTCGAGCTGTTGCTTCTTGACGTAGTAGCGAGGGGACTCGGGCAAGAGGAAGAGACCAGTGGCGAGAATGATGGCCCAAGCGAACTGGATGGCGATGGGAATGCGGTAGGCGCCAGTATTTGTGTAGTTGCGGCAAGCGTAGGTGACAATCGAGGCAAGCATGAGACCGATCGTGATAGCGAATTGGTAGCATGAAACGATGGCACCACGGACCTTGCGGGGGGCGACCTCGGACATGTACAGAATGTTGACAGCTGACACGAATCCGACACCGACACCAGCGATCAAACGACCGACGACGATGAGAGGGATCGAGGTAGAAGCGACTTGGAGGATAACACCGACACTGAAAACACCGCAGCCGAGGATGATAGTAGTACGTCTACCGATCCAATCCGCGAGGGCGCCTGTAGGGATATTGTCAGTACCATTCAACGTGGGCGGTAGAGAGGGATGAACTTACCAGCGAAGAGAGCGCCAAAGAAGGTACCGGCAGAAAGGATGGAAATGATGAGCGATTGGTTGCCAGCAGAAACGCTGTAGCCACTGGGGTTGGCCTCGGTGACTTCTCCACGGCTTCCAAACTCCTGCTTGAAGACTTCTGTACCCATGACACCGTTGATGTAACCCGAATCGTAACCGAACAGGATACCGGCGAAGGCGGCAAAAGCACACATCAGGTAGGCCCTGACGGTGACGGGCGACTCGATGCGCTCCACGGTAGTAGGTGCCATCGTGAGAGACTGAGGTTATTTCTTTGTAACGAAAGTGACAGGGATGTGTAACAGGGGGTCAAAGAAAGACAAACGCTTGACGCTGATGAGAAGGAAAAGGTGAGTCGCAGGTGAGGAAAGCACGACTCTATATACAACAAACCCTGAGGGCGAGTAAATGCTGGGCAGTTGTCTGGAGGACTATTCATTCCAGCACCCCACAAGGATCGCATGGCGCTAGTGTCCCTCTCCATTGTTTGCATGGGCGAATCAGTAGTCACGCGGCCACGATATTACTCCCGAATCGGTTCTAGGTTGACCTTGCTTTGATGCGAATTGTCTCGTGCATGGGGCGTGTCGCCAACCCGCGCGTTGTGCCCAGAGGTCCCAGACGTCGCCAAACGCGTCTTGGTATTTCTTGGAGCACCACTGTGGCATTTTTGGGTTGGAGACGAGCTGTCTTGGACGCGCGAATACTTGCACTGCCGTATATTCACGGCCCGGGAAAGACCAATCGCAATATTGCATCCGCCGCATCCTCAAGCATTCGAGGCATCATGCGCAACAGCCATTCGTCTTCTACGACAAGGAAAATAGAACACCAAGTGTCGTTGGACGGAGAGAAAGTCTCGGCCATGACCCTCATCTGGCCACACCAGGAGAATCTCGGCCCCTGCCGATAATCTGGAGTTCGCACGACCCCAGTTTATTGTACAGGTACTGGGCTAATTTTACTAGCTCCCCGTGCCTCCCTTGCACGTTGCGAAGTTACACTCGCTTATGATGTCTTGAGAAAGTTACCTAGCCGTCAACAACGATTTCAAGGATTCTGGGATATCTCTGTAAGCGCGTCAGGTCTTCGGTCACGACCACGGTGGTCACATTTCGGCCGACGCCTCCACAGTACTTCCGTCTGGGCGTGACATGCTTTGCAACACTTGTCACCCCTCTTCGCCTTGGTTCAGCAGAAAAGATCCACTCCAGATTGGCCGCAGCACTGGTAGGATGAGTTCTCCTCTTGGCTACCGCCGCCGTGTGGCGTTATTGCAAACGGCAAAGCGATGTGGCAATTACGATCCTACCTTGATGTCCACCGGCTGACACGACCGGCCACGACCTGATCCATGAACCCACACGCTCTGAGTAGGCGATACGGGCCGTGCTTCATCCTCACACCATGTTTCCAGATTGGAGGAATCGACTCAGACCAGGGTAGCTGATCTTTCCTATGTCAGAACCCTTATATTGGAGGTTGAGCGAATGACTCGAGCGATTCCCCAGGAACGTTCTGGGGATCTCCATGTTTGTCCGATGACCCAGCATGTCGGTGAAGTGTGATGCATTTCTTTTCAGTTCAGCATCTTTGCCGCCGCATTATTATTGACGACCTTGTGGTTTACACATCGGCCGACGATTGCCCTAATTCATCGACGGATTGGGTGCCGACTCGCATGTAGCACGGCTCCGCCTACCGTACCCTTAGCCGGGCCAAGAAGTGAAAGCAAATCAGACCACGCGAGAACTCTGCAACACCAAGACGCTTGTAGCTCACGCAATAAGTCTTTTCTGCGTTGTGGAGAGCTAGAGTGGAGAGATCGGGGCCCCGAAAGTCCCACAATCGCTTGGTCGGAGGATGTGGTGGTCTTTACGGTGCTATGTCGGTCTTATTGTTGACAGAACCATGGATGTCGTCTTCACATCCGAGATTGGCAGCTTGTTCGGTATGCCGAGTCGGCAGCCTGTTTCGGTATGCTTTCTGCAAAGCCCAAGCTCAGGCGGTGAAGGCTCGAGACGCTATTACGGTAGGTCGTTTGTATCGAGTACCACGTGTCTCCGAGGCTGCGAATCGATCTTGGATGCAATGCCTGTCAGGTCAGACGGCCATGCGGTACCTCTTGATTCGATCAAACATTTCTCAGTTCTACAACGATCATGGGCAATATTCCCACATCGAACTTGGCGTATAAAGACGTTGTTGAATCTCCTTATACAGACAATCCCCGAATAGGCAAGCGGGAAACGTCCTTCTGATGTGCCGAAGACACTCAGCTTGCTCTTTTGCGCCGGGTACAAGTCACACATTCATCAAAGAAGTCCAAATTATCTATAGCCCTGTGACTCCTGGCTGCAAATCTGACGTTTTTTTTCCTTGTCTCGAAGATTTCATGACACATGTTAGAGAGCCCTTTGATCTTCTTTCTTTGTGTTCCATTGCACGTGGCCAGGCGGCTCTGTATGAACTGAAAAGCCACCAACTAAGAATGACGATTTTTATCAACTTCATCTTGCACAATCAAAACGCGAGTCTAGCCCTCAAGCGATCCGTCCAAAGATGTTGTTTGCAATGGCATCATATCTTCACGTTCCGAGCGCACCTGTTGTGCACGTCGCCTGCTATCTTCGACCGACACCATTCTCAGCAAGCCTCTCGTCTGCCTTTGTGGGGTCTCAGATCCAGCTCTTCGACAGTTGACCGAGATGCCACCGAGACGGTGAACACCCTCCACATGGCGATCCCCCACTTCCAGTTGCGCCTCGGCTCCCCTGCTTCCACTCCAGAATTTCTCCATCATCACATGCTTTACCTCGCTTCTCCAAAACGCCAACCCCTCTGCCAAGCGAGTCATCAATGATCTCGTGCTGTGAATCCTCCAGTCTGTCGATTGCTCGATCACTGCTGACATGAGATCCCCTCGCCATGGTAATGGATATGTACCATTCGTGGACTTAATCGCACTAGAAAAGGTCGACGAGACGACATACCGCAGCACTGCTCTCCCCTTCTCGCCCAATGGCTCTGGAAGAGCGTATGGTGGCCATGTCTATGCTCAAGCCGTCTGGGCAGCGGCGAAGACGGTCGAAGCTGGCTTTGTGATACACGTCAGTACTCAGCACCAAGCATCGAGGCGCAGTGATCCGAACACATCCTGACTCCATCGCCCAGAATGTCACCGGCTTCTTTGTCCTTGCCGGTGATTCTTCAATTCCATTCATCTACCGAGTTCAAACCATCCGCAACGGCCGGTCGTATTGCACTCGCTTGGTAAACGTCACCCAAGCCGAAGGCAATGGGATATGCTTTACGTGCACTTGCTCGTTCAAACTGCCGGAGGAGAGTCATTTCGATGTCCAAGAGAAGATAGATCTAGCCCAACAGTATGGACATGTCCTTGCCGAGAAGAGGCCAGAAGACTGGGAAGAAGTATCCGGCATGGACGTGCCTTGGTAGGTAACGCTTACACACTGACTGAGGACTCTCTGCTCATGTCGCGTAGGTATACGAATCGTCGAAAACTCACAGGTCGCAATGACGAATTCCCTGGTCTTGAATGTCGTAAGGTCGACATGACATCGCACAACGCCTCCCTCTCTCCGTTCGACCGTCGCCAATTGTTCTTCTACCGCGCCATTGGCAATCTCCCTCCCGACCCGAACATTCACGCATGCGCGCATCTTTACGCGTCCGATCGTAACTCACTCTTCATTGTAGCCAGACACCTCGAGATCAGCGACAAGTTCACGCACATGGCCAGTCTGAGTCACACTGTCGTCTTCCACTGTCCTAGCTTGCTGCTCATGATGCAAGATCAAGAGAGTGGTGAAAGAACGTGGTTCACCCAGGAAGTGTGGACGACGCGTGCAGGTGGGGGACGCGGGATGCATCACAGTCGCATTATAGGGCCTGGAGGAGCAGACGTGGCCAGCACCTTCCAAGAAGGCATGATAAGAGTAGGTCGTGGTGAAAACCAGTACGAGAAGGCATACAAGAAGTCGCTAGAACGACTGTAGTAGAGGTCGCATGGACGTGACACCGCCGCGTTGGACATGGCGTAGCACGGCGTAAAGTGTATTAGGGCGCACGGAGTCCCAATTAGATCAAGAGCCTCGTTGGCATGATTTATGTAAATTAGGTAGACGCGTAAAAAGGCGATTTGAAGTGTACCGCCACTACATGTCGCATCTCTCGAACAGATCGAGCACAAACGGAGTGATTTCGCCCTAAGCTCACATTCCACGTCTAATCTGGTAACCCGGCTACCTTATTCAGTTCTCTGAGATTTCGCGATAGTAACTAGGAAATTATATACACCTCGTCGCGTACTGCGTGACGTCAATGTAGGAGTTAAGTGCTGTGGTCGTTCAATATGACTGTGATGTTGTCATGGGTCCCACTAAGCATGGTTGGTAACAAATTTGCTCGATGCATATTTTGTATTTATCACTTCAAACCACGAGCTGCATCTTGGAGACTCTGATAGCCGAGAACCAACACTACGGAAACATGACGCATGCGAACAGATTATATTCAAGGAGCCTCGATCAGGCTCAGCACCTCGTCGTCGATGGAAAATGCTGGTTGAGCGTCTCACCCTGATCATGGACCCTGATTGACACCAACTACGTCACGCGACAAGACGTGACGAAATCAATATTACTTTGTTCAACTCCCCCACGTCTCTGTCAAATCCCAACAGCACTGCCCATCATCTGGAGAGTCTTCCCTTACTACGAAGTTGATGTGATTGATTCGATACTTACAAGCAGATCTTCCGCAGACTCCGTAGCCATATTAAGCGCGCCATTAGTTGTTCCAAAGACGAGGATAAGGGCGATCGAGCCAATAAGAGCAAGGACCATACACAACTCCCGTGTGCGAAAGACTGTCACACTTGTGGCTGTCTCATGGCACGAACTTCTCTAGTCCTGGAGCGACGGCACCGATATATACCTTTCCAGCGACTCCCTGCGCTATGTTTATCGATGCGAGATATGACTGTGCCTATATACAGCTAGTCATTGCCCTGCATTGATCGTCGAGGAGAGATGGCGTGACATTATCCTGCGCCCGGGGATCACTCACAGGAGGTGCGCTCGTCCAGTGCCGGAGAGTTCCGCTCTTGATCAACGCTCAATGGGGCCGTCCATCGCCGCACTGGCAGCCTCTACCTTGTCCTGACACACGGATCGCCATCGAATGAGCACAATCGTTCTCTTGGAATACTCAGCTCATCTGAATAATACTTCGATCATAGACACGTCTTGTCTTGAGGCCAGCCTCGCTGCCGCAAGAGGACTGCTTAGACAGCTGCTACCAGGACCATAAACGAGGACACGCAAAGCTGAGAGTTAAGGCAATAGCAACAGTCGACAATCTATCTAGGTCTGACATACATTAACGACGTTGACGGGACAATATGTCAAGTGCGGCATACGATGTAGTCGCCAAGGATGTATAATTGACCCGATGCACCGGACTGGTTTGAATCCTAAATTTGCTGGAGCTTAATAACGGTATGCCACTTTATCCACACACCACCGCAAAGTCTCAACGAGCACCACCCCGGATTTGTCGTATGATTGTACGGAGTAGTGCGCCATTCGATCAACAGTCTCTCACCCCGCATCTCCACATTGTTTATATCGTACATGCTCGTGACTATCGTTCGTACCAGAAGTCATCCTTGGATTACTGTAGCACCAATTCGATACTAAAATATGTCGATCGCACCTACTCAAGTAGCTCCTGATGTGAGTAAGCCTCTGGTCCAACTCCTCGTGGATTGACTGATGCCGGATCATAGGGCACCAAGTTATGGTTACTGCATGTAGGCAACATGGTCGCCGACGAAGCCTTCTTCCTCACAGGGGTAACTAAAAATTGGATCGAAAACAGAACGACGCTCTGACTCCCCACCCCAGGCCAATGCATCGACAGCGAGCAACGTCAATCCTGAAAATGCCCGCCGCTCTCTAGTCATGATCTCGGTCCTCATCTCTCATCCCGAAGAAGGTCTCATCCTCTTTGAGACTGGTGCAGGCAAGGACTACCCAGAAGTCTGGGGCCCACAGCTCGTAGACTTGTTTGCACGAGAAGGATACACTGAAGATATGGAGCTGGATGCCCAGATCAAGTTGACAGGGAATGATATCAAGGATGTCAAAGCTGTGATTATTGGTCATCTTCACCTTGATCATGCTGGCGGACTTGAGCAATTTCGTGGCACAGACATACCCATCTATACGCATGAGTTGGAGCTCAAGCATGCCTTTTACAGCGTGGCAAGTAAGACTGATTTAGGTAAGCCCTCACTCGTCGACGATATTGCCATTTTCTCACAGCTGACACCAACAGGTCTCTACCTCCCCTCCTATCTCCAATTCGACCTGAACTGGAAGCCTTTCGTAGGAGCCAGTCTCGGCTTCGCCCGCGGCATCTTCCTCCACCATTGCCCCGGCCATACACCCGGCCTCTGTATCGCGCAGATAAACCTCCAGAATAGCGGTACCTGGGTCATCACATCGGACCAGTATATTGTGCAAGAGAATTACGACTCATTGGCAACACAAGGATGGTTGACTAGAGATCATCATTCTTGGTCGCAGTCGAATCAGATGATTCACTTTTTGCAGAAGACGACGGATGCAAAATTGATCTTTGGACATGATAGGGAGGTGTTGATGAGGTATAAGTTGGCTCCTGAGTTTTATGATTGAAGTGGTGAGGGGTTCGTATATCATGATCTAGTTTGTCTGCTGTTTCGATCTATCTATCAGTAACGTTGAATGCTTCAACGTTTAGTAGGAGACTAGAGATGATATCACCCTTTTACTCGCAAGATCATTCTATGTTCACTCGCAGTCACACATGAGCATTGATGGTGTCCGAGACCGAGACCGAGATCGCCGCCGTAGCGCATCGACGAGCCCACCTCTCAGGTGATTAATGCTCAGTCCTGCGAAACATCGGCTGTGAAAGGGCATAGTCTAATTCATATATGTACTTGACGTCTAGGGAGAGCCTTGGATTTAGATACCTTGTTTTTCTCTCCTAAGCCAACATACCTGTTACAATTCAGTTGTACAACGGTACAGTCTTTTTCAGACCGTCCTCGTTGTCTAGGGAGAGCTACATTCATCACGAGTCAGGCACACTTACCCATCACGCCTTTATCTCTCTAGCTACAGCTCCCATCACAAACCAGCCGTCTCAATGCACAGTCATGCTCGAATTACAGCTGTTGTCTAGGGAGCACAACACCTCTCCTTGACATCTCCCCACCTCACAACACTTTGTCCCTGGTTCAGTCTTAGGCTAGGCCGCTATGGTTTGTCATTTCGTGCTCATTAACTGACACGCCGACGCTCGAGCGAACAGGCAGATGCTGGACTAGTGTGAGATGATAAGTCCTTTTCTGCTATAATACAAGAAGAAAATAGAAAAGCACGCTGTTCCCAATTACCCACCAGATACAGCGTGATTTCGTACAAGATTGTTTCCATGCCCAACCGCATATTCTAGCTACGCGAGACCAAATCGCCCCTCACGGTATCATACCAAAGGATCTGAATCTGTCAAAGGTTTCGGTGAAACTCTTGTAAGAATCGATGTGACCATTCCATCCAAATTTACGCGCCTTGTTGACACTCAGGGTAGCGCTCCAAGTACGTTGGAAGACCCAGTCCTGGAACTGCCAAGTGCCGAATTCGAAAGTGTCCTTTGCGCCTGGCACGCCCTTCTTGTCACACAGCTTGTTCCACACCTCTTTCTTGTCTGATGACCAATCAGCTAGAGTAAAATCCAGCTGGATGTCTCCCTCCTTGGGAACCTCTTTCTGGAACACCTGATCGGAAGTGGCATTGACGCCAAAGTAGGCAGCTAGGCGGGGCCACATGTACCGCCAGGTGAAGTAGTCTCCGTTCGTTACATTGAACGCTTCGTTTCCGCATCGAGGGTTGGTAGATACGAAGATGGTAAGATCTGCAATAAGTGGCGCGTAGGAAACATCATCCACGCCGCCCCAGTAGCGTTGATTGGTCGGCATAGGGGCATCGGTGCCCAGTTCCTTGCAGATTGAGAAGTAGAGAGCCAGAGTGAGAGCTTCATTCATACCATTGGGCTTCTGAGTAGACCCAATGATTGCTTCAGGACGGATCACATTCCACACCCACTTGCTACCCCTTTGTCGTGCGATGAGGTGGTCTTCTTGTGGGTAGTAAAAGTTGTCGATAGTCTCCTTGACTCGAGGGTCCTCTTCACGAGCAGGTGACGCGACTGGGTGCAGGTGGACATTGTAGTGCTTGCCTCCTGTCTGGAGAGTGACGTTTTCCAGTCCTGAGGCAACCTCAATCAGAGAGTCCAAAAAATTCTCGAAAAGACTTCTGTTTGCAGGGTTGAGCTCTTCAAAGGTCTCCTTGTGAATGTAGGAACAAAAGTACGCATGAGTAACAGATTTGCACACATCGCGCATCTTCTCGGCGAGTTTAGATGAGTCCTCGGTGAAGTCCAGTGCGATAAACCGTATGCGGGGGTCCGAGACGGTGGTCTTGAAGGGGCTCCTGGAAGTTACAATGATCTCGCTCCATTGCTCAGAGGTAGTGTTTGCGACAAGGTACTCCAGGATCGCACTACCGCTAATGCCATTCGCACCCGTGATAAATGCTGACTTTCCCATGGTTGAGCTTGGAATGTGATAAAGATAGTGATTGTGTTCAAGATTGCTTTGGTTGTCGTACCCCGGCTCTGCTCTCGAGATATACAATAGCGACCAGAGCCATCACAGCATGATCTATTTGCGCATCAACCTGGAGACAAGCTTCGGATAAAGTGGCATGAGAAACACCAGAAAGTATATTGTCTCAGATAAGGGGTTATCCGAGGTCTGGGGAAGTATGGGGTACTCCGTGCGATGCCACTCTAGACTTTTCCTTTGCTCCTCTCTGGCGGGCAGACTCCAAGTCGAGTGACCGGTGTCCTGCGGAAATCACGTCCTAGCTATGTTCGAGTGCGGCACCTGCCACAAGTCGTATGCCACTCAGAGCTCCCTGACGCGTCACGCGCACAACCACGAGTCTGGGAGGCGACATACGTGTGCAGTATGTGACATATCCTTTCGAAGGAGAGATCTCTTGGCGAGACACGAAAAAATCCACGATACAGGACACGACGATGTCGAAGGTGAACGTCGAAGGTGTCACACGGCTTGTGAGTGCATGAAAACGGCGACTGCTTCTCCGGAGTATCTTCGGCTGACGAGCTGGACAAAGGTGAAGCTTGTCGCAAGAACCGCGTCAAGTGCGACGGTCAACAACCTTGTGGTTCTTGTTCACGTACACAGTCGACATGTTCTTTCCAAAGGCCAGCGCGTCGTATAAGTCGTAAAGCTCACCAGGAACTATCGTCGGACGATGGAGATGACGAGAGCGGTGGACAGAGGCTCACTGAGCATCATGGGAACGCCGGATATGCTCATGGTCAGGCAGGAGAGCTGCAAGTATCTCCAATGCTGCTTGGGACCAACACCTTTGCAGCTGAACAATCCTCGATGACTCAGGGCTCATTGGAAGCTGGCTCACTGGGTCAAATTCAGCCGAGCTTGGAAGATCATGAATTCGCAAATATCCTAGCATCCATGCACCATGCGACAGATGCGGAACTTGAATCAGTTCCCGAACTATGGCCACCGACAATCAACTGGCCATGGGCACATGAACAGCTGTATCTACGCGACGGACCTGATTATGGTCCCTACGGTGTGGCTGATCTTGACGGGCTTCAGTTATCGGTTGACTCCATGGCTTCTCAGCACGTAGATATGATAGGCGCAGGTAACGCTACGGAGCAGGGCAGCGGTGGCAACACGATAGATGAAAGTCTACTAGCGATCAGTCCAATATCAATGACGCCGACTCGAGTCATCGATAGCATTGTCCGGGAGGCCGTCGAAGTTGCCAGAGACAACTCTCGATGGGCTGAATTTTGGAACTCTGCTTCGAATCAAATCAGCGTTGCTTTCAACATATCAGCTGCGCCGGAGGTACCTCAAGGCGTGAACGTCCTGGAACACTTCAGCAACATATATCTTGAACAGTTTCAACCACTGTGGCCATTATTATGGCAGCCTGGACTAGAGCTCGACAAATTACACCCGCTATTATTGCTCACTATCACCTCGATCGGAGCATTGTATTCAGGAGTTACTTCTTCAAGGTATGGCTCTCTATTACACGAGAAAATGCGCGAAGTTCTTCTCGTGTCGCCTCCTCGCACCGATCAGACAGATCAAGAGAATCTAGACCTTGGGAGAGCCATGTTATTGACCCAAGTCGCCGCAATATATTTCGAGCAGCAGCATGCTTTCTCAGCAGCGCAAAGACTTGGCGCGTTGCTCAACGCCCACGCTCAAAAGATGCGGTTGTTCAGCTACCGATCTCGTCGAGGGATGCCGACGCCCCTGGACCTGACACAGGCCAACAACGTCTCTGCAATACAATGGCACAAGCAGTGGGTCTTCGCCGAGGGCTGCAAGCGGCTAGCCTACGGAGTAGTACGCGGCGAAGTGTTTATGAGTGTCCTATTGGACTCGAAGCCCCTCGCATCATATGAGGAGGTGGACCTCGAGCTTCCCTATTCGGACACGTTATGGACCACCAAACGGCAATTCGCGCGTGAATATATCAGTGCTGTCGGCCGAGAGCATAGTCTTTGTCGGGGCATGATCTTTTCAGATCTCGTCAGGGTTGCTCTTGATCCAAATGAGGTTCTACCACTGCTACAGCCTTTAGAGCATGAGCTCCTACTCTATGGATTGCAGTACTCTGTGTGGCGATTCAGTCACGATCCGAGTATGTTCAAGCGTCTGACCGGTCACGATGCGACCAAAGAGTCAGCCCCAACCACGTCTGACTTTGAGTCCGCTGGTCTGGATCATGATCACTTAGTTGACCGAGATCATCTAGACTATTCGACAAGGAAGATGCGAGATCTCTTGCGAGAGCGACAAAACGTCATCTGTGCTTTGAGAAAATGGAAAGACATGGTCGCGAGCAGTCAGATGTCTAATCAATACGGACATAACCGCACGACCTACCTTAGTGGACTCATGCTGTTTCATCTAAGCTTTTTGCGGCTACACGCCCCCGTTGGACTCATTCAAGAGGTGGTGTATCACAACGGCAGTCCGTCTGAAGCAGTGAAAGTTTCGATCCAAACTATAGCAGATTGGTCTCGTACTAACGAAGCACTTGTGGCGATCAAGCACGCATGTTCGATGTGGACATTGATCGAAAAAGAGACATCGCGTAAGGCTCTTCCGCAAGCGCGCTACACTATCCTTACTGTCATTGCCGTCTACCAAGCAGCTACCGTGATCTGGGCCATGGCCGGTGCTTGTGACACTTCCAGGCACTCGCTGAACATGATGGGTTCTTCCAAGCAGATCGACAAAGACAAGGTCGAGCTCTCAAAATCCAACATCTCTAATCTGATGCAATCTTTTGCGGAATTATTCCCGGACATGACATCAACCTGGGGTACACAATCCTCGTTCTCGAAGATGGTGTTGGAACTGGCGACAAGAACTCTCATCTGATGACCGAAGGCTTTCCTCAAGAAAGTTTGTTGTATCCTACATGTGCTTCATGACCGACGAATTCATCTGATTTACTCAAACTGCATACGGTTGACTACTTTGCCAATCCCCTCAATCTCAACCACCACCTCGTCACCATCGTGCAAAAAGCCTTGAGGATTCATGAACAGTCCAACACCACCTGGTGTGCCAGTCATGATCAAAGATCCTGCTTGCAGCGTCTGTCCTTGGCTACAGAACGCAACCAGTGCTTTGACCCCGAAACAGAGATCAGAAGTATCACCCGATTGTCTGAGAGCTCCATTCACAAACGTCTTGAGAGACTGTTTGTCTGCTGCCCCTAGCACGCTAGTTGATACCAGTGCCGGTCCCAGTGGTGCATACTTGTCAAAAGACTTGCTGAAGGACCATTGTGGCACAGGACCAGCCTTGCCAGGCTCGCGCTGCCAATCGCGTGCAGACACATCGTTGCCCACGGTATAAGCGGCGACATAATTCAAGGCATCTTCCTGCGATACGTTCTTCGCATCTTTGCCAATCAGGATGCAAAGCTCTCCTTCGTAATCACACTGTGTCTGAGCAATCTTCGGGATCGGAACTGCAACATTGGTATCTGCGATAGTGGTACCAGGCTTCGAGAAAACGGTGGGACATGTTGGCAGTGGTCGGCCTGTCTCGAGGACTGGGACATCACGGTCAGTAATCTAGCTTTGTGCAGAGCAGCTGCGAGGATCACATACTATGCGACTTGTAATTCAGGCCAATGCAACGGACGTAAGGAACATCTTTGGGCGTGAGAGGACCCAGCAATGTTTTCACAGTCTCTTTCCTGTTGGTGGGAGTGGCCGAGAGTACATCGGCGCCTTCCAGTACGATAACCTCTAGCTGGCCGTCCAGAGCAAGCTGGTGGATGTCATCGTTTTCGTTGGCCAGCATAGGCTCTCCGTACTTGATGGAGCCATCAATGGACACAAAGCGCACAAGACGTGCCCACTGCACGAGGGACTGGGCATTGTTTGACATGCTGGAACTGAATGTCCGGAAAAGAAGGTTATACGGCGCCGAGCAGATTTGTTAATGTTGTTCGACAGAACGTCAAGTACTATTATTCTCTAGATCACAAGCGTATTGCGATTGCTGCCACTTCGCAATGCGGAGCGGGTAAAGTGGCATTTGCCCCGCACTCGGGACTTCGCGGAGTTTTGGTGTTTAGGGACAGTTGCTGTGGACTATTGGAAGCGGCACCGAAACGTTATGACGACCGTCTTATGCAGAGCAATACTCCAGCAAAGCCTCTCAGACATAGTCAATCTCACTGCGTTCTCTGTACGAAGTCCATCACAGAACTGCCCAACATGCCTCTTCCTATCGATGATCCCAGGATTCGTCTGTTAAAGACCGCCTTCGTCATCTATGACCATGAAGATCTGGACAAGGCAGACCAGTTCTTGAACGACTTTGGTCTAACAGAAGTAGAGAGAAGCGAAGACGGGAGCCAAATATTTTACAAAGGCTACGGACCAGATCCATTCGTCTATCTCGCACGCAAAGCCTCAACCTCATCCTTCGGTGGCGCAGCGTACTCTGTCGAGAGCAGGACTGAGCTCGGGAAGGCAGCGAAGATTGAAAATGCTAGCCCCATCTCAGAGCTCAAAGCACCTGGAGGAGGCGAGATAGTCACCTTGACCGACCCGGCCGGTTTTCATGTCCATCTTGTGTATGGTGTCCGACAACGCGAGCCTGGGGAGTTGAAGCTGGAGAAACTCACTGTCAATTTTGAGGACGAGAAGCCACGACGTGGAAAATTCCAACGTTTCAAACCTGGTCCTGCACCTGTCTTCAAATGGGGCCATTACGGAGTCACATATCCTGATGGAGGCTATGACATGATGTATGACTGGTACACCAAGCATCTCGCGCTTGCACCGTCAGACATTGTCTATCTGGGCGAGAAACCTATCACCGTCTTCTTCCATATCGACCGCGGAGAAGAGTATACCGACCATCACGCTTTCTTCTTCAAGCGCACGAAGCCCGATGAGAAGCCTCATGTAGCCCACGCTGCTTTTGAGGTACACGACTTTGATGTTCAGCAGCTCGGTCATGATTATTTGACCTCCAAAGACTACAAGTTGTGCTGGGGTGTGGGTCGACATGTGCTGGGAAGCCAAGTCTTTGATTACTGGTTCGACACTAGTGGGTTCATTGTTGAGCACTATGCAGATGGTGATTTGGTCAACAATGCTTCAGAGGTCTCGCATGAACAGGCGGGACCTCAGGCACTTTCCGTGTGGGGGCCGCCTGTACCACCTGTGTTTTAGTTGTGTTTAGTGACATAGATGATTCAAGAACGATGAAACTCACTTTCTGCACACTCGATGGTTCCGATGCTTGCCTTGCCTTGTTACCCTGAACATGCGGTAAATGCGCTGATTTGCTCGATGCGTCACCATCCATGGGCATCGATCACCACATGCTTCTATATCACAATGGAAAGATACGTTCGAGTCCTTAACGCTACGTTCAGCCATGCTGTGAAAGCACAAAGTGCCGTCACAAAGATCAAACACGTTCCGGAAAGGACATACCACGATGACATAAATACTGCTGTTCGAACTTTTCATATTTCAGTTATTGTCAACACATCAACCTCTCTCAAGCGGTCTTATCATCCTTCTCAAACTTCAACCAACAATGACCGGATTTAGTGCCAGCAGCAAAGACATCCATCATCTCAATAGGCTCATTCTCATGGCCCGTAGGCTGAATAGCTCTCAAGTTTCTAAAGATAGCACAGAGCATATATCTCAGTTCAGTCATGGCGAGATTGCTGCCCGGACAGATACGTGAACCATGTCCAAAGGGCGTCCAATTGAGCTTCATCCTATCATCAGCTTTCAACCAACGATCAGGGGTCCACTTGTCGGCATTCTTGTAGACGTCTTCCTTGCGTCCTTGACTGTAAGCTGATGTGGAAGCGATGACACCTGGTGGAACGCTGAGACCGTTCACAGTGATTGAACCGCCAAGGTATCTCTCTAGTGGACCGGGGATCATCGGCCACATGCGCATGGTCTCCTTGATGACGGCATCGAGATATGGCAAGTTCTGAGATTTACGCATGTCAAGCTCCCCGGCATCCGGGAAAGCCTCGAAGAGTTCTTGACGGAGCTTCTTTTGGACCTCTGGGAAGTTGGTCAAGGCCCAGCAAGCGAAAGTGGCAGTGTGAGAAGTCGTTGAAGAGCCAGCGGCCATCATCTCAACCATGTAGGCTGGAATGTGGGCTTGAGGCATATTTGCATCTGATGTGCCATCCGCTTGCATGGAAGAGAGCATAGACAAGACATCTCTGTCATGCCCTTTGGTGTCTTTTTCGTTCCACTTGATCAAGGCGTCGTGAGCGGTAACATCCATATCAAGACAATCTTGACGAAGTTGTTTCCACGTAGCATTGCCAAAGTACTTTACCCAAGTCTCGATTGGCGGGATGAAACTTTTGAGAGCATTGTACTTGCTGAAGGCATGAAAGCGACGTAAGAAGTCTGGAGTAGATGAGCTTGCATTACCAAGTAGATTGGTCTGGTCACCCCAAAGGACATCGGTAACAATGTCGAGGGCGAGGAGGCGGAACCAAACGACACCATCAACATTCTCTCCCTTGTCTGCATGTTCAGAAAGAATCTTGACAAACTTGAGGACGTGAGAGTCGATATTTTGAGTGAGCGTATCAAGATTTCTGTTCTGGAAGCACTGCAGCAGATTGTTGCGAGTTGATGCTGCCGAAGTGTAGTCCAATTTGCCCAATGTGGTGACAACGCCTTTCCAAGAGCCCATTTTAGTGTAAAAGCTCGTTTTGATTGAAGAACGGTTGTAGATTGTCTTCATCGCAGTCTCATCATTGGTATGAATCTGGTCGGGAGCGATCACCACAATCGGCCCATAGCGCTCAATGAGAGCATGAGAATACTCCGTTCTAGCTGTTCGGAATGTCGCCCATCGGTAAGGGATGCTCGAGACTCTGGACCAGAAAGGACCAGGGACGTTACGGACTGGAGAGAGGAAAAAGGCGTAAAGGATCTATGACTTTGTCAGTTGCTGACACTTGGCTGGTGGAGACCGCGAAAGCTTTCATACCCGCCAGAATATCGAGGCTACTGCTAAGAGAAATGTCCACGTAAGGATTGCGAGCGGCCTCAGATCACCCGAAGCAGACCTCAGATGTAGCTGAGTTGGCAGAACATAGGAGATCATGATGTGACGATGGAGATATGCTAGATCAAGTAGGGATTGCAAAGTGATCTCTAGTATCCTTTGTATATGAAGGCTCGCACAGCAAGCGACATCGACGTTAGGAGTTGATCGAACCCTGCTTTCTGACTATGCATCAGTGACCCGTCCATCGAACTTCCCCGCCTCAGCATTGAGTCTAAGATGTCCACACTAGCAAGTGTTCCTGCTCGGGTGATCGGACCCAAAGTCGCACGTAGGAGTGGCATCGTGGATAAAGTGGCACTAGCCGTTGTCGTGACCTCGTCATGTGCGGAACTATGGAAGACTGCCAACGACGAAACTCATAACGACTTCAGAGGACATGAAAACCCGCAGGGTATATCCATGAAGTAATCCTAGTAAATCGAAGACGGTCGTATCCAGCAAAAGACCACGTCACTAACTTCAGGTGTACAATACTCAGCAACAAGCACTACCCACTCAAAAATGGCCACGGAGGATCTGCAGAGCTCAGGTAATGATAGCAGCAAGATCGCATAGTCGCTTAAAACTCACAATCAAACAGATGTCGAGGTCCCAGTCCTCGTTGTAGGCACCGGTCCATCTGGATCTACAACGGCACTGCTGCTAGGACGCCTTGGCATCAAAACATTGGTGATATCGCGTCACAGATCAACAGCAAACACGCCCAGAGCTCATATCTTCAATCAGAGGGCCATGGAAGTTCTTCGAGACGCAGGGTTGGAGGAGGCGGTGAAGCCGTATGCGAGCAGTGCTCATCACATGATGCATTCGTCTTGGCTACACTCTCTGGCTGGCGAAGAGTATGGAAGACTTTGGGCTTGGGGTAATAACCCAGCACGACTCGGAGAATACGCCATGGCAAGCCCTTGTGAGATGTCTGACTTACCGCAGAGTAAATTAGAGCCCGTCCTAGTAGAACAAGCGACAAGACTAGGAGCAGAGTATCGTTTCTACACCGAATTTTTATCACAGACGACTCTCGCTGATGGACGAGTTGAGACAACTCTCAGAGACCGGAAGACTGATCGGACGTACAAGGTGCGCTCTGACTACCTGATCGGAGCCGATGGCGCGAGAAGCTCAGTACTGGATAGTTTAGGCATCACCGTGGATGGCAAGCAATTGAACACTGCCTTCAATGTTCACATCAAGGCCGATCTCACAAAATACATTGCCCACAGGCCCGGCTCCCTGAACTGGATCCTCAACCCAGAAGCCCCAGACTGGTCAGCCGTTGGTAATTTCCGCATGGTCACTCCTTGGACCGAATTCGTGGTCTCGATGCATCCGTCCAATAAGGACGGAAAACCTTTCGAGCCCAACGACGAAGATATCCTCAAGCGACTTTACCAGATGATAGGCGACGACTCCGTTCCGATCGAGATTCTGTCAAGTTTTCGTTGGACGATAAACGATCAAGTCGCACGTTCCTGGCAGAAAGGAAACGTTATCTGTATTGGCGACGCTGTACACAGACACCCTCCCATCAACGGCTTGGGTAGCAACACATGCATCAGCGATGCCATGAACGTTGCCTGGAAACTAGCCTATGTCATCAAAGGCGTCGCTGATTCGTCAATTCTCAGCTCCATCACTGCAGAGAGGAAGCCGGTTGGAGATGGTATCGTTAGACGAGCAAACGAAGGAATGGAAGATCAGCGAACATGGTGGAGTTTCATCGGCTTGACCAAAGATGAAAGAGCAGCGGCAGTTTCATTGATGGAACAGCCGACTCCGGATGGTCGAAAACAGAGACAGAACTTTCGCGCATCCTTGGAGAAGCTTGATGATGAGCTGAATGCGCTGGGCATACAGATGAACCAGATCTATGCTGGCTCGCCACTAGTGCATGCTGAAGCAGATGATGAACCACCTTCCAACGACCACATCGACTTGGTCAAACAGCTTGCGGTAAGCACATACCCTGGATATCATCTACCGCATGTCTGGCTTGCAGAGAATGGCCAATCCCAGAAAATCTCATCTCTAGACGTGTGTGGAAATGACCGCTACACCCTGCTCACAGGTATTGGAGGCGACGCTTGGGTGGATGCTGCAAAGTCTCTTCAACAAGATCGCCCCGGCGTTGTCGTCAATGTAATATCAATTGGCTGGCATCAGGACTTCATGGACGCTTATGGTGATTGGGAAAAGGTGCGTGGTGTCGAGGAAGAAGGGTGCGTGCTTGTAAGGCCGGACCACTTCGTCGCCTGGAGATGCCGGACGAAGGCACAAGACCCGACAGCAAGACTTCGGAATGTATTCGAGAAAATCTTGCCTTCTCCAGGAATCAAGAGCTAGGAGCAATGTCCTTGATCTAGACCATAGATAAGATACGGATTGACTCTTGAAACACAGTGGTTAAGCCGCATGGTAACCTCAAGGATCTTTGTTGCTTGAAACACGGGATCGCTGACGAAAGCCGCAATTTGTGACCTGTACTTGGAACTTCCCATCGGCGTTGAGAATGATGTTACGACGACGTTGCAAACGTAGTCATGCCAGTGCCCTATCTCGACGTACTGATGTCTTCCTTCTCACACCACAATCTTCAGTCACAGTCTTTGCGACATCGAAACTAGACTCTCCGTTCCGCGTCCTAATTTGGATTCTTCCGAACCGTTGGTGTGACGGAGAAATGTCATAAGTTTCGGCGAAACATTCCCGTTTAGGATAGATCATGTCGTGATGATACCTCGGTCCGAGACGCGTCCGGTACTTCTATGGCAAGAATACCATTCTTGAACATCCTCCGGCACTAAGGGGTCTGCACTGGAATGTTGTTCGGTGAAACTTAGGTCGATTGAATTTTGTGTAATATCAGCATGATTCGACGCCCAATCTCGCAATATCGTTTCCTCGTCTCTGGTTCAAGTCTGGCCGGATTATGCTCTCCTAATCCCTGATCGTCTTCATCATCACACATGGCTCCATCGGACCTAAACAACACAAAGCGGGATGTATTTAGCAGATGGCGCCCACGATACCACCTGATTGCTCCACGAGGTTGGCTCAATGACCCTTGTGCCCCTTGCTACGATGCTTCGACTGGAAAATATCACCTAGGCTTCCAATGGAGTCCGGATTCATGGGACTGGGGTAATATCGCCTGGGGTGCGGCGACATCACAAGACTTGGTGGACTGGACTGTGTCGGACACTCCATCTATCACACCGTCCTCTACAGAGGATCCAGCCGGTGTATTTACTGGTGCCATTTCGCCTGTTAGCTTGCCCAGAGAGGATTCGCAAAACCATCTGACCTGCTTCTATACGTCAGCGCAAGGCTCTAATATCCATTACACGAAACCCTATGAGAGAGGCTCGGAAGCACTTCGCGCTGCTACTTCTGTAGATGGTGGCATGTCCTGGCAACGACACCAGGATTTCATCTTACCAGGTCCGCCGCAACATCTTTCAGTCACAGGTTGGCGAGATCCATATATGTTTCGCTGGGACCGTATGGATATTGCCAGAGGATACAAGCCAGGCTCAAATCTGTATGGTATAATTTCTGGCGGTATACGCGACAAATCTCCGACGATTTTCTTGTACACTATCGACGAAGCGGATCCGACCAAGTGGACCTTTGTGTCTACTCTTCTGGAGCTTGGCCTGCAGTTTGCACCTACATTGCTTGGTGGCGATCTTGGCGTCAACTGGGAAGTAGCGAATATTGTGACACTCAAAGATCAAGATCATGATGAATTTGACGTTCTCATAGTCGGCGTGGAAGGTTGCAAAGTCACAGAGGAAGAATGCACGGCGATCTCAAAACCAGTGACGCGGTCTGCACGCTCTGGAAGAAGTCAGAAATGGCTCTGCGGAGACGTGAACCAGTCCACGCAGACAGTGGAGCCGAAGATGAAGCACCAATTCTCTGGCGTGTTAGATTGGGGCATGTTCTACGCAGCCAATTCTTTCTACGATCCGGCGTCAGAAGTACAGGTGGTACATGGCTGGGTCCTAGAAGAGGATCTTGACGATGAGCTAAGGGAAGCCCAAGGCTGGAGTGGCTTTATTTCTCTGCCGCGCACATTGAGTATGCAAACGATCAAGAGCGTAGATCCTTGCTGCATACCTGCTCTCAATCAGGTGCCAGGATTCGTATATCGCGATGATGGACACGGTGGCATGAATGTATCGACGATATGTTGTCAACCACATCCGCATTTACAAGCCCTGCGCTGCGGTGAGGGTTCACACCTCAACTCTCTAGCCTCGCTGTCAGGTCTCTCTGAAGCCGGCGATGTCCAAGAAAAGGGTATTCAACTGCCAGGACTACCTGGCTTTGAGCTCGACATGTCCGTGTCTCTCGATACAGATGTCGAGACAATCGGGATTGACATTTTCCATTCAATCGGTGAGGATCAAACACAACTCGTAGATGTTGCACACAGCTTGGCTAACATACAAACAGACCGCGAGGCATATACACGCATACTCCTTCAACCCTCGGAATCACTCATTACCATCGACCGATCACAATCTCGAAGGACAGACGTAGTTGAGCCGATCAAGTTGGATGACGAAATCGCCCATCACGCTTTCCTCACGCATCGTGATTCAATCACAAGTGCAACAAAGCCCGAAAACCTGGAGATCAGGATTTTCTTCGATGTCAGTGTTTTTGAGGTGTTTGTGAACAGTCGCACTGTGTTGACGACTAGAGTATATCCGGATTCTGGAAGATGCTTTGGAGTTGTGCCTTTTGTGGTCGACAGCAAGAATTCTAAAAGCCGAACGCAACTCGAGCGTTTCAGAGTTTGGGCACTGAAGCCTAGCACATAAAGGCCGAGCACAATCAGGCTCTTCCAGCGCTGAGCTGCATTGACAGGAGAGGAGCGTAGTTGGTTTCCAAACGATAGTATATAATGCAAATATAATTGGGGGTCATGGCTCATGAAGATGCAAGGCCGGCGAGACCAAGGTATAGATCGGCCGTTGGAGCTAAACAGGAGATGGCGGTGGTGGTGACGACGAGGCACGGACGTTTGGCGTTGTGCCTCGCGAGCAGTGAGCTCTCTCCACGCGGAGGTTGGCGGGCCTGTGTCTTGCCTGTTCTCACCGCGTTCCTGCTGCACCCCAAGTCGCTTTGTGCCTCCTCTTGTGTGTTCGACAAGCCGCAGACGCCCCGCATACCCAACCATGTCGCTATTCGGAGAGTCCCCGCCGCCAACGCCCGCCGCACGGCAGAACAAGTCGTCGCTGTTTGACGACGACGAGCAAGCGGCTGCTCGCAGCACCTCGGCCAACTCGGGCCTGTTCGCAGAGACGGCCAACGCCGACGACGGCCAATCGCCTTGGGACTTTCCTGCTCCCAAGAAGCACAACAGCACTCGCCAGAGGGGAGACTTGATCAAGACGCTGCTGCCAGCCAGTGACGTGCCTGAACGCTATGTCGATCTCTTCGATGCTTTGCTGTCGCAGAGCAGCGGTCAGGGTGGAGTAACCGTCCGACAGATCAAGAGCTTGCTGTCCGGCAGCGGCGTCGGACAACCTGAGCAGAACAAGATTCTCGAGCTCCTCGGCGCGACCGACGACGACTCGCGTGTGCTGGGTCGCGGCGAGGTCAACGTCGTTCTGGCCCTGATCGGTCTGGCACAAGAAGGTGAAGAGCTGGGTCTGGATGCTGTCGATGAGCGCAGAAGACAATTGCCAGTACCCAACCTGCCATCTCTGACCGCTCCTCCCAAGCAAGACCAGAAGCCCCCACGAACACCTACCGGTCCTCCTCCCCAGGCAGACTCTGGTGCCACGCAATCTCAGAACCTCGAAACTCCTGGCTTCGGCTTTGGTGACGACCCCTGGGGAAGTCCCTCACTGCACAAGAACCACCATCATGAAGCAGCTGCTGCACCTACCTACGCTCAGGCCGCTGCCCCATCCTACCCGAACGGCAACGTCAATGGTCGCGCTGACCCGCCCCACGTACGAACCACCAGCAATTTCACCACCACGTCCGCCACAGACAAAACCAACTCCTCCACTCCCGATGCCTCCTCCTTTGAACCATCGCGACCGACAACAGCTGAAAGTGGCTGGGGCGGTTACTCTGCGTCAAACGACGGCTTCAACGCTGCCCCCGGCAACGAGGGCTTCGGCGAACCAGAGAACGATACAAACGGCATTTCTGGCAGCACAAGGAGGCCTCTCGGCGTGACCAGGCCAAGTGGCGCGACTGGTCCTGAGGAAATCATAACCGTCAACGTCCTTGAAGAGAAGGAAGGCATGTTCATGTTCCAACACCGCAACTACGAGGTGTCCAGCATCAGGAGGAACAGCCGTGTCATTCGTCGTTACAGTGACTTTGTCTGGCTGCTGGACTGCTTACATAAAAAGTTCCCATTCAGACAGCTACCACTTTTACCACCCAAGCGTGTTGGTAGTAAGTTAAACCCGATGAGCCACTGGACGAGATGGAACTGACTTCAGACACAGTCAACGGCAAGCATATTGCTGCAGACAACCTTTTTATCGAGAAGCGAAGGAGAGGTTTGGCGCGCTTTGCGAATGCGCTCGTACGACACCCTGTACTGAGTCAAGACCAGCTCGTCATCATGTTCTTGACTGTCCCTACGGTAGACGTTCGGCCCCTGACCGTTGTATCTTCTGAACATTACTGACTGTTTCCAGGAACTTGCTGTATGGCGCAAGCAAGCCTCCATCTCCGTTCAAGAAGAATTCACTGGCAAATCCCTACCTCCTGGTCTCGAAGACTCTCTGCCTCAAAACCTTGCGAACCTCTTTGACACGGTCCGAAATGGAGTCCGCCGTTCGACTGAAGTTTACATCAACATGTGTGGCATGGTCGAGCGACTTATTAAGCGTAACGAAGGCCTTGCAAGCGAATACGTTCGTCTTTCAATGGCTCTCGGCAGCTTGACCGAATGCTCTGCGGACACTTACGCCATTGACACCAACGAGGTTGAGCTCCTCAATGGTGGTCTTGATGGCACCGCCAAGCACTTGTCTACCAATCAAACTCTTCTCGAAGACGAAGCCAGAGCTTGGGATTTCGGTGTTTTGGAAGACCTCAAGCGCCAGCGCGATGTTCTTGTCAGCATGCGAGACTTGTTCGACCGCCGTGATCGTTATGCACGCGATAACATCCCGCAATTGGAACGCCGCATCGCTGCCAACGAAAGCAAGTTGGCTGGCATTCGCGCACGGCAGGAGTCGCAAATCAAGCCAGGTGAAGCCGAGAAGGTTGAGAGTGCAATTGTTAAGGTATGTCATAAGAACTCAACTCTGATGCGTCGTTACTAACCACCCGCAGGACAAACAATCGATTGTCGACCAGCATGCTCGCGGAGTCTTTATCAAGGAGTGCGTTCGAGATGAGATTGTCCACTTCCAGTCATCGCAATACCACATAAGCAGAATGCATCAGGAGTGGAGCCAAGAGCGTGTCAAGTATGCAGAGTTGGGAGCGGAGAACTGGAAGTCATTGAGCGAGGAGCTTGAAGCCATGCCTCTTGGTGATTGAGATGCATGTGACAAACTTTTGTAATATACCATATCCCACTACTGTAATACTTGATTTATCGGTGCCCAGCATCATGCAGGATCGTCACTCGCACCTTCTCTATGATGTGACAATAGCTTGAATTACATGCACGGGCCCCTGACTGGATTGGAGCCTGTTCCGTCATCCTGTTCCGTCCTGTGAATTTACAACTGCTGCCGGGTATTGTTCTGATGGCTCAATGAATAGAGTATTGCCCGTCTCTTTCATTCGACCAGCAGACACAAGCTGGCAATACCTCCAGCCTACCAGATCGTTCCCCTCGCATCCGTACATACTTTTCAGGAGCAAGATATAGCAATCGCTACCAACAATCACCTTCCATTCAAACTCGAGTGACAGGCAAAGGTACAAAAGACAGATTGTTGATCATCATCATACTCTTGCCAATATGCCCGGTGCGACCAAGAGGAAGGCTACCAGTGTACCTTCCGAGACAGCATCCTCGCCCGCCATGAAAAAGACGACCAGAGCCTGTAAGTCTAGTCCTTTCTTGATGCTATCCCCAGCCCCATCCCGACCATCAGTGTAACCACTCTCCATGACGATCTTTGGGAAACTGGCAGAAGGGTGATCCTGCGCGTTGTCTTATCTTATCGATTAGAGGCGATCGAAGCATATCGGGCATCGGCGTCATTGTCTGGCTGCGCTTCACTGTTGATCGACTTTCCGTTGTATCATCATTGTCGCACAGTCAACACTATCATTCATTCGGCAATACCAGCATCTGTTCCCATTTGAACTCACGTTACATCTGAAACTCCAGAGTCCAGAAGACTGACATAGCGCGACCATGCCTGCAGCATACACAAGCGCACAAAAGACGGCCATCCAGAGCTTCGTCGAGGTTACTGGCACGGACAAGACAGCAGCTGCGAGATTGTTGAAACAGGCCAACTGGAACGTACAGACAGCGACGAATGCGTAAGTCGGGAAGTCTCGTTTTCTTTGTGCAAGTCGTCGCTAGAGGGAGAAGTCGTCTGCACGAGTTGGGATAGCTGAAGCTTCCATCGATGTGTGGCGGCGAGGAGTACGAAACCTGTCGCACGCAGACGACTCCCGGCACTGAGACTTGGGAGACACCTTGCTCGGCACGAACTCTCCCTTTTACGCGCATACGCAAGCAACAATCCTTCAACATGTCAGATCCGATGGACTTCGACTCTAATTACATGCCTAGATACTTCCAGTCTGGTAGCTCGAACATCGGCAGCACCGTCAGCAAGTCAACCCTCAACAAAACCTTCGACAAGTATCGTGAAGATGTCACAAACGAACCCGACGAAATCAACATTGAAGGCACAATGGAGCTGCTGAAGGATATGGATGTCGACCCTTCGGATGTTGGCTGTCTCATCTTCTCGGAGATGGCCAAGTCACCATCTCTTGGAAAGCTCACGCGCACTGAGTTTGTGGACAACCTTGCTGCTCTTGGGTAAGAATTGGATCGTTTGTTGGTATGTGTCAGGTCTAATCGGGATGATACAGTATCAACGACGTCAAGAAGATGCGCGATACGGTGGAACAGAGACGCGCCAAACTCGCCGACCCCTCATTCCGTCCTACCTTCAAGTCCATATACAAGCACACATTCATTCTTGCTCGCCAGCCCGGACAGAAGGCAGTCGCACTCGAAGCAGCCACCGAATACTGGAACCTCCTCTTTACCAGCCCTTCGCTCGACTGGTCATCGCCCAGCACTCCTTGGCTCGATTGGTGGAAGGAGTTCCTCGAGACAAAGTACAAGAAGAGCGTGAACAAAGACATGTGGGATCAGACGCTGGTGTTTGCCGAGAAGACACTTGACGACGAGGCTCTCAGCTTCTGGAGCGAGGACTCTGCCTGGCCTGGAGTGATTGACGAGTTTGTCGAGTACGTCAAGACGGAGAAGCGTGCTGGCGACGCCATGGATGTTGAGTGAAGGAATTGATGTCGCAGAGACACCACACCAAGTACAGAAGCCGGGTCAACGATGGCTGCCGCAGCACGCGATACGATTGCTTCAGATAAGATATGGGACACAAGCAACTACCAGCTTCGCGATGGAAGGGGGACAGATTGTTTTACAGAGAGAAGAAGTCAAGAGGGGCCAGATTATGCAAGCATTTCTTCCTCGCATAACAATAGCATTAGATCAAGAGGAATGCACAAAGCTCATGCGAAAAAAGCGACGTCACAGGGTGAAACATGTGAGATTGGTCGGCTCCTTGGAAGCGCCGAGATTGAGCGTGTTGACGAGGGTCGGTGGTCGTGTGGGGGCCAACCGGCGCAGCTACTTTCCCGGGACCGGCGGTGATCATTTTTTTGTTTCCCAGTCGCTCCTTCCGCAGTAGCACACGACACTTTTGAGATCCAGCCATGGCCGACAGCAAGATGGAGCCCTTTCCTCCATTGAGCCCGCCGAAGAATGCTTTCGACACACACGGCGGCCCTCCGCTCAGCATGAGCAAGCCTCGGCCCCGGCGCAAGTCTAGCAGTCTTGGAGGTGAGCCGCGAGGTGACACTGGAGCTTCGGCTCTTGCGACTTTGAGCTTGATGCCACAGGTATGTGTAGCCTGATGCTTGTGTCTGACCTACAATTGGGACTGACGCTCTCTGATAGCGCACTCCAACACCTACACAGGAGAAGACGACTCGAACATCCAAGCGCCGCAAAGCTCGCAGTCTGCTCAAGCGATATGTACGCGTCTCTCTCCGACACACATGGCTCAATCCCTTGATCCTCATGCTTCTGGTTCTGGCCCTTTACGCCGTCAATCCCTCGACCTCGAATCCCTTTTACAACTGCATCTTCCTCGCATACCCACTAGACACTCCCGCCGGAGAACCTACACAATACGGCAAGGGCAAAGCCGATTTTGCATTCGTCGCATTCTACACCATTGTTCTCAGTTTCAGCCGCGAGTTCCTCATGCAACGCATGATTCGTCCCTTGGCCATTCGTCTCGGCATCCAGAGAAAAGCAAAGCAAGCCAGATTCATGGAGCAGTTTTACACGGCCATGTACTTTGCCATTTTCGGTCCCTTTGGCTTGTATGTTATGCGCCGCTCGCCAGTCTGGTACTTCAACACGGATGCCATGTTCGAGGGCTTCCCTCACCGTAGTCACGAAGCAGTCTTCAAGGCTTACTATTTGCTTCAAGCGAGTTATTGGGCCCAGCAGGCTATTGTGCTGTTGCTTATGCTCGAGAAGCCGAGAAAGGACTTTAAAGAGTTGGTATTGCATCATGTTGTTACACTTGCCTTGATCTGGTTGAGCTATCGCTTCCACTTCACATACATGGGCATTGCCGTCTACATTACCATGGACATTTCCGACTTCTTCCTTGCTGTAAGTCTTGGACCTTGTGAATGACGAGGCTTCGAGCATGGTTACTTACTGACATGCACACAGACCTCCAAAGTCCTCAACTACCTCAACTCACCCATCACCGGCCCATACTTTGGCCTCTTCATCGCCGTCTGGTTCTATCTCCGCCACTACCTAAACTTCTACATTCTCTGGGCCACCTTAACCACCTTCCGCACAATCGGCCCTTACGAGCTAAACTGGGAAACTCAACAATACAAATGCTGGATCTCTCAAATCATCACCTTTTCGCTTCTCTTCGCCCTTCAAGCCGTGAACATGTTCTGGTTCATCCTGATCTTGAGAATCGCATGGAGATTTGTGAGAAGCAGTGTTGCCAAGGACGAGAGAAGTGAGGATGAAGAGGAAGAGGAAGAGATTGTGGAGGAGCAAGAAAAGGAAAAGTTGATTAAGCAGGTGCAGGCTAATATCCCGAGCGTTGAACTCAATGGCGAGACTTTGGTGGGAGCTACTGGAAGGGATTCTACTCCTGAGGGTTTAAAGAGAAGAGGATGAGACATTTCCGTGAGGTTGGAAAGTTTGACCCATCTTTTTTCCTTGACCATTGCACAAAAAGACAAAAGTCCTCATATGGCAGCGGGAAGTTGTATCATGCCCCCTTGTAAGCATCATGGCTGTTTATATCTCGGCCTTTTTATCAAATCATTCCCCCCCAAAAAAACCAAAGAAAGAGATCCCTCGTCTCTCAACTCCTCCACTCTGCACTTGTCATGCTCTACTGTATATTCACCGTCATTTCAAATAACCTCAAGTAAGTATTAACATCATGGCTACAATTTTAAGTAATGTTACTTTTCTATCAAGCGTATAATGGCGCTATAAAGCCTCTCCGTAGATAAAACCATCTTCTCGTACACTATCATTCAATAAAAAAACGTTCTCGAGCATGTGGAGAAAACTCATCTAATCCGAACTTGAACTTACTAAAGGGGGGGG